GTCAGGAAGAAAAAGGTATCCATAGATGATGACTGGGGCCCCAATAAGAGCGTCGATGATGAACATCCATTGCCAAGCAGCTAGTCCACGCTTACCATTCATCGAGGACTGCAAACCAGACTGAATGTAGGATGAGGTGGCCTGGCCAATGATACCAGCCAAAACGAAAAAGTTCGACCGTCTCATAATTTCACGTTTCTTATACCAGCATCCAATCATGTAATGCGTTCCAGGGTTGCAGGACGACTCAAACAGACCGATCAAAAACCTCAGAGCGTAGATGGTTTGTGCATTTTTGGCCAGGTATATGAACAGCACACAGAGAGACCACAGCAGGTCGAGAGTCGGAAGATAAATTCTAGGGCGGAAGTAACCAGCAAGCAAGACGGCTGGGATGGACCCAATACAAACTCCGATGTTGTAGTAGGTGTTGAACCACGAAAGCTCGTTCTTTGTGAAACCCAAATCCTTCTGCATTCCGGAGATGTAGGTGTTAGAAATGTTGGTCTGATCAAGGTACTTCAGGAAATAAGCCATCATGGAGTACGAGAGGATAAAGAAATCTAGTTTCCATATTAGAATCTTCTCCCTAGGGTCTGTGCCTGGCTCAAACCAATGGTACCATTTGGTGGGTTTTGTTGTGACTGAAGTTGTGACTGAAGACATGTCTGACGGGGGAAAGATTGTTGGAAACCTTTATATATATGGAGTATTCCTTTTTTCTTCCCTAATTCTTTTTTTTTTTCTTGGCCTGATTAGCCACATGCAATGCATAGCGGAGTTTTAATGCAAAATCTGCCAACTGTGGCGTCTGGAGAAGGCGACATCGCTACTGATAAAAAAGCTTCTGCACGTGACCAAACCTTATTTTTTTACCAGTAGCGCCATTGAGGAAGGGCTGAACAGCCGACGGCGGCTTCTATTTCGTCTCTATTATGCAGGCGGCAAAGTTTCTCCGACGTTATTGTGGCAATCTCCGTCAGCAGTCCTACGCCCTTGCCTCCCAGTGTCGTCTTGAAGGTCTCAAATCCGGCCTCATTATACTTCTCCTCCAGCTGCCGCAGTTTTTCGGGCGTCGCTGCATCATCGTCAATTAGCGTGATCGCGCAGCCGCCCCCGCCAGCTCCCGTGAGTTTTGTTTGGCCGATCTGTAGCTCGTCACTCCACAATTTGACTCGTTCTAAGTTCGGGTGCGAAACGCCGAGCGACACAAGCAGACCATGGTTCAGCCGGATAAGCTCCATTAGTCTGTTCTTGGACTGCTTGTCCAGGAACGGGCGAAGCATCAGGGTGTACGCCTCTCTCGCGATCGCCTCCATCGTTTCCAAAATCAGTCCAGACGGTTTGGGGAACTCGGTCACTATCTTCGAGACGTTGGCGACCAAGGCAGCGGTGCTGCGTGGGGTTTTGGTGTTGGTGAGCAGCAAGTTCAGCGGCGGCAGATTGCGCATCGAGGTGCGGATACTGGGCACCGACGACTCCATTCGCTGGAACATCACGGCTCCTCCGTGCGTGGCCACTGCGTTGTCGATGCCGCTCGGATTGCCGTGGCTGCATTTTTCTCCCATTAGAGCCCACGCGTCGATGAAGAGACACTGCTCGGAGTCCTTGACGGTGACGTCGTCTGCCCTCAACGTGGGCTCTTGAATGTGGCCCCCCAGGTAGCAGAACGCGCTCGCAAAGCACACAGACACCGACGCAGACGATCCGAGTCCGGCCCCCACGGGCAGCGTGGACCGAACGGTGAACGTGAGTCCTGCCACGTCGTTCTCCCTGCACAGAGACACCAGCAGGTAGAGGAACATGAACGCGGCGCTGTACTGGATGGGCGAGTCGATCTTGGACAGCAGCGAGCTCAGCGCGTCCACGAGCTCCGGGTCCAGCTCCTCGTCGGCGGCCGGCTGCCGTTTACGCGAGTGCTCGCCAAAGAGCTGCCATGGAAGGTCGCTGGTCGCCCATTTGTAGCTGAACTGAATATCTGGGAACTCTAGAAACAGTGTGTCGGTGTCGCCGTTGTCTCTGGATGCCAGCAGATACGTTCTGAGGGACAAGGCTGCAGCAATGGCAGGCTGGAGTTAGTATGATCCGACTGAAGGCAGAGAAAAAGGCCAGATCCGGCGTGCGACGTACCTTGTGGTACACGGCGGAGTGTTCGCCGAAAATGATAACCTTTCCGGGCGCAGACGTGAGGAACGGGACGGAAACCATGTCTGCTTGGGAAGAAAGAGACGGTAGGAAAAGAATTCTTGTATAATCTTCAGTTTCTCTGGTTCAGTTTCCCACTGCTTCGACTTTGGTGCACGACCTGCGGCTTAAAAAAATTAAATTTGAGAAAAGATGAAAAAAAAACTAATTTAATGGCTTCGCAGATAAAGGTCCGCTTCTTCACGAGAGACGAGGACGAGTCGCTTCACTGTCCGGGCAACCCCGTGTTTGTGCCGATATCGCTCAAACGGTACGGTCTGTCGGAGATCGTGAACCACCTGGTCGGCCTGGAGCAGCCGGTTCCGTTCGACTTCCTGATCGACGGCACTCTGCTCAAAGGCAGCGTCGAGGACTACTTGGTGGCCAACGGGCTGTCGAGCGAGCACTTCCTGGACATTGAGTACACGCGCGCCGTGCTGCCGCCTCAGTTCCTCGCCAGCTTCAACAACGACGACTGGGTCTCTGCGATCGACTCGGTCGGGTCCATGAGTCTGGCTGGCCCGGAAGGTGAGGTGCGCACCGCGCCAAAAATCCTCACGGGCTCGTACGACGGCGTTGTGCGGATCTACAACGCCTCGGGCAAGGTCGAGACCCAGCTGGTGGGCCACCAGGCCGCCGTCAAGGCCGTCAGGTTCATCAGCCCGTCCCGCTTTGTTTCCGCCGGCATGGATCGCTCGCTGCGGCTGTGGAAGGCCGGGGTTGTCGGCGACGAGGACCTCGACAAGGACACCCAGAACGGGCGCACCAGCGCCATTCTGGAGTACCACAAGGACGTGGTAGCAGCGCTTGCCGTGCGCAACTCGCGCATTCTGTCGGCGTCGTACGACCGCAGCCTGGCTCTGTGGTCGACCAACGCCAAGGAGATGCACACGACGCAGCCGCTGGAGCAGGGCGCAGAGAATAGCCTGTCGTCGGCGTCGCGCAAACGTCTCAAACTCGCGGTCGGCGACGCGTCGATCCGGCGCAAGGCTCCTCTGGCCATTCTGGAGGCCCACCAGGGCCCCGTCGAGGCCGTCTGTTTCGACAAGGACGACACCGTCGCGTACTCGGCATCGCAGGACCACACAGTGAGAACATGGGACCTCGTCACGGCGCGCTGCGTCGACACCAGACACACCAACTTTGCGCTGCTCAGTCTGGTGGCTCTGCCGCGTGTCGGGCTGCTGGCCACGGGTTCCGCGGCCAGGCACATCAACCTCCACGACCCGCGCGCAGAGAAGGTCACCAGCACCCAGCTGGTGGGCCACAAGAACTTTGTTGTGTCGCTGGCCACCACAGACAACGAGTACACTTTGGTGTCCGGGTCGCACGACGGCACCGCCAAGATATGGGACATCCGCGCCAACAAGAGCATCTACACCATCGAAAGAGAGAGCGACGAGCACGCCAAGGTGCTGGCCGTCGACTGGAACGCGGAGATCGGCCTGCTTTCGGGCGGAACCGACAAAAAGCTGCAGATCAACGAGCTCAAGTCAGACAAGCTGCGTAACTAGATACATAGATGCTGCCAACTATTTACATGTTTTCCGGGGCCCGCTTGCACGTCCACATCGTCACGCCGTAGTAGCCCTGCCACAGGCCCTCTGTGTCGGTCAAGTAGCCAAGCATCTCCGGCGTGGGGCGCTCGTCCACGAGCTGCCACCCGCAAACGCCGCGCAGCTTGCGGATCTCCTCGTGCGAGAGCTCCGCCTTGGCCGCGGTGCCGTACTTGAGCGGCCCCACGTTGATCCACAGCACGTCGCCGCGCGCCGCGTCCGCCACGCGCGCCACGGCGTCGAAATAGTCCATCAGGTTCTCCGCCGTGTCGAGAAAGAAGCACGTGACTATGGCCACGTGGTGCGGCTCCTGCCGGAAGCGCGCCGCCGTGAAGCTCGTGAAGTCGCCGTGCTGCACGCTGAGGTTCGCCGGCTTGGCGCGCTGCCGCAGCTCGACCGCGCGGAACTGGTTCTGCGTTGCCGCGTGGTTCGAGTAGTTGTGCACGTACGGATACACCTGGTAGCGTCTGGGGCTGTCTGCGTACACAAACTCGTTCAGCAGCAGCATGTACCACGAGAACTCCACGGACACGACCTCCTTGGCGCCCAGCCGTGCGATTTCGTGCGCGACGCGGCCGAGCCCCGAGCCGGGCACCACCACGCTGGTTTTGGCGAGGTCCAGCCGCGCGAGCTGCGTCCTGACGTAGTCGAGGATGGGCACGACCTCGCGGTCGAACGCGGGGGACCAGTCACGTGCAAAGTGGCACAGGCTCTCGATGACCTTGTGGTGGTCTGTTTGCGGTCGGAGTCGGGCCTGGTCGGCAGCCAGTTTGAGCTCGAGCGTCGAGATGTTGTGTTTGCGCACGGTCTGGGCAACGCAATCCTGGAGCAGCTTGTAGTTTTCGGCCAGCGTCGCGTCGACCTTGTTCATCTTGGCCTGGTAGCCCGTCTGCGCCACCATCTTCTGCTGTCTCCAGGACATGGTTTTGTACAATTGGCGCTTCTTCTCGTTCCACGCCTTGCCGCGCGCAAGGTACTGGCGCATCTCGTTGACGGCGAGCAACAGCTGCGAGCGGGAACGGTCCTGGGACACGGCGCCCGGACCAGCGGCCAGGGAGGCAAGACGCTGTCGCAGACGCAGGAACATCGAGGATTGCGAGATCGCAGAGCTCGCAAAAACGGCGCTCACAATAGTCGGTACACGGCTGTGGGGCAGGAGCGTGCTCAAAAGGTAATGGGCAATGACCACCGTGCAAAGTTTGGAAACAAGAACGGCAGTTTCCTGGCGCATGAAAAAATGTTTTTTCAGATTTATTTTTTATGAGTGTCATTGCCGTGGGCACAGACCTGCACCGAATCGGGCGGTTTGCGGCCATTCTAGCACGCCACGGTCTCGCGTCGCCACATGTGCACCGGCTCGCTGCCCGTGTGCTCCACCCGGACCGCGAGCTGCCCGGGTTTGTGCGCGCGTGCCAGCAGAGCCAGCTCGACAAGTGCACGCGCGCACTCGCGCACTCGTGGTGCGTCAAGGAGGCGCTCTACAAGACGCTCGACACGCCCGACCAGGCCACCTTCGCGATGCGCCACTGGTACAAGTACAACCACGCGAACGGCCGGCCGCACGTGGCCAGCGACTCGTACGCCAGACACGAGCGCTTTCTCGTGTCGCTGTCCCACGACGGCGATTACGTCAGCAGCGTCGTTGTGCGCGCGCACGGCACCAACTAGGAGTGGATTAACAGATACTTATGCCTCGCTTACTCCCACTCGACGGTGGCGGGCGGCTTGGAGGTAATGTCGTACGTGACCCGGGCGACGCCGTCGACCTCGTTGACGATTCTCGACGCGACCTTCTTCAGAAACTTGGCGTCGAACACGTACCAGTCGGCCGTCATGAAGTCGGTCGTCTCGATCGCCCGCAGCGCAATCACCTGCTCGTACGTTCTCTGGTCGCCCATCACGCCGACCGACTTCACAGGCAGCAGCGCCGCAAACGCCTGCGAGATGTTTCTGTATAGCCCAGCCTTTCTGATCTCCTCGATGAAGATGTAGTCGGCCTCTCTAGCGATTTTCACCTGTTCCGGGGTCACCTCGCCCAGCACTCTGATGCCGAGACCCGGGCCCGGGAATGGGTGTCTCCAGACAAGGTCTTCTGGGATGCCCATGAGCGTGCCCAGGTCTCTGACCTCGTCTTTGAACAGCTCTCTAAGAGGCTCGATCAGCTTGAGTTTCATGTCTTCCAGCAGACCGCCCACGTTGTGGTGGGTCTTGATGGTCTGCGAAGGGCCTTTGAACGAGATCGACTCGATGACGTCCGGGTAGAGTGTTCCCTGCAGCAGATACTCGATCTGGGAGCCGTCTTTAGGCTTGATTTCGGAAGCCACCTTCTCGAAGACGTGGATAAAGGTGTTTCCGATGATCTTCCGCTTCTTTTCCGGGTCGGTGACGCCCTTGAGGTTGTCGAGGAACTGGCTCGAAGCGTCGACGACGGTCAGGTTGATGCCCAAGCCCTCGTCCAGCGTCTTTTTCACCTGGACCGTCTCGTTTTTTCTCATGAGCCCGTTGTCGACGTAGATAGCATGGAATCGGTCGCCGATGGCCTCCTTCATGATCTTGGCACCGACAGTCGAATCCACGCCGCCCGAGACAGCGCCAATGACCTCGGCCGAGGGACCAACCAGCGTGCGGATGCGCTTGATCTCCGTCTCGATGAAGTTAGCCATGGTCCAGTTCTGCGACGCCTTGCAGATCTTGACTGCAAAATTCTTGAGCAGCGTCTTGCCCTGCACGGAGTGCGTCACCTCGGGATGGAACTGAATGCCGTATATAGGCTTTTCCTCGTGCGCAATGCCCGCGAACGGAGAGTTGCCGGACGTAGCCACGGTCTTGAACCCGGTCGGCAGTGACTGCAACTTGTCGTGGTGCGACATCCACACCTGCGAGTGGTCCACTCCCTCAAACAGCGGACAGGCCGGGTCCACCACCGTCAAAGTGGCCGGACCGTACTCTCGCTTCTCGCCGCGACCCACGCCCTTGCCGTTGATCCAGGCCAGCTCCTGCATTCCGTAGCAGATTCCCAAGATCGGCACGTCCAGCTTGAACACGTCGTGGTCGACGTGCGGCGCGCCGTCCTCGTACACCGAAAACGGACCGCCAGACAAAATCACACCAACAGGCTTGAAAGGCAGCTCGCTGATCTTCTGGGTGCACGGCAGCATCTCTGCGTACACGTTGAACTCTCTTAGACGCCTGATAATCAAGTGCGAGTACTGCGAGCCAAAGTCCAACACGAGGATCGTGTTGAACACCTCGCTGACCTGTTCAACCGTGGGAGCCATGAAATAAAATAATTAATTGTAAATTATTTATTTCATTAAAAAATTTTCCGGCCCTGTACTCGGTGTGCCCAAAAGGGCAAGAGCACAGAGATAAGCCAGAGCAGCGCACTTTTCAGTAAATTCCGCGGCCGGTCGTGCTGGTGTAGGGCTTCTGCTGCGCCAGCGTGTGCAGGTCCTTCAGCACGGCCTTCACCGCATCCACGGCCTCTCGCGTGTTCTGGAAGCTGAACGCGATGCGGAACGATGCAACCTTGACGTTGTGTTTCTGGCCCACGTCGCGGATCCACTGGGGGTCGATCTTGTTCCTTTCGGGGTCCAGGAACACGAAATTGGTGTGCACGGGGACCTGCAGCACAAGACCCAGCTCCTCGGCGTACCTGCCCACCTCGGCAGCGTACGCGTGCGCAGTCTTCAGCTTGCTAAGATTGTGCGCCAGTGCGTACGAGCCCATGCGCGCCAGCGGTCCTGCCTGGCGAACGCCGCCGCCGTTCTGCTTTTTGAAGTGGTTTGCAACCCGAATCAGGCTCTCAGAGCCGACCAGAACGCTGCCGATCGGTGCACCAAGCGTCTTCGACAGACACAGCGAGATCGAGTCAAACAGCTCTCCGTACTCTGCCAGCGACACGCCGCTCGCGACTGCCGCGTCCCAGATCCGCGCCCCGTCGCAATGGATCGCTATGTTGTTGTCACGACACCACTTGCTGATGCGGTGGATCTCGTCTATAGGAAACACCAGGCCGTGCAGCGTGTTCTCTAGCGACACAACGCGGGTCGGGGCGCTGTGGATATCCCCGTTGTCCGGGATATAGTGGCGCTGGATGTCCTCTAGTGTCAAATGCAGCCCGTTGGCAGGGATAACCGTCGTCACCATCGCCTGCGACAGCGTGGCGAGTCCCGCGGCCTCGTGGACGAAAATGTGCGACCGGTAGTCGCACAGAACCGAGTGCGGAGGACGGTTGAGGTGGCTCCGGATGGCTATCTGGTTCGAGAGCGTTCCGGAAACGCAGTAGAGCCCTGCCTCGTGGCCCGTGAGCTCACACACGTGTCTCTGCAAAGCAAGCGTGTCCGCGTCCTCGTTGTACACGGAGTCCCCTGTGGACGCCTGGAGGACCGTCGCGAGCATTTCTGGCGACGGCGTGGTGAAGGTGTCGCTTCTGAATTCGTTCCAATTGGACGGCGTCGCGGCCATTGCTTGGAGGATAAATATTAAGAGGGTAACATTTTTTTATTCTATTTTATTTAATTTGTCTTGTTCATGACGTCCTACGAGTACGCCCCGCGAATGAAGTCTCAGCGACTCGTCGACCGCGCCAACCGAGACAGACACGAGGCAGAGCTGATGAGACAGCAACAGCAGAAACCCATCAGCAAGCCCCAAGTGGCGGATATCTGTCCTGGGCTGAACGAGATAACGGACGCCCTAGAAGCGTTTCCGTGCGACCTGATACGCTATTTCACGCTTCTGCGGGAGATCGACGCCAAATGCGTGTACACCATTCCGTACCTGAAGGCCTACATCACACGGTTTCTCCAGATCAAGCGGACGCATCCGAAGAGAGAGCTTCTGCTGGAGAGAATCAAAGACCTGATCAAAGACCTGATGCCGTGCCTCGAGGAGAAAATGCATGTGGCCACCATAGCTTGTGACACTGTCGCGAAACATGTCAATAGAATAAACCAGAACTACGAGATTGTGCTCCAGAACGAGATCCCCGAGAAAGTCAGAATCGGGCCCTTGATCCATCCGTGCATGAAGGTGACGGAACACAAGAGCGCACAATCGCAGCGCAGCGAGAGCCGCAGAGAGGCCCTTGCTGCCAAGAAGGCATCGCGCACAGAGACAGAGGTGGAAGACGAGAGCGCAAGGAACACGCCGGTCCCGTCGAACGGCACGCCGTCGTACGCAAATCCGTCGAAAAAGGTGAAGAAGGACAGAAAGGACGGCGACCATCTCGACGCTGCAGCCGCACAGTCGCTCTCCTCCAAGAAACGGAAACCGTTGCCCGGCTCGGTCGACGAGTCCAGACGGGTGAAATCATCAAAGCCCAAAAAGGAAAAGCGGGTCAAGGACGAATACGCAAATACCACCGGCGGCTCGACGCCAACACCTGTGCCTACTCCTGTGTCTGCTGCCAAGTCCGAGTCCGCAGCCACGTCTCCGTACGACGCAGAGCCTGTCTATTGCTATTGTCAGCAAGTGTCGTACGGAGAGATGGTTGGGTGTGACGGTGAGAGCTGCGAGCGCGAGTGGTTCCATCTGCCGTGTACGGGCCTGAAGGAGCTGCCGCGTGGCGAGTGGTACTGCGACGATTGCAAAGTGAAACTGAGGAAACGCTAGTAAAGTCTTTACAAGGTCTCTCCGAATCCGGTAATAGATAAATACAGGTCGTCGTCTGCGGTTTCAAAAAATGTAACGTCGAACTTAAAAACAAGAAAGGATAATAAATTAGTAAACAAGGCCAAAACTGTTTATTTTTTAGTCTATAAACAATTTGGGGAACGCCTGCCAGCTGAAGAGTGATCAATTGGACCTCGAAAAACTGAAACCGTATACTGTGAGAGTTTCATATAATTAATCTATTTGAAGTTACAACGATGAGTTTATTGAACAAGAAAACAAAGGCCCAGCTTGAGGAAATTGCTAGAGACCTGGATGTCAACATCAAGTCATGCAAGGTGAAACAGGCGCTTGTTGACAGGCTGACGGACCATTTCTTGGAGAACGCTGACAAGTATGACAAGGACCACGAATATTACGACTATGTTGTCAGTGTCAAGCAGGAGGCCGAAAATGAGAACGACGACGAGGACGAGGACGATAATGACGACGAATCTGACGAAGCTGAAATTATAGATATCGAGGAATCCGATGCCTACGACTCTGATGATGATTTCGACCTGGAGCCATCCACCCTCGACAAGATTCTCGATTACATCGACAACGATACTCTGTACGAAATAGCAGACTACGTTGCCGAGAAGAACTACGAGCTTAGAGATTACCTCAGCGACCCATTCACCATCAACGATTTCACCGTCGTTGGAGAGTTCATCTACTTGTATCTTCACTTTGCCAAGTCAATAGCTCTGGGCGATATTCGCTTTGTGCCGCAAGTTGTGAAGAACAGCCTTCCAGCAGCAGTCCTCAAGACTCCAGTCACCGACCTCACGCACTTCCTTGATGTAAACTTCTGGTCGACTGTGCTTCTGTGGCTTCTTGTTTCCTATGGAGCTCCTAAACTCACTTCTTACTACGTCAACTTCACTTACAACTTTGAGTACGACCCATTCATTTTCGCGCTTGCCAAGTTGCTATTCGGTCTGATACTGTTCAAGACGGAGGTCAGCGGACACGATATCAAGGATGAGCTCGTGTTCCAGTTCTCTTTCAAAAACTACTCTGTTGAATACGCTGCTAAGCTCTTCAAACACTACCTGCTTACGAGCACTCTTCTTCTGAGAAACTACTTTGGCAACTGGGTTCTCATCGGTGACTTCTTCGCCGCGTTTGTTGCTCTTTACGCCAACTTGTCCTTCATATAAAGTGGCCCCCATCAGTTCCGCTCCTGGTGTGTTTTTTACTGTGTATTATCTGACAGACTTTTGCGTTTATAAGATTGATTATTATTTTTATTCGAGCTTACTGAAATATTGCAGCGCTTCGCGCCTTCTGCTGGCTGTCACCTTGTATTCAGTCCATATTATCTCCCCCACCTCTTCTATGCTCTTGTTGTCCACATATATCGTCCTCCAGTTATCCTCGTTCTGGAATTTCTCGAACTGGGTCTTCACTTTCTGTTGAAACTCAGCAACTTCATACCGTTCCTCCCCAAACCCTTCTCTAGTAACGTTCTCTTCCTGTTTGAACTTCATAAAAAGTACAATATCCGGTTTCGGAAGCCCTATGTCTGGACTTAAACACCAGTCGAACGGCAATCCTTTGGCTGAAGAATATGCTACTCCCGAGTAAACGTATCTATCCAGTACCACTGTTTTCCCGTCTTCCAGCAGGCTTCTGATTTTCTCGGCGAGTTCCCATCTATTGGCACTAAACAAGAGATGTGCAGACTGGTCGCTCAGCTCAAATGCCGTATCTGTAAGATATGTGTTGATTATCCTCCCAATTGGGGTTGTCCGTTCGGGAAATTTGATCAGCGCTGCGTCCACACCATCCTTGTCGAGTTTTTCTAGCAGACGTGTCGTTTGCGTGGTCTTGCCAGTGCGATCCAAACCTTCTATGCAAACCAGGACACCACGCGTCATAAGAATGATATTTGGTTTGCAAAAAAAAAAATCGACAGCAACAGGATTTGAACCTGTGCGGACAAAGTCCATTTGATGGCACGAACAGGAATTCGAGTCAAACGCCTTAACCACTCGGCCATACTGTCGGTACGCTACGTTTTGCAAGCTGGCTCCATATGACGACTTGTGCTAGTCTTATTCGTTTCTGTTATGTTACACTTCTATATATTTTATCAGCCTCGAATAGTCCTCAATGACCCCCGGCTTGTCTTTGGCAACTATCTTGTGCATCATGGACTGAAACACAATGCTGTGGCTGTCAATATCCATTTGATCTGGTTTGAGGTGCACGTCAAATTTGCCGTGGTAAATAAAATAGTGAATAAAATAGAGGAAGCCCGATAAAACATGGTACAACTTCGAACCCTGGACTGAATACCTGTCCATGTTGATTTTGTTCACCAGCCTGCGGTTGTGCCAGCCATACATCTCAATCAAACGCCGCACGGCAAAGGGCCTGCACACATCCTTTGCTCCCCGCGACCTGAATGATATTTCAAGCACGTTGACCACCAGCTGTTCTTTTGTCCTATCTGTGTTGATCAAGTAGCTGGAGCCGTTTTCCAGCACAAGCGGAAACACCTGGCTCCGGTGGTCTGCGCTCAAAAGGACCTCCTGGAACTCCTCCTCGTCGAACTCGATTTTGCTTCTTGAATTAAAATATCCGACAGTAATTTCTCTGAAAAGCATGCTCCAATTGTCAAAGCCAGTATGGTTGTCCACGTGGCACCAGCCTTCAATCATTTCCACCACCTCATCGAAAACGTCGGCATCCTCAGGCAGCTGATCGGCTCCCGCGTTGATGCTCTCCAAAAAGTGTTCGGCCGTCTTGAGAGGGAAATACTTGCTGAAATCGGCAGTTTCTGGATCGAATCTCGCGAGAATTTCGGGATCCGGTTCCGACTTTGTTTGGCTCTTCTCTACAAGCTTGTTCATCAGCGAGTTTCCCAAAATATGTCTGGCATTGCCGAAACGATCAAAGTTCTTGATCTCCTCGTAAAATTCAGACACATCGAAGGTTCGAAGCTCAGGATCCGGGGAGATAAACATTTCTTTCAAGTGTGTAGGCGAAACACAGAACGTGAAAACAAGCGAGAGCATGTTTATTGCGTTGATTGGACACAGTGGCTCAATAAAGTTTGCCACTCTGTATGGTTTTTTCAGGGTGGACTTGTTCACCTTGTGGCCAAAATAGATCACAAAGTCCTCAATTTTAAGCACAGATCGCAGGGGGAATCCCGCATCAGACTCTTTGTACACTTCAGAGCAGTTTACCAGGACGATTTTCTGGCTTTCGTGGAAACCGACCGCCAGGTGCCAATCACCTGCCCATAGAAAGGGATGGAACGTGAGCTCCGGATGTCTGGTTTTGGGGCCATAGCTGTCGCGCGCTCTAAAGAGCACGAATCGTGTTCCTGTGTTGTACTCGTCCAAAAGTAGGTTCATATAGTAGAATACCATTTCTGGTGACCACACCTTCTCCCTATGGGAATCATCAGAGAATTTCAGTCTGCTCTTCATTCCTGTGGTTTTGTGGCTTATAATCTCCTCTGGGGCTAAAGAATGGTATTCCCTAGACAGCAGGCTGTGAGTTAGCACGCAGACGCATCAACTTACATCGAATCGATCATTTTGTCTAGCTGTTTGTTTGACATGTCCTGTGAGAGAAAAAAATAGGAAGGGGGCAGAAAAGGCAGACTTTCCGCGACAAGTTTAAGCCAGAACAGAATTCGACAATTAAAATATTCGCAAGTAGGGCCGGACGACACAGGGTCGTATCTGCTCTTTCACAACGCGTAGTGGCTGACTATTCGGCCAGAGTTGCATCGTTTGGCTAGACTTTTTTTTGTACACTGTCAATATTTAATACTTCCTTTTCTTAAATCCAAGACTATCAAGTCAGAAGTGGAACACGTTCCACCAGACCCTACGTTACTTCTCACAAGAACTCTTCAGATCAATCACCAGCATAGCAAAGCATGCCCTCTGCGTCATCTGATGATAAGTTCAAAGGCAGTCCTCTCTCCAGGCTGCTCTGTACTCTTCACCGTCGTTTTAGTTGAATATTTTTCTCTTTCCCAAAATGGATAACTAATGATCTGGAGGCTGGTTGTCGAGATTATTCTTGTGTCCAACTTTTGCTCCTGCGCATCGGTAAGCATGACCCTTCCTTGTCCTCCGTTCAAAGCCAAAGCCATTTGGAGTTGGGGTGGCAACAACAAGGATAAGGATCTTGGGTTTATCGAGGGAGATATCATCGAGGTGTCCAAAACTTCCTCAGACGGCCAATGGTGCTACGGCGTTTCACTAAGAACCAAACTTACTGGAAGATTCCCGACCAAGTTCATCCAGGTGCTGCAGATCAAGGAGTCCGGGTCGCGAAAGAGCCTGCTGGAATTGAAGGAGTCTAGCTCCTCCAAGTCTCTCAGACTCACACCGTCCGCCTCGTCCAGCAGCCTGAAACTAGGCTCTTTTGTTTCCGTGCCGACGGACGTCACGAACTACGACGAGGTCCCGCCTCCACCGCCAAAGCACCAGTATTCCACATACAACAAACTGTTCACCTCGTCATATACGCAGCGGATCCTTGACTCGTCCACCTTATCAACAGACACGGAACGGTCCTCCTACTTTGGACATTCGGACTTTTCCGCCACCTCAGCGGGCTCGTTGATGCGACACAAGGAATCAAAAATGCAGGCCAGTACGTCGGACAGCGACAGACATGATCTGGTGAGCTCGATGCTCGAGAAGGGCCCTACTGCCAAGCACCCTAACTTCTTTAGAAGGTTTCTGGGTCGAAGGTCTGTCGAGCCTTCGTTAGACGACCAGATTTTCAGCACGAGTCTCGATAAGCTCGAGGAGCTCACGATAATAGAGACAAATACCGACGACGACCTGGCGAGAACGCAAACTCTGAGCGGACGCGACAGGGCCAACAGAAAGTCCCGTGTTGTCCAGGAAGAGCCCGACCTGATTCTGCAACCGCAAAAGGCTATCTCGAGCCTGAACGTCGACGAGAAGCTGTCGTACTCTACTCCGTCTATGATTGACGCGACAGACTTAGACCACGTCGATGAGTTTGTGGCAGAGCTGCCGGACGACCGGTTCATAGGGCCCAGGGAGATTGTGAAAAACCGTATAGTTCCAAAGTTGCCAACTTCCCTCGAGCGACTGAGAGCAATTTACATCTATCTCACCACTAGGTTCGAAATCATAGGGAAACAAGAAAAACTCAGCGCCAAAGTGTCGCCATCCGAAACCGTGTTTACAGACATCATTCATAGAAAAAGATGTACCGGCCACGAGCTCACGTGGATGTTCTATATCATGGCGTCGCATCTGGACCTCGAAATGGAAATAATACTTGGAAATTTTAAAAGACCGCTACAACCACTCGACAGCAACCTTGTGCTCAACCACACATGGATATCAGTGCTGGTGGAAGGTGAATACCGCTTTATTGACGTTGCTCTTGGAAACCACACCAATCCAATAAATGATGAGCTCAATTTAATTGAGCCGCTATCGCTACAGCAAAACTCCGAGTTTTACTTCCTCACTAAGCCCTTGGACCTGCTCTACACCCACGTTCCGATGCATGCAGACCAGCAGCATATCGTTCCTCCCCTGGATCCTTTGGTCCAGATGGCGTTACCTCCATTATATTCAGGCTTCTTGTATTACAAACTTAGTCTTTACAAGTTCAACCATTCACTGTTCCGCCTAAAAGATTTGGAGTTGATTGAGTTCGACCTCGAAATTCCAAGAAAGATCGATGTCCGCGCGATCGTCAGGTCATACGATAATGATGCCCAGGGGGAAGCACTGGTACAGATTTACATGAAAAGAGACAAGAGGCTGGCGAAGATCAAGGCAGCAATGCCTCCAAGGTGCTCTTTGGGCTTCATCTGTGTCTATGCTCGCTCGACTTCGCGTCCGGGAGCAGACTTCTCGATGGTTCTTTCTTTGCCCTGCTCTCACAAGGGAAAATACAAGCCGATAGAATGGGTGAAGAAGAACGATAACAATGCTCATCTAGACTTCGATCTGTACATCAAACAGCCCCAGATATTTAATCTGACTCAAAACTCGCCATATACATTCCAGGTGTTCTCCACCGATAGCACAATCAAGTGCAACCTAATTTCTCCCACTGGGACTTTCCATCTGTTGCAATATCAGAACGATGCGTTTGAGCTTACAAAGCGTCTGAATGAGCCCGGACTATGGAGACTCGTGGTTCTCAACAACGATTCCTGGCACGTTTACGCTGAATGGTCATGCTCTTGATAAGTATCGTAGATAAAGACTGTATAAATGCATACATCACTTACTGAGACACTTCGTCGTATAAAGGAGGACTTTCAGGGACTTCCTCCTGCTCTGATGGCGCATTTGCCGAGCGTTCGTCTTCTCTTAAAGTGTGTAGCGTAATGTTCTCCTGAGCATCGTTGAGCTCAGAAAAGCTATCCACAGCATCCCAGAAATCTGGTGGAAAATCGCCGTTTCGCAAACTGAGATCGTTGAGATCCAAGTCACTGGTTTCCAATAGAATATCCTTATTGAATTTCGTGTATAGCGGCGGAGGAATCTCGTTGCCTTCGAGCGGACCAAATCCCCATTTTTTGACGTTTCCCTCTATGAAAACATATCCCACTTGTCCAACGTTCACATGAAGCGCGCATCTGTTGTTCGAACCAACTGTAGGGTATAGTTGTAGATTTTTCGGGAGCTTAATATGGCCTCCTATTTTCGACTCCGATAGTTTCTTGCCGTTTCGCGTCCAGAAAACGGTCCTCGACGCTAATTTGATGCCACATCCAATCACATCCCCGTGCTCGAGAGTAGGGAAAACTGCGTCCTTCAGCGGGAAAGGATCATTATAGCGTCTGTGGCCTGTCGAATCGTACGAAGTCGAGATGCGGCTGCGGCCTGGGAGGCGGAAGTATGGATATGGGGAAGTGGCAACTCCAATTGATATTAATGTATCTTCAGGGCTAGGAAGGTCGTATATCTTAGTCTCAAAATAGTACACTTCGTTCTCTTTTGGCATAGGAAAGTTCGTCTGAATTGACAGCTCTTGGCCTGAATTCAGGAATTCAATCTCGGTCTTGTCTACCACGCGAATATACTCTTGGCATTCAACATGAGGCCGGAATTCCCAAGCTGACACTCCTTTTTCCTGGATGATTAGATTTTGCGATAAGGTCAGCTCCTGGTTGTTCATCGGATTCAGCTTCAAAAAATCCTTGGCTTGGAAATATAACTCTTGTTCGTTGGGAGGGAGCTCATCTAACGCGCGTCTGTCTTCCTCAGCCTCCTGTGCAGCATCGTCCAAGGATCCTGGGAACTCGTGGGTCAGTCGTATGCCTCTTCGCAACAATTTCTGAAGGCAATAGACGACCAGCGATATGATGATTACACCAAAAAACCCAATCGCCATCCCCAATAGGACAACGACGTCCGACGGTATGCTGTCGGGCTGGTTCTCGAAAGTAACCGGAGCGCCCTGGGCCCCGTAGCTAAGTAAGCTAAGTACACCCAGAAAGCACTGCCTGTCGTTCATAAATGGCATACTGTACTATTTTGCTAACTTGGTCAAAAAGCCCTTGTATTCAGAATAAGCAAATCCTGATATCTTTGGCAATATATTTGTATGATTAACAATTTTGACGGCGACAGCTGGGAACAAACGAATATATTTATCTGGATTTTTTTTATTTTCTCTTTATATCGATTATATGTGAATTTCACTAATTCGGCTTTCGATGTCTACTGCGTATGCTAAGGAAAAAAAGGTAGGCGAAGGTACCTATGCCGTTGTTTTCTTGGGGAAACAGGTTGCAACAGGTCGAGATATTGCCATCAAGGAAATCAAAACGGGCGGCTTCAAAGATGGGCTTGATATGTCAGCCATCAGAGAGATGAAGTATCTTCAGGAGTTGAAGCACCAAAACATCATTGAACTGGTGGATGTTTTTGCAGACGAGGAGAAAAATCTCAATTTGATTCTGGAGTTTCTTCCCTCGGATCTCGAGATGATCATCAACGATAAGAAGCTGATGATTGTCCCAGCAGACATAAAATCCTGGATGCTGATGACTTTGCGAGGGTTGCATCATTGCCACAGGAACGGAATACTCCATCGCGATCTGAAGCCTAACAATTTACTAATCTCGCCCGAAGGATACGTGAAAATAGCCGATTTTGGTCTTGCGAGGTCGCTTGGCATGCCTAATGAGAAACTCACATCTAACGTGGTCACCAGATGGTACAGAGGTCCCGAACTTCTCTTTGGTGCTCAGCATTATTCTCCAGCAGTGGATATTTGGGCTGTTGGGATCATTTTCGCCGAGTTGATGCTGAGAACGCCGTATTTACCTGGAAAGGATGACGCAGACCAGCTAGTTGTTACTTTCCAGGCGTTAGGCACTCCAACCGAAGAAAATTGGCCGGGCGTTTCCCACCTCCCGAACTACAACAATCTCACAGTTTATCCAGAGCCTTCGCGACAGGAACTGAGAAACAGATTCCCGGCCGCTACAGAGTCCGCGCTGGACCTGATGTGCGGCATGCTAGCATTGAACCCAAATAATAGACTTGACACCGAGGCTTGTCTTTTGCATGGCTATTTTACAGAGTCACCAGAGCCAACGGAGCCAGAGAATCTACCGAAGAAACTTTAAGTTTATCCTAACATGTTGTACACATGTTTTCCAATTGCCATGCTGGCAGTGAGTCCGGGACTCTCTATTCCAACGAGATTGACGAAGCCGGGGAATGTCTCCTCAATCACAAAGTCGTGTAGACTTTTAGTTCCAGGAGGGATCAGTTTTGGACGGATGCCGCTGTAACTAGCACTTAAATTTTCGCGCTTCACTCCGGGGAAATACTTGGACACTTCCTCGTGGACAGAATCGAGATTTGCTTCGTTCGGCTTGAAATCGTCCGGCCTGTCGACCCATTCCAGGTCTGGGCCGAATCTGAGCTGTCCTCCCAGATCCAGGGTCAAATGAGTGCCCAAGGTTGCAATATTTGGAGTTGGACACGGATACACAAGTCTGTGAATTCCAGGGTTATGGGAGTATGCAAAATAGTTCCCCTTGGCATAGTATGGAGTATAGTGCTTCTCCCTAGGAAGCAGAAGGTTGGCGATTCCCGGAGAATACAGTCCTGCACTATTAATCACTACATCTGCGCTGATCGAAAACTCCTCGTCCCCAGAAATTGTGGTCAGCTTGTACCCGCCATTTTTGTCTATCCCGATCACCTTTGTCGACGTCATCAACATGCCTCCGCGGTTTTCCAGCTCTGCAAGAAGGTAGTCCATCAGAGAATGTGCAGACACAATTCCCGTAGTTGGAGAGTACAGAATACCGGCATTCGCACGAATCAATGGTTCCTGCTGTCTAGCTTTTTCTAGTGGCACAAACTCAGTTGGAACACCGATTTTTTTGGACTTGTCGTGCAACTGATGCAGATACTCTAGTTGAGCATCATCCTGAGCCACAATCCATTTGCCACACTTTGAAGACTCGACTCCCAACTTTGCAGCGTCGTATATCATCTCTTTACCCTCGATGCATAGTTTGGTCTTGAGAGACTCATCAGGATAGTACAGACCTGCGTGGATCACTTCAGAGTTCCGAGAAGAAGTTTCCTGTCCGTGGTGTGCATGCTTTTCCACGACTAGAACATTGTTCGACTCTCTTTTGGCCAGTTCGGCACCCACCGCCAAACCTACGACGCCGGCGCCAATAACCACATGAGTGAAGTCGGACAGGACGGCGGCTGACCGATGAAAATGTCTAATTCCCCGCATGTACGTAGCCAATCTACTCATATAGAGATCACTATTTATATTAAGTTTTGACGAAATACTCCGGGCTGATTAGCGAAGTGCGGCTTGGCTTATGTAATAAGTTACGACAGATCACGGTGGTCATTATAAGTTCAGATTATCGTCTGAAATGGATGCGATGGTTTTAGAAGTAGCACCAATTTACGCTTGAAATGGTACAATCGGCTTTCAAATGAATTGTTTGGCAGATATCTGTGTAGCGAGGCAATAAAGGGTACTCGTCTTAACAGTATGCATACTTCTTATCATCATGTTAGGCCATATCGACATCTGCACTGTAAGCGCGTGCAAGGGTGTCATCGCCAAGCGAGCTTTTGACGCGTTCTGCCAGCATGATTGGGTTGGAGTAGCCTCGTGTGACGGGTGCCCTGGTGCCTTTGAATGCTGTCTCTATGATATCCTTTTTCAGCCGCACCTCATCAAACCAAACGTGTTTGGACGCTTTGGAGACTTCGAGCCTCTTGGTAGCGTCCACAACCAGAAGTCGCGAAATCAAGTCGAGGGCCGAGTCCTCTATTTCATCCCAGTAGGGCGAGTAAAAAGCGTACTTACCCTCGATGATCTGCTGCCGCATCGATGGAGGGCCCAGCTCCTCGCTGAAGGGAGGAAACCCGCACAAACACACGTATATCAGCACTCCAACGGACCACATATCGACGGCTTTTGTGTATTTGCGCTCCGTAGAGTTCACGAGCACTTCAGGCGCAACGTATGCTGGCGTTCCGCATAGCGTATCGGTGAACTTTGTCGCTCCAATGAACTTCGCAAGCCCGAAATCTGCAATTTTCACCTTGACATCCAGCTCGTGAGAGTCCCAGGGCCCCGTCTGTTTGTCGGAATCGTGTTTCTTGAGCGTGATGTCCAAGAGAATATTTTCCGGCTTCAAGTCTCTGTGCGCGATGTCTAACGAGTGGAGGTACTTGAGGCCATTCACCAACTGGCTCATGAGAGCTTTTGTCTCGTTCTGGCGAAGCTTGCCCTTGGACACGATTCTGTTAAAAAGCTCGCCACCGTTCACTTTCTCCAACACCAGATATGTGGTCATAGTGTTGGCGTCATACGGTTCCACAAACGTTTCGTACGATCGAACGATGTTCGGATGGTCGATCTTCATGAGGATGTCCAGCTCCCTGTTGAGCGAGGTGGTCCAATTGGCATCTTTGCGAGTTGGATTGAAGATCTTGACCGCACAAGACTCTCCTGTGCTTCTTCGAACGCACTCCTTCACCTGCGCATAGTGTCCGCACCCTAGTAGCTCACCAATAATATAGCCGTCGTAGAAAGAGCCAGTTCCAGGCCTTCGAGCGCTCTTCAAAATGAAACTTGCCTGGTACTTCAAGATATAGTGGCAATCAGCAGCAAAAGAGATCTTGTCTCCAGATCTAATCAAACAAGTATTTTCCTTACCAACGAGAAGTCCGTTCACGAAGGTGCCGTTGGAGCTAAGGTCCTTGAGATAAATTAGATCTTTTCCGTTAAGGTGGCTCACGCCGATTTCGCAATGATACGTTGAACAGTCTGCTGGAGTGAGAACGATGTCATTTTTTTTGGAACGACCCACTCGAAGGCAGACTTTTCTCCGAAGCTCGATTTGCTGGGGGCCAGTAGCAGCGGGATCCAGATTATATAACGAGGCCACAGCTGGAAGCGGCAGTTTCTTGGACTCGGGTGAAGAGTGCGGAGGGTCCGAAAGCTTTCTCTTGCGGCTCAAGGAGACACTGGAAAGCATGGTGGCAAGACAAAATCGGGGACAAATCTTGGATTTCGCGTACTAATTTTTCAAAATACACGGCTGTGTAGCCGGAATTTAATGTATCACATACCGTAAAAATGCTCAACGGTATTTTGAATAATATCTGATTTAGGAATACTGATTAAAATGGCCGTTACAGGACTGGGAGAAGTCGATCAAAAATACGACGGTAAAGGTATCCGTGTTGGCATTGTTCATGCCCGGTGGAACAAAAAAATTATTGACAATCTCGTCCTTGGTGCCAAGAACAAGCTTCTTGAGTTCGGTGTCATGGACTCAGACATCATCATCGAGTCTGTCCCGGGCTCTTACGAGCTTCCATTGGCCACCGTGGCCATGTTCAACAAGCACAATGTCGACGTTGTCATTCCTATAGGATGTCTGATTAAGGGTTCCACGATGCACTTCGAGTATATTTGCGATTCAGTGTCGCATGCTCTTATGGACCTCCAATTCAAAATTGGAAAGCCTGTGATCTTCGGCGTTTTGACGTGTCTCACTGAGGAACAGGCAGAGGCCCGTGCTGGCCTAATCCCAGGCTTTATGCACAACCACGGCGAAGATTGGGGTGCTTGCGCTGTTGAGATGGTCGTCAAATTCGGCGGGTCGTCAAGCCTCAGAATATCATAAGCACATATTTCATATTTCACTAATTTTTTTTTATTTTTTTAGGGAAAAGTTCGTAGCCATGGTTAAGCGAGGGCTTTCTGACAACGAAAGTGAAAGGGAGCAGGAATGGAGAAACAGAGACAAGGATGAAGAGAGCAGCAACTCCTCTGATGAAAACGAGGAGGATTATAGTGATTCTAATGACTATCCCGGAAATCAGAACAAGGTGATAAAAGATAGGTTCCAGGCCAGTGATAGCGAGGAAGACGACGACTATGACGTCGAGTTTGAGAAACACGTACAGGAGGCGCGCCAAGAAATGCAACAGAGCGCCAAGAAGCTCAAACAACTGACTCCGGAACAGCTAGCCAAAGAACAGAAAAAGATTAAACGTAGCGGAGTGGTGTATCTTTCGACTATCCCCCCATACATGAAGCCAGCAAAACTCAGGCACGTATTGCAACGGTTTGGAAAAGTAGGGAGACTGTACCTCAAGCCTGAGGATCCTAAAGTTTACAAGACAAGGGTGAAGACCGGAGGTAACAAGAAAAAAAAGTTTGTAGAGGGCTGGTGTGAGTTTGAGAATAAGAAGGACGCCAAACTGGCGGCAGAAACCTTGAACGGGAACAAGCTGGGAGGAAAGAAAGGAAACTTTTACTATGATGACATTATGAACATCAAATATCTCAAGGGCTTCAAGTGGCATGATCTGACGGAAGCTATGAATAGAGAGATCGAAATCAGAGAGAGCAAGATGCAATCTGAGCTTTCTCAAGCGCACAAAATAAACAAGAACTTCATCAAGAATGTGGAAACCTCGAAGATGATTGAAAACATCAAGAAACGAAAAAAGAACGCAGAGCCCACTGTTCAGCGCGTATACGCCCAGCGGTCTGTTACTACTAACAGAGCAGGAGCCGATGAATGGCAGAAGGATACCAAAAATGCAGAGAGCGGCAAGCTGAAGAAAGTGCTTGAAAATATTTTCTGATGTACTTCAATGTAGTAAAATTCAAATATTTTCTTGGTATTTTTCTAATATTTTTTTATATATTTTTCATGTTTAGGTATTCATCACGGCTGCCGTCCCGGCCACTGTTTGCCGGGCTAGGGCAAGTACGATGGCGAAGAGCGGGTTCCAGAAAAACCAAGGAGAAAAACTCCGGCCTGCAGGTGGTCAAAACCCCGGAGGAGCTGCTACAAGAATATAGAAATGTGGACATTGACAATTTACGCGAACAATACGAAAATCTTAATAATGTCAGGTTCTGCGAGCCTAACAGGCAATGGATCTCCGCTATGTTTGGTCTGGACAGCGTTCCAGCAGATTTTAATTTTTTGGATACGCCAGAATCCCGGGTTAAAGTCCGCAAGCTTCTAAAAGAGAGGTATGGCAGGATTTCTACCTCGATATCTTTCAACCAGCTATATTTTACTGACATAAACGTTGGAGACGTGGTTGATTTATCGCTTTCTCTGGACAGCAATAATCTTGCCGTTGTTGCTGAACTTCCGCAGGATATTAAAGACCCCCGTTACACTTTGATTAATAAGTATGGAGATTTGGAGTTTGTGAGCAAAAAACGTTTTCGTTTCAGACTGCCTTCTATTTTCCCACCGGAGTGGTTCAACGGTTCGGTGATGAACGAGCAAATGATATTGGCAGACCTGGGGAGCTACGCCCAGCCCATTGGTAAAGTGAAATATAAGCTCGAAGAAAATCCAGATCGCGCTCGTATGTTTGACGAGATAATTTCGCAGGATATCAATGATACAGAGGAATTGACTACATACATTGTTCCCTCTCTTCTTTCGGGAGTAGTGAGTGAGGAGCTATCCAAACTGAACAATAGGGCCTGGAGTTTACTGCCTGACGTGAATTTAAAGCTGGAAACTCTCCACAACATTCTGCAGAGCTCCAACGGGCCCGTTCAGCTCAATTTCTGTGAAATTTTCCGCGCTTGCAATTTGGTGAATTTAGAGAAGGTTGCAAAGGTGCTCCGTTCGAAAGACCCGCAGACAATCCAGAAGAGCAACAAAAGATTACACAACTTGCTGACACGGATGCTGGCAATTGGAAACCAGTATGACTGGGTTAGTCTGGGCAAGAATCCTTTTGGAAAAGTTAGCAGCACGGACAAGATGAGTCCGGAAGCAGTTTATGCTCTCATGCTGGGTTTGCGCAAAAACAACCAAACATATGCTCACGATACGAAAAACATGCTGCCAAAACATGTGACCGTTGTTCCTTTGGAGACAATGGTGGAGCACAATAAAGTTGTGCAGGATTACGAGTCAAACGAGCAACTGCACGGCCAGCTCACCGAGTACATCATGCAAAGGCTCAAGGGAGTCTCTCCGAACACGAAGCCCGAGCACTACGAGCGGATTATGGAGATGTATCGACTGTACATTGCCGGCTCTGTGAGCAGTCCTAGCTGTGAGTCTTTTCTGGTCAAGATTGTGCGAAGACTTCCGAGCCACAACCATCTTCAGATCACCAGAGACGTCATTTACGAGCTGCTTTTGAGATTGAAGGAAATTGCACCTAATGAGAACCCGATTAAATGGTGGATAAATTTTCCTGCTCCGGGAAGTGGACTTTCTCTAAAAGCAGACCTGGAGCAGGAGTTCCATGAGAAAATCACCAAAGACACACTGAACAATTTCTTCTTCGTCGACCAGGAAATATATAACCATCCGCGTCCGCATTTTTCGGACGTCGTCTACTGTATTGACTCGGTCGACGCCAAGGAAATCGATGACGGTGTCAGTGTTCACCGGATAGACGAGAACAAGTTTGTGGTTGGCGTGTTTGTTGCAGATCCGGCTTCCTATGTCCATCCAAAAAGCACAGTTGCAGACATTGCGTACGAACGTGCTTCCACGCTTTATTTACCAGACGTCGGGGCTGCGGCCAACGGACTATCGATGATGCCCGAGGCTCTGACAAAAAATATCCAGCTGGGTGTGCACGGAATCCCCCAGAGAGTGCTAAAGGTGAGCTATGTGGTGGATCTCGCCAACGGAACAGCAGCTCTAGCGCCAGATGGTGTGCAATTTGGTGTTGCTGACCAGTTCCTGGGTACGGATTACGACTCGGTCAATAAGATACTCGAGGACGCAAGCGACTCAGATAAAATTCTGAACGAGATGTCAGCGCCCACAAATATTCCAGCATCGAAATTATCAGCCGACCTCAAAGCGCTGTACACTGTGGCCGACGCGCTCCGCAAGAGAGCTGTGGAAAATGGAAGAGTCACAGTGTTTGATAATTTCTCTATGGGCCGCAGGGTGGACACCATCAAGGAGGACGCAGAGGACATCCTCATCAGTTTTAAGGAAAAGCGCACAAACCAGCGGCTTTTATCCGAAGTGCTCGTTTCTGAGCTTATGGTCAACGCCAACAGACTAATTGGAGAATTTTTCAGAGAGAATAAAATACCAGGCCTGTTCAAGATCCAGAACAAACAGCCAACAACCCCGGAAGTGGCACGGCAATTACGTGAACTGCAGCAGAAAAAAGGAACTGTGACTACCAACGAATTCTTTTTGCTCGGCGAGTTCCTGAACAAATCCCACGTTGCTCCATTCCCTGCGAGACACGATTCTCTTGCTGTCGAGGCTTATGCCACCGTTACATCGCCGCTGCGGAGATTCGCCGATCTCGTTAACCACTGGCAGCTGCACTGCTATCTCTCCGAAGGCACGCCCGCCTTCAGGCAGGAACATGTCAACGCAATGGCCTACCATCTCGAGATGCGCGCCGACATCGATAAACGAGTTTCCTCAAAGATCATGACATTCTACATGTTCAAACACCTCAAGTATCTGCAAAAATCATCGAAGGAGCCGATCCGTGTTGAATGTGTTGTTTGCAGGCCCGCTTCTGACGACGGTATTTTGGACGTTGTTCTGTCTGACTACGGCGTGTACGGTGTTCTGGAAACCAGCCAATCTGACAGGACTAGAGAGCTCTTGAGCGACATTGAAGTGGGTGACGTGATAAAGGACGCTGTGATCGTGGACATGGACCTTCTAGAGGGTTTGCTTGTACTTAGAAGTGACAGCCACTGAACTGTACATAGAAATTAAAATAAATAACGAACGGCTAAAAAAAATAGCTTGATATTTTTTCGATATCTCCATGGCAAAGAAAGGCAAGAAGCAGGAGGTCGAAGAGACTCCAGGAAGCGACAGCGACTGGGAAGACACAGGCAAGAAGCCAAGCAAGAAACAGCTAGAAAAACAGGCCAAAAAGCAGGCCGATGCAGACAAGAAGAAAGAGCGTGAGGCCTTGCTCGCGATGGAGGAAGAAAGCTTGGCCAAGGCCAAGGGTGGCAAGGGTAAAAAGGGCAAGAAAGGCGGAAATTCCGACCTGGACGACGCATTGAACTCCTTCGGCCCTAAGACAACCATCGATGCCCACGGAGTCGAAGATTCTCTCGCTGCTCTGTCTCTTCTCAAAAACGACGTCGTTTCAGCAAAGGATATTGATAGACACCCTGAAAGGCGTTTCAAAGCTGCATTGGCCGCATACACGGAGCGTAGACTCCCAGAATTGAAGAAAGAGAATCCAGGACTAAGAAAACAGCAGCTAGAACAGCTCATCTACAAGGAGTTCCAAAAGAGTGACGAAAACCCAATGAACAAAGAAACTAACGTCAGCTACAACGCCAAAAGCGATGACGTGCGTAAAGTCAAAGAAACGGTCCGTGAAAAACGCTCCAAGAAGTATGAGAAATAGTGAACTTAGTTTGTTTATTCTTAAATCTCTATATTACACTACTCGAACAAGTCGTCTAGCTTAGTCTCCTCGGTCTTCGACTTCTTTCTCTCTCCTTCGTTTTCGTCTCCGTCTTCAGCCTTGCGTTTCTTGTCTTCGTCCTCACTTTCCTCGTCGAAAAGGTCGGCATCGCTCTTGTCCTCTTCGCTCTCCTCCTTGTTAGGCTCCTCCTCCTCCTCCTCACTGTCAACAACAAACTCCTTCTTCTTCTTACGTCCGCCGCGTTTCTTCTTCGGTTTCTCCTCAGAAGTCACGTCCAGCTCATCTCTGTTGTCCTTAGCTTCCTCCAGACGCTGCTGATTCCACTCCTTGGCGGCCTCTTCAAGCCGCTTTCTTTCCTCAGCAAGTTTCTCTTCCAGCTTGCGCTGTTCCTCCAGTTCTTTCTCCCTCTGCTCCTGCTTCCTTTGCTCCTCAAGTATCTTTTGTTTCTTTGCGGTACGGATCTTGTTTTCAACTTCACCCTCATAATCTTTCTGCTCGGAAATTGCTTTCTCCAGTTGCTTGATAAGAGTATTACCCATATTCGCTCTCAACTTCAACTCTTCAGCAGGAAATGGAGGATGTTTCTCGTTGCTGGCCAGCTCATTCAACGATTTGATAGCCTGAACCAGCCCAACCATTGATTCCTCAAGGTCGGCAACGGTTCTCTTCGTAGGTGGCTGCTTTCTCAAAAACTCTGCAAGCTGGAAATGAACAAACGCAATATTGAACTTTATCGAGGGCAACCCATTGATCTTATACGCTTTCTCTGCGAGCTGAACCGCCGTCTTGAAATACTCCAACACTTTCTCTGCCATGGCCCTCTGCAACCAGGCCCTGCTAATGAAGTTGTAGATATTGGCATCCTGCCCATTCGTGTACCGAGTAAGCGCTAGCTGGTAGCTTTCTATACTCTTCGCGTACTGCTTAGCTTCCAAAAAGCAGTGGCCCAAATTAATGTAAACAGAGATATCCTGCAATGACTCTCTCACCTTTCTAAATATCTCCAAGGCGACTCCCACCTGCTTCTTATCGGCAAAAATAATCGCAATGCCTTGCGCAGCATATGCGTCCTTCGGATCTATGGACAACACCTTTTGGTATAGCTGTGCTGCACGAATGTAGTATTGATCCTTTTTTTGCGCGTCCTTGGACTCTCTGGCAAGAGTGCAGTAGACATTACCCAACGATGTCAGAGCATAACAGTCGTGGGACGTGTGGTTAACTAAGGTTTCTCTGTGATGCTCACTCTCAATGTCCTTACCCTTCGTAGCCATGTATTTCTTACCAAATTTCTTGACGTACCATCCATAAAACGATCTAACTTCAAGATCGTCAGGAGAGTCTGCTAATAGTTCAGCAAGTTCTTCATGAATATCCTCCTTCTCAGACAAACATGTCAGAAGAAGCCATCTGAGTTTGGCGCTGTTGTAACCAGGACACTGTTGCAGGATCTTCTGGTACAAACTCTTGGCAGTCTCGACGTCGTTTTGAGACTCTTTGCAACGAGCAACGTTGTATTCCAGAATCAGTTTGATGGCATTTTTTGAAATTCCTTCCTCTTTTTGGGATTCCAATGCTTTGAGGGCGTTTTCAAAGTACGACAGGGAATCACCTTCATTCTTCAGAAGTCCTAACACTCCAATGTTATTGAGTAGAGCATAAGATAAGTCCGTATCCAATTTCCCAGAGCTGATCTCCTGATCTTTCAGCATCATAAGGTACTTCAAGGACTGAGAAATATCTCTCTCCTCGTATATTCTGGCCAAAGTGACTAAGGCTGCAGAGTTCAACGGCTCATTGTATTCCTTGGCAAGAGAAACGTACTTCTCCAGAAATGTTGTTGCCTTATCATTTTGTTTTGAATTCCTGCTGTAAAGCATACCAAGCGCGAAAGTGACCTCCAATACACGAGGGTGAGACTCCTGCAGCTTCTCGAACGTTCTGATGGCGTCGTTGATTTCATTTCTCACAATCAGACACTGGCCATAACCGTATCTGGAAAGTAAATTATTCTCATTGTATTTGATCGAAGTGCTGAATAGCTTTTGAGCCTCTAAAACGTCATCTTGTGCGAACTTGCATCTGGCGAGCCACAGAAAAGCGTCGCTTTTGACTCTGTTAGAGAACCTCGTGTCTTTCGACACTTTGTCACAGATTTTCTGAACTAGCGCATAGTCCTTCTTGGAGAAGTAGAATGAGGCCAATATCAACAAAATCACACCGTTTGTTGGATCGTCAATTAGCGAAGCCTTGGTGAACTCTAATGCCAAAGCATACTTCTCTTTGAAGTCGGCATCAGAAACAGAATTGGTAAAACAGTCGTCAAATTTAGCTATCGAAATGAGAATCTTGGCCTCAAGGTTCTTTTCGGGATTCACCTGAATAGAGTTCTGCCAGGCTTGGTTGGCAAGTTTTTTTCTGCCCAGCATCCAGTAACACATGCCGATGCCAATTCTGGGATCAGGTCTGAGAAGAGGGTTGAGTAAAAGACATCTTTGAAAAACTTTGAGCGCAGCCACATAGTTTTCCTTGTAAAAGAAGATCTTAGCTTTGGCCATCAAGGCAAAGCAGTTCTTTGGGTTCTTCTTCAGCAAGCTGTCCAACAACCTTGATTCCTTCTCAAAATTCGTCTGTTTGGTTTTCTGCTTGTCAGAAGAAAGAAGCAGCAAGGCCTGCGACAAGAGTGTGAGCTCGTTAGATGGATCAAGTGACAAAGCAGTTTCCGTCTCTTTCGTGGCCAATTCGTACGAAATTAGTCCACTGTTCTTACCCTCTCTGGTGAGGTACAGCCAGGCCAAAAATCCGTGCAATGTTGACTGGGCGTCTCCGGTGGTGTCCATGATTGTAGGCGAGTCGAGCGCATTTTTGATGACATTGAGCGACTCGTCAATTTTTCCTTGACTGGCGTACGCTTTGGCCACAACTAGCCAGTGTCTCGTGCCAGATTCCTCGTTAGTCAGCAAAGCACACAATTCGCTAGAGTCCTCTGGAAGATCACTGATAGTGTCAATCACAACCTCCTCGCCTTCTTCCTTCAATGGAATGGTAATATTTTTCGATACATATGCTTCCTTTTGCTTTTCATCCAGAAGGCCTAAGTAGTACTCGGCATTCAAAGGAACCGACTCCTCACCTGCCAAGTTCAAATCTTCCTGGACTGGCATTATGAGAACAAAAGAACGTATATCTTTTGAAGTTTTTCCAAAAGCCAAAATACTGTCGATTACCCGGGCGACAAAGAAAAAAAATATATCTGATTATCCTTTTGTGCGCAATATATACCCTCATAATGGCAGACGCTCTGCGGCGAATATATGTCGGCTCGATGTCGAAGCTACTTGCAGAAAATCCCCGAGACCTGGAACAACGATTTGAGAAGTTTGGGAAAGTAGTTCATGGATTTGAGGTCCACCATAAAGAGGTGCTAGACTACTATTATGGATACATCACAATGCAAATCCCTGAGGATCAATTCAAGAAGCTCAAGCGCTCTTTTAATGGTGTCACCTACAAGGGATTAAAGCTTGCCATACAGGAAGCTAGACCGGATTACAAAGAAAGATGGCTCAAGGACAATCGCAGACAAGATACTAAAATCAAAGATAGACAGATTAGAGAACGCATAGCGCAATGCCGACTAGAGAGAATTGCTCAAAGGGATATGAACCCATTTGAGCTCTTAAAAATAGAGAAAGGAAGACTGAGAAGAACCCCTAGAAAGACAAGTCTAGCCAAATTGTCGATGAGAGCGTACATCAAGGGCACCCTAAAGATAGTGAGAGCCCGCAAAACCAAGGTATGGGGTTACAACAAGAACAAGCACCCTGTGGATCTTGTGTGGAGATACATTGACGGCGAATGGAGAGATGGTAACGATCATACCGTGGAGAAAGTGAAGGCAGACTTCACTATGGGAGAGACAGAAAAGGAAATCAAAGACGAGAAAGAGCGCACAAACAAAATGTTGGAGTCCTGGATGGGATCTTTTGACTTTAATAAGCCGATTGATCTTAGTGACGACGAAGAGCTCGAACGTATGCCCGTTTCCAGAGATCGCGAATCCCAAGCTACGACCGACGTTTCAGACAAAGAACGGGCGGTTGTCATTTTCGATGAAGAGAACGGGGTCGTGTCAACCTCAAATGAGCCGAAAGATGATGATGATGATGTGGATACCGAGTTTTTGCCATCCTTCCTGCAAAAATCAAAGCCAGTCGAACAGAAGGAAGAGCCAGCTGTTCCGGACAAAACAACGGAAGTTCTGCGAACGTTGCTGAACCCAGCAGAGCCGGTCAAACAGCCTGAATACGTGGCATCCGAAGTGGTAGCTCCTGCTACAGGTTCCAAAAAATACGGGCTCTTTTTCTCGCACTCGAAGTCACCTTTCCTCAATGCCCAGACACAGCTGGCAACCTTGAAGGCTGTCGACATTGGAGATGAATACGATAAATGGTTTTGGGAGAGTCGTGGAGACTTGAACAGATACTTCAGGAGACGGCGCAGAGACGTTCTTCGACAGGCAAAGAAAGGAGGCCGCGTGGCTCTGATTTAGTTCGTAGTCTGCACTGACGAATATACTAGGCCAGACGCTGAAGCCTAACCAAAGGTAGACCTGTAAAGACACAAGCTGTTTGCTGAGCTGATGAGGAGCCCATGTAGACGGCGGCGTTCAGGCCAAGCGCGTCTGGTAGTCTGATAATAGTCGTGTACAGAATAATGACTATTTTTCGTCGAAAAATATTTATTCTCTTTGTATTCTCGTCATGGAGGCTAAAACGATAGTTCTCGAGAACACGAGTCGGCGTGATGCCCTCATCGCTGTTGAGAAGAAGTACAAGCAGATCTGGAAAGAGGAAAAGGTGTTTGAAGTGAACGCTCCAACCAACGAGGAAGTGCCGTACGGCACTTCTTGGGAGGAACTCCACGCAAAGCACCCTAAATTTCTCACGACGATGGCATACCCATACATGAACGGCGTTCTTCATGCCGGACATAGTTTCACCCTGTCCAAGAGTGAATTCACAGCCTCGTTCGAGAGACTGAAGGGTGTGAAGGTGATTTTTCCTCTTGGATTCCACTGCACGGGCATGCCTATCTGTGCTGCTGCCGATAAGCTCAAGAGAGAGATCGAGATGTTTGGCGAGGACTTCTCGAAGGTTCCTGCAGAGGATGAGCAGCCGGAGGAGGAGTCAAGGACTGCTGCGAAGAAGGAGGATGTGACCAAGTTTAGTGCCAAGAAGTCCAAGGTTCAAGCCAAGCAGGGCCGTGGAAAATACCAATTTGAGATCATGGAGCAGCTTGGGATCCCAAGATCCGAGATCTCGAAATTCGCCGACCCTTATTACTGGGTGACCTTCTTCCCTCCTCTTACTGAGAAAGATGTCACTGCATTCGGAGGTAAGGTTGACTGGAGAAGGTCGATGGTTACGACTGATTTCAATGGATACTACGACTCATTTGTCAGATGGCAGATGAACAAGCTGAGGGAGCAGAACAAAATCAAGTTTGGTGAAAGATACACCATTTACTCCGTCAAAGACGGCCAGCCATGTATGGACCACGACAGACAGTCGGGAGAGGCTGTTCTGCCTCAAGAGTACACCGGATTGAAGATCGAGATTACAGAGTTTGCCGAAAAGGCACAAGAAGTCCTCAAAAATGACAACTTTGATCTCGCTGGCAAGAAGGTTTTTCTGGTTGCAGCCACTTTGAGACCAGAGACGATGTACGGTCAGACTTGTTGTTTCGTTTCTCCTAAAATCAACTACGGTCTTTTTGACGCCGGAAACGGTAACTACTACATTTGCACCGAGAGATCGTTCAAGAACATGAGCTATCAGAAACTGACTCCTAGGAGAGGAGACTTTAAACCAATTTTGAAGATCAACGGTGCTTCTCTGATAGGTTCCAAGATCAGCGCTCCGCTCACAGCGTTCAAGAACCTGAGGGTGCTTCCTATGGAGACCGTCTTGGAGTCCAAGGGCACTGGTGTGGTCACTTGTGTTCCCTCGGACTCTCCTGACGATTATGCCACGACTAGAGACCTGCACAACAAGGCCGAATTCTACGGAATTGATAAGGACTGGGTGATTACCGACATCCTCCCAGTCATCAGGACAGAAAAGTATGGTGACAAATGTGCAGAGTATCTTGTTAAGGAGCTGAAGATCAACTCCTCCAAAGACACCGTTCCTCTGGCTACCGCTAAGGAATTGGCTTACAAAGAGGGTTTCTACAACGGTACTATGATCGTTGGCAAATATGCTGGTCAAAAGGTTCAGGATGCTAAGGAGAAGGTCAAGAATGACTTGATTGCTTCTGGTGACGCCTTTGCGTACAGCGAGCCTGAGTCGCTCGTCATATCTAGATCGGGAGATGAGTGTATTGTTTCTCTAGAAGACCAATGGTACCTGGACTACGGTGAAGAAAAATGGAAGGAACAGGCAGTGGAGTGTCTTTCTCAACTGAACGCTTACAGTCCAGAGGTCAAAAATGCGTTCGAAGGTGTGCTGAATTGGCTGAAAAACTGGGCTGTTTCCAGAAGTTACGGTTTGGGTACCAGAATTCCATGGGATCCAAAGTACCTGGTCGAATCTCTGTCCGACTCCACCATCTACCATGCCTACTATACGGTGGCTCATCTGTTACACGAAGATTTCTACGGCAAGGTTACTGGTCCTCTTGGTATCACGCCAGAGCAGATGACCGACGATGTTTGGGACTACATTTTCTGCAACTCTGACAAGATCGACAGTAGTATTCCTCAGGAGCATTTGGACCGAATGAGAAGAGAATTTGAGTACTTCTACCCAACAGATATGTCTGTGTCTGGTAAGGATTTGATCCCAAATCACTTGACTTTCTTCATCTACTGCCACACCGCCCTGTTCAAGAAGCAGTTCTGGCCTAAGGGAATTAGATGTAACGGACACTTGATGCTGAACAATGCCAAGATGTCGAAGTCCACAGGTAACTTCATGACTCTGGAGCAGATGGTGGAGAAATTTGGAGCCGATGCTACGAGAATAGCTCTTGCGGACGCTGGTGACAGCGTGGAAGATGCCAACTTCGAGGAGAGCAACGCTAATGCAGCCATTCTGAGAATGTACACATTGAGAGAGTGGGCTGAGGAAACAATCAAAACCATCGACTCTTTCAGAACCGGCGAGTACAATTTCTTTGACAAGGCCTTTGATAATGAGATGAATGTTCTGATCAACGAGACATACAAACAGTTTGATGCAACTCATTTCAAGGGTGGTTTGAAAAGTGGCCTTTTCGATTACCAGACTGCCAGAGATTACTACAGGGAAGTCAGCAACATCGGACCGGGTATGCACAAGGATCTTGTTCTAAAATACCTAGAAACTCAAGCCCTGTTGGTGTCGCCAATCGCTCCTCACTTTGCCGAGTATATATATAGAGACATTTTGGGTCACAAGGAGTCTATTTTGAACGCCAGATGGCCAACTCCAAAGGAGCCAATCTCCACTCCGTTGACCGATGCATTGACTTATATCAGAACTCTGGCCAGATCCATTAGAGAGACCGAAGGACAGCTTCTCAAGAAAAAGAAGGGCAAGCCTGCCGATTTGGACAAGGACAAGCCTTGTGTGCTGACTTTGTACATTTCAGCAAGCTTCCCTGAGTGGCAGAAAAACTACGTTGAGCTCGTTAGACGACTCTTTGAAGAGCACAAACTTGACGACAACAACGAGATCAAAGCCAACATCGACGGAAGAGATATGAAGAGAGCTATGCCATTTGTTTCTTCTTTGAAGAAAAGACTTGCTACCGAGTCTCCTGAATCCGTGTTTAATAGAGAGCTGTCTTTCAGCGAGCTCGATACTGTGAGAGTGGCCAAAGATGTCATCAGGAAAGCTGCTGCCATTTGCAACGTTGTCGACGTCAAGGCCGTCCCAATTGATAGCAAAAGTACATCCGGTCAGGACATCTTCACCGGCGAAACTGTTGAGGTTCCTACAGGAAAGATTCTGGAGAGTTCTGTGCCTGGACAGCCAGCTATTTCCATCAAGAATGTCTAGTTAATACAGCAGTGAATAAATACATTATAAGCGAATCAAGTGCTTTTGCGAAAATCAGATTTTGATGCCTCTTTTTTCTAACTCTGCCAATGTCCAAGCCCAATTGTTTGCAGCGTAATACGAGTTTTTGGCGAGATAGCTAGGTTGGTGCTCTTTTCCGTAGGAGACATAGAATTTTTCGTTATCTTTCTGTGGTGTTAATTCGTCACTCAGCGCGCATTTCAGTGTTGCATAGGATCCTTCCTCATTTGAAATACCGAAAAAATAGCCAAAGATCTGGAAGAAAACCCAGAACAGCAATCCGATGAATGGTAGTCGCGTGAAGTGACTGAACAGATTTGTGTTCATGACAAAACCAGGATGCACAGAGACACAAAGAATCTGCGGGTGTATTTTCGCAACCCTGTTTATGAACTGCATCCCAGCAGTCTTCGCCAGCCCGTATCTGAACCAGGTGAAAATGATATTCGGGCGATAATTGAACTGATAATCCATCTTGAAAGGGAAGAAAGTGAACCAGTGGCCTACAGAGCTTATGTAAATGATTCTGGGATCTTGGACAAGGCCTGGATTTAGCATCAATGGAAGCAGCCTGTTGGTAATGAGGAAATGCGAGATGTAGTTTGTTTGTAGTTGGATTTCAAAGTTGTCTTTGGTAAGCGAAAAGGGTACGGCCATGATGCCAGCATTGTTGATGAGCAGATGCAGGGTCTTTTCCCTTGTTTTGAACTCCGCCATTGCTTTCTCAACAGAACTGAGGTTGAGCAGGTCAATTTCCAGAAAATACAGCTCGCCAAGAGCCTGGTGTGGATCTTTTCTGCGTGTCAACGCCTCCTGCTTGAGCGATTGTATTGCGGCTTCCACCCGGTTCTTGTTACGCCCACCCAGATACACCACGTAGCCGTGCAAGTACAGGTGGAGAACAGTGTAATAGCCTATACCGCTGTTGCCTCCTGAGATAAAACAAACGCGTCGCTGTGCATGGGGATCAAAGTAAGGAAGGTCATCGGGCGTAAACATAGGGTTGGATATATTTTTTAGTTACACAAAGGAAAAAAATTTAGATAACAGGTATTCTATAGCCACAGCCCTTATTCGTCAGGTCGTTCGTTAGCTTAGTACAAATATTTAATGTAAGGACTCAGGTCTCCCTTCATTATCCGAGTTCTTTCGTCGTATGATTCCCACTTTGCAAGCGAAGCTGCTGTCATCTTACTGCGGTTGCGCTGAACCAACAGTGCAAAGTAGCCGACGATGAAAAAGAGAGCAAGACAGGTGAATCCAATACAAATGCCCAATCCTTTTTTGTAACCTGGAGCCTCGCTGTCGGGGAAAATGAATGACGCAATGATTCCTCCAATGTTACCAAATCCAATCACGAACGCAGTTCCCACGGATTTTCGTATGTGTCCCGAGAAATTAAGACTGATCCAGCACACAACGATAGGCATACAGGTGTAAAGACCCGAGGCAACCAGGAAACAGCCAGCGTACTTGACGTTCAGATGTTCTCCGCCGCCTAAAATCATAGCCAGGCCGGTGATGGCCACGCATGCTGCAAGAATGGCATACGGCAATCTGATTCCGTGGAAATCGGAAACGAATGCCAAAATGATGGAGAAGCCGAGGGATGCGAGCCACGGGTAGATGGAGTGGGCCTGGGCGTTCATCGCGGTGTATCCGAGCAACCTGATGATGGACGGAGCGAAGTAAGCGTAAGAATAGGACGGAACAATGAGACAGAAGTAGATCAAAGCACCGAGGTAAATCATTGGGTCCTTGAAAACCTCGAGAACGTCCTTAACGGTTTGTTTGATTTCGAAGCCCGAATTTCCAGAGTAGACCTCAAGCTTTTTCTTGAGGAAACTTGTTTCGTTTTCGCTCAAATATCTAGCGTCCTCAGGGAAGTCCGTAATCACAAAAAACAGGAGAATTCCAAGACCTGCGCTGATGGTACCCTCGACAACGTAGATCCATTGCCATGCCGAAAGACCGTGGACACCGTTCAAATCGTACAGTCTGTAAGCAATAGCTCCACCGCAGCCTCCAGCGACCGAGGTGCAACTGAAGAAAATACTGAATCTTCTCTGGGCTTCGCGCTTGGTGTAAAAGTTTGCAAGAATATAAAAAATACCGGGGAAACTTCCGGCCTCGAAAATACCAAGCAGAACTCTGGTGGCCACTAAACCTCCAAAAGTTTTGACAAACGCGGTTCCAATGGTAACCACACCGAACAGCACGATCATGGTGCTCATCCAAGCGTGAGGCTTGATAATCTTCAGACAGTAGTTGGATATCACCTCAAAGATGACATAGGGGACAAAGAACACTGTTAACGCCGTGTTGAACTGCTCCTTCTGCAAATGAAGAGCATCCTGCATTCCGTAGATCTTGGCGTTCGAGATATTCACTCTGTCCAAGAAAGCCAGGAAGTAAAGCAGGCAGAAAGGAGGAACAACGCATAGGTCGATTTTCCACATCAGTTTCTTATGGTTGATGTTGTGCTCCTCAGCAAGAAGCTTCACCTTCTGGTCCATCTCGGACTCAGAAAGCAGAGCATCGTGAGACTGTCCTTCGACCGAGACTATATTCTCGTCGAGCTCGTACTTCTTCTCTAAGCTGGGAATAGAAGACATTGTTAAAGAGAAGAATTTCAACAAGATGTGGGGAGGGCCGGACGTATTTTATCTGCGAGCAAAAGCTCAAAATTTGTCACAGGTCTTTGCTAACAGGATTTAGTCGACCCAAGAAATAGGGTCCGCTATTTTTGTCTGACAAAGAGACCCACAAAAACAACCTGTAAGACTATCTGCAGCTTCCCTGGAGCATCTATGCTAAGCCTAGCGCCAATCACTGCTCTATTATTAGCCAATAACGGGCTTTGTGGGAACTTGGTGGGATGCCTGATACCGGGCCGTTTGGCACTCTCTTTTCCGGATAGATGACTAAATAGGTAATTTTTTTGCCGCCAGCGGTGCCGGTGGTTAGGCAGACGAGCCCGGATCACCGAGCATCCAATTGACACTATTGTAGAGGGCGTTCAGCTCATTTTCAGCGTATATGTGCTGATCCCACATTTTAAGTAAAATTCTGGGGCTTATCTTATATAAAGCCAGCCTTCACAGCTACAGCCTTGAATGTGAGCCTTGAATACCCGAGCGGCTCTGAAAAAATTCTCCTCACGCTATTTATCGGCTAATCGGTATTTGGTGTATGGGTGGATGTTCGGGCAAAGTCTTGACGATCCAAATTCACTATATTATTATACAACATCTATTAGAGCTGCTGGCACGAGCAGCAGGCCTGGGAGCGGGATTGGTTTCTTGCACAGCTCCTGATGGTTCAGTGTGAATTCCCGCTTCTCTTTGTTCTTCAGCATCCTCGGGAACACTACCTTCCGTCGGCTGTTCTGTATCGCGCTGAGAATCGGCTTCTGTAGATCTGGCCGGCTCCACTTTCTCAACAAGCATTTGTCGAACGGCCGTTTCGAAAACTTCGTCGACCTGGTATTTTGTCTTGGCGCTGCATTCCAGGAACGCCGATAAGCCTAATTCGCGGGCAAGCTGCAACCCTGAAGAAGAGGAAACTTGGCGGTAGTTCTCGAGATCAGCCTTCGCTCCCACCAGGATGATGGGCACGTCCCTTCCCTCGAGAATGGACCGAGCGTGCACGACCCGCATGAGAACGGAATCAAAAGAGGCTTCGCTCACGATAGAGTACACAATAAGGATGGCCTGTGATTCCCGTAGCATGTCTTCTGTCTTTAGATCTAGTCCGTAGTCAGTGTCAACGATATCCAGGATGTTCAGCTGGTAGTTCTGGCCATCTATTACCACCTCCTTCTTGTATATATCCTGAACGTTTGAATCGATCTCCTCAACAAAATGCGATTGCACATACTGCAAGACCAGGGTGCTTTTGCCGCTTCCCAGCTGCCCTATCACGCTGATTCTGACAGGTTTGCTTTCCTAACGATTAGTAATCCTATGTTCATCCGATGCACTCACCATAAACATATTTTAGTTACACGCTAAATTTTAGTTTTTGTAAACGGTTTTTGTCGATCTCCTGTCAACCTACCTATCTTGCAGAAAAACCGTTTCATGACAATTTCTTTTTCTCAATTTTTACCTGACAGGTTGCGAGAATATTTTTGAGTTTTAAGTTCACTTATATAGTCAATTCCAGATCGCGTATGATCTGCTCCACCATCGAAGCCGAAAGCTTGAACATTTTTGTAGACCCCGAGTTCTTCATCAGTCTAACAACACACCCTGAGAAACCGTATTCGTAGCCATCTTGTCGTTCTGTCTCCACAGTCACACTGAGACTATTTTTTCTAGAATCCCCAACGTACTCCACATTCAGAGTAGTTGATGTTCGGCCCGCACGAAGCTTGATTGAATTCTGGTGATCAAGCTTCACACGCAAACCCTCAATAACCTGCTCGCAGGAAAGAACGTCTGTCTCTATGATATGCTGTTTTTTCCAAAATTGAGTGCTCTTGAATCTGGTAGCCTGTCTTCTCACATGGGGACTATCGACTTGTTTCTCGATGGTGCCCAGCAATCGCTTAAACCAATTCGGCCGTTTCTGCGGGCTCACAGAAAACCTCTCGGTCTGGCGTTCCCTTAACTCCCTTTCTTTGAAGTCAGGATCCATAGGGGAGTTTTCAATTTGGAAGATCGGCGCGGACTCTCTTTTGGAGATAAGAGAAGAAATTCTCGCTTTAACTTGGGATCCTGCGGTTTTTCTTTCCTTGGTTGTAGTCAGGCTAATAGGATTTGGCCGTGAAGACCTTCGTTTTTCTGCGGTCTCGTCGTCAAAAATGGTTGTCTCGTCCCTCACAACAAGTGGCTGCTCCACCTCAGGATCGTCAAAAACGGAGACCCTCTTCGGTTCTTCAAATACAGTCTCAATCTTCTTCGTTTTTTCAGGAGTGAGAGTCATCCGCTTTCGTTGATGAGCGTCCTCAGGAGGCATCTCATAATTAGAGTTGGCCAACAAGGAGCATCGAATTGTTGGGAATGGCTGTTGAACAAATTTGTTCAACTGAGAGTCCTGAGAAGTTGCTGATTCGACCTTACGATGTGTTTTGATGATAGAACGATTCGACTGCGAGGAAACAAACTTTGCATTCTGTTCAGAGTCTGCGTCAGCAAACTTATCCTGATCCAATGGTGATATCTTAAATTGTTCCTCTTTGGGAGTCAGAATAGGAATCTGTATCGCTGAGTGTAGACTATACGAATTATCGTATGATATTAAGGACTCGTCAACAGAAACATCAGCTTTATGGGATTTCGTCTTTGGGGTTGCAAGATTTGGTGGCAATTTTCTTGATGGCGGTATCTCCTTTCTACTGCGCTCGTTGTAATCGGTCAATCGAATATCGTTTCGTGGATCCAAATAAGAAGACAGATTCCTGACCGACGAGTGCGAACTTCCAATGGAGGATTTTTTCAACAAGGGCTTTGCAGAGCTCTTCTCTCCACTGTTTTCCTTAGATTCGAAATCATCAAGTCTGCTCATACGCACCCCGAATTTCTCTAAAACGTTGCTAGTCTTGCGAATAGATGTGGAGTTTGAATCTGTAAGCGGAGAGCGTCTTCGCTTGGGATCGAGAGAATGCACACTTCCTTCTCCCACTGTAGTCTTCTCACTAGCGGGCTCCCTTGTATCAGAACTCCGAGGAGAACCATTTGCGAAGGCTTTATTTTCTGGAATAAGGTCAGTTTTATCTTCGAATATCTCAAAGTTCAGGTCGGTGTCAACCTTCTCTTCTGTAAAGACGGCATCAACCAAATAGGTGAAGTCGCTCAGGTCAACCTCTGGTAGTTTAGGCAGATCTTTGGGATTGACTGTAAGTTTCTTTGATTTGGCAAGTGATTTTGAATGGCATGGCTTGGATTCATCTTTCAGCAACTTCTGACTGCTGTGTCTGGGAAATGAAACAGATTTTCGAGATGAAGAAGAAACTATCATTGCAGGAGCCTTACTCTTGTTGATAGTCGTGGTCCTCGCCCCTCTCATAGGGGGTGCCTTGTTGGCCGTTGAAGGAATTTCCCTAGTGGACATCTTTAGCACCTCACCATGCTCGTCTTGGATGATGGTACGAATGCTAGTCGATTTGGGGATTCCCAACTTGGCGGACTTTGCCGGAGACGGCGGACGCTTCCACGTTTTCGAGTGTATTTGTTCTTCATCCGAATCTTGGGCATGACATTCTTTATACTTTTCCAGCAAGTAGTAGAACATCTTCTCGGAGTTTTGTTCTTGACTTTGAAGATTTCTGACAAGCTCATTGATTGGAATCCCATGCCACAAGGTTTGAAGGTTATGCAATATGTCGGGGTCGATATTAATGATAGGTTTTGTCATTTTGAGGTCAGCCTCCTGAGCTATGTGGATCTCGTCGCTTGTGTCTGGATACTTTTTGAGCAAAGGGTGATTCAAAATGTCATGGATAGATATTCTATCGCGCGGGTCGACTCTTAGCATAGACCATATCAAATCCTTGGCTTCGCTGCTCAAATTGACTGGCATATGAAACTTCCCAGCCTGAACTTTCAGCAGCAATTTTCGAATATTGGAGTCATCAAAAGGTAAATGACCAGTAAGTAATGCAAAGAAGATTATTCCACATGACCACACGTCACTTGGAGATCCATGATATGTCCTTCCGGCAACGATTTCTGGAGAAGCATAGTGAGGAGACCCGCATGATGTCTCCAGCAGCTTGTGCTTGGTTTCTAGAGCAGCCATACCGAAATCAGCAATCTTGATGTTATGATTCTTGTCCAATAGTATATTTTCCGGTTTCAAATCACGATGACAGATATCAAACTTGTGACAATACTCAACAGCTTTGATGATTTGCTTAAAATATCCCACAGCCTCTTGTTCCGTGAGACGCCCGTGATTTATCAGAAAATCAAATAATTCACCTCCCTCCACATACTCCAAAACCAAATAAAGCTCGTTGTCGTTCTCCCAAACATCATAAAGTGCCATGATATTCGGATGTGATATAAGCTTCATGATGATGATTTCCCTTTCTATACCGTACGGTAAACCGTTTGCGTCAATTTTAGGACCCTTCCCATTCTTGTAATGCATTACTGTGCCCGAAGCGGCCTTGGGAACAATTTTCACCGCGGATAATTGACCAGTAACACAGTGCTTAGCCAACCTGACCCTTCCCGTAGAACCTCGTCCTAATGTCCGGCCCAATTTCCAGGGACCAATTCTGTTTTCAGCTTTTCGTTTACTGTTGGATGTGGTAGATGTCTGAGAAAGCCTTTTATTAGCGTTGGCCACACTTTCCACAACACGATCTATCTGCCTTTCAGAGCCAGCCAGAGCTCTGTTACTGTTGCCATGGCCCGTAGCTGCGACGGCAGCCTTAGATGCAAATGAGGAAACTCTCTGTGGTGCCACGGATGTCATCGAGTGAATCAAAACAATGTCTATAGGTGCCTGACCGATGCGGAAAAAAGGAGAAAGCTAGCGTCTATGTGGAGTAAAGCTATTCTATGTCTGCAATGTCGTACTCAAGTTTGATTTAATGAAGATGCAAAGGACAGACTTGAAATTTAATTTCTGGCTCCTTCCATTCCCACAAATTCTCTTAGAAAAATGAATATTTTCTTGTGTATGCACCACCGTACCGTGTTCCGTGTTTGAAATTAAAACATAAATAGTCGCGCTTAGATAATCCAAGCAGAAAAAATATAGCCATATATACCATTCATTAGCTACCCAACAACTTCTTGCTTCTGAGAAGAGCTGTAGCCTTGAACTAGTTGCATAACGTCCTTTCTTGGAAGAAGAATCTTTTTCTCAAATTCTGCTTTTACAGAGGTCAGTTTTTTAAGAAGCACCTCTAGTTTTTTGAAGAAATCCATTTGAGTACTCACTATTCTGCATCCCTCTTCTTCCATATCAAGCGTCAGCTCTGGGGATGAGAAGTACTTTTTGATCGCACTATTGATCTTTGCATAAACTTGCAGATACTTGTACTCGATGAGAGAGAGGTCCATCACGATCTGAAGATACTTGAATGCCAGAAAGTTGTTCGTCTTCTGATCCGTCAAGTCCTTGTCTAGATTGTCCGGAAGGTCCAAGCGTTGTATCAGCGGCACATCGCTCTCCTTCAAGGAGGCTTGTTTGGAAAAATCGGCATCGCTCACTTTGAAGGACGATAACTTGAGATCATCCATATTGTCAATCGCATCCAGCTCGTTTATCGTCTCTGGATCAACCGAGACATCCTCATCGCGACCGTGCTCAAGTATCCTCCGGACGTTGTGCTCGGCGCTTTTGGTTAAACACCAATTTGGTAGTTCCGTGACTTCTGGATTAGAAGACAACCGTCTAATTAGTTTGTTATAGAGTTTGAAACTGTTGACATAAGCGTCCTTCTTCTTTCCCAAAGATTCCTTGGACGGGCAGTCATCACAGTTAGAGATTTGAAGATCAGGGTGAACAACGAAAAGCTGGACCATGAAGAACCAAATAATTTATATTATTTCTAGAATAATGCAAATATATCCCTTTTTGACTCTCCTACTTGCAGCAAGCAAATCATTAAAAATTGGAGTTCACCGGCAAATATCATGGAGGGGCCGAAAATTTACGGCGTAAATTAAAATCTCCCCACGGAGCAGCAACTTCGTTGATGTCACCGGGTACTCCATAAATGGGGCAGCGACAATGCGGGCACATATTTACCCCACAGAAAATTTCGCATTTCGAAGCGGGCTGTCATATTTTTCAGTCAGACCAGGTACTTGATTTTTGTATGCACGACCACAAATCGTTTTTTAGCTTCTCAATGAATTTCATATTTAAGAAGCTCAGCTCGGTTCGTGTCCTATCTGAAAAATAATCTGAGTTCTCAGAGACTGACATTTCACTCGGTTCCCTTAAACCGTCGTAATTTTCGGCTCCCTGTAGCTTGTCAACGAAATTAAAAAGCAGTTTAAGGTTCCACAAATCTTCCATGCTTTGCGGACGTTTGACTAATCTTTCGACCTCAAGCTTGAAGTCGAGAACAGTAGAGTTCTTTCTGTAGTCTTTGTTTTTATTGTCGACCATGGTTGCTTTCTCGAAACGCGTCAAGCTTTTGAATATGTTCAAATTCTCCAGCTCTTTCATGCAATCGACATCATCGCTTATCTGTTGATCTATCTCAACCTGCTTGACTATATCATCAAAAGAAAGCCTCAGATCTTGGTAATCCCTTTTGCGGTATACGAATATGTTGAGGTGAGCCTGTTTGAATAGATCTAAGGTGCCTGGTTCCTTAAAATCAAGTGTCACGGGGAAATAAATCTTTTCCGAATTGACAACAGATATCCTCGAAATGCTGTCCAGCTCTGGAATCAAACAAGGTGTTTGGAGGTTGATCAGCGATCCAAGGTCTGTTTCAATCTGTACATCAACTTTGATGGGCTGCTTTGTGTTCACATCTCGCACGTTGAGGCACCTGTTCTCCACGGCAAGCGCCCAAAAGTGTCTCAATGCTTGCAAATGGATTTCTGAGCATTCAGTTCCATTGTTGTAGTTGTTGGTTCCGTAAACAGGGTAGGTAGCGGTTACAATAGCAGCAATTCCAAGATTATCCTTCCGAAAAGCCATTTGACCGCCACCTAAGAACAGAAATCCAAGAGCAGAATTGATTGCCATGTAATTCCCATAATTCATTGACTCGTCAACCACCCCTTGCAAAAATCTCAAACGTCTGAATACGCACAAGTCTCCACTTCCGGCACATATAATAGAAAGCCCGAGAATCACGACATCCATGATGTTTCGGGCACCAATTAACGCCACACGCTCGTCATAATTCCTAGGTTCTAAAGCACAGATACTCATTAATCTGTCAAAGTAGTACAGAAGCGTGTCTTTGGCCTCAGTATTTCCGGATGATGCGTGCTTGAACGAGATTGAAAGCAATATTCCTCCTAAAATGTTTAGATAAGGAAGAAAATCACTATCTAGCTTGCTTATCGTTTCAACGTTGTATATTTCGGACACACAAGATGGAATTTGCACTTCGACCCATTCCCTGTGATCTCCAATTTGATCCCACATAATCAAATTAGCTCCAAGACACCTTAGCATCAGAAAATCAGGTCTAATGTAGTCCAGCAATTGCATTGTTTGCGGTATAGCAAGCTTTGAGGCAACTTCACAGTTGCCGGTCTTCATGAACATAAACGTAAGTGCCAAAATGGCACCTCCGCACGACTTATCATATTCTTCGGCGGTCTGTATATCCCTAACTGACACAGCCATTGCAAATAGCTTGTCAATGACATGCGTGTCATTAGACGCTTTGAGACTTTCACCTTTTCCTAAATTGACATAGCCTAATGCTATACCAGCCGCAAGTCGATACCCTTCGCTGACAAATTCTCTCTCATTATAATTAAGGGTTGCATTGATCTGAGAGAGCAAAACTTCTGTCATTCTTCTGTGCTGTGTTTCCAAATAAAGCAAGCCTATTCCAACCAGGCCAGCTGTCTGAACGGGTAATTGAACATTCAAATTCGTTGATCCTTGAGGCAGTAACGCAACAACGTGTACCGAGAGCACTTTCGTTAGTTTGATGTCCATCGTTCCTTTAAGACTAGCAGCCATTCCAAGAAGTAAGCCGACACTCGTAAAGTTGTGTTTTGGGCCCAGATAATTGTAAATATGCCATTCCTCTAATTTTTTCAGATGGCCATTGAGGCCAAGTCCGAGAAGAAATCCTGCATGTTGTGCATTCAAAGTCGGTGGACGGTTGAATACAATCCAACTTCCATTGATTTGCGTAGAATCTCTAGAAATGGTGAGTCCTGATGATGCACCGTTGTGGAAGAATCCCCAATTGTACATTTCTTGGTCAATCATATCTTTCTCCAGACTAACGTTGATCATGTCTGGTAAAATCAGAGCATTAAAATTCATCTTAGGAATAGGAAACCTTTCCGTCATCAACGGTTTCCTACTTGAGATAAAGACAGCACCCCTGCCCAGAGGCATTGTCAATGTTCGCAAAGCCACCTTTGCTCCAAGTGCTCGCTGCCTGACAAGCTTTTCATGTTCATCCATTCTTTCGTCAGTTCTCAGTGTTGCAGTTTGTACACGAGAAGTCTGTAAGAGCTTCGTCAGTTCATAGAATCTGCGGTCCTCATGAAATATCAGTTTAGTCACCTGGAATCTGTCAGCCTCAGCTTGTCCATCCCATGCACTAATTGCTTCATGATCATTGACGAACTTAAGTATCTGCATCATATCTTTTTGTGGTATGTCTGTATAATCATGTCTTGTGCTTGAAGTTTCTTTCGCTACACTTTGAGTGAAGGCCAGAAGATCTTTTCGTCCTATCAACTCAAGCTCGTCAACGCCCGTGTTCCAATGGAAAGCGGACTCGCTGCAATTGATTATAGCATTTTTTAGTGGCAGATAGACGCCCGGAGGAAATGACTCTAGCATAGTAGCATCAATATTATAGTCCACCATCATATTGATAACATCAGTGGGTTGGAACTCGGGTGAAATAAGTCCCTCAAATAATCGCAAAATGTAATATGTGCGTGGAATTACTAGCTCATCAATCGTCTCATCTTCTTCGGCAATCTGAGAAAAAGTCACGTACGGAACAATAGAGTTGGAAAACAAGCTAGCCAGCGATTGCAAAAGGTTAGGCGGTGACGCCAATGGCTGAGCCATCAAGAACCTGGTCGTGCGATCAATGGTTTTGGAATCCTGCATATAGTATTTAAACCAATTGTCGGTCCACCCCATCCAGCTACAGAGCTGAGCCAAAAGAAGTGAAAGCTGTTCAATTTTCTCTGTAGCCAACACATTGAGTTTGAGCTCCTCTCTTACGAGATGAAGGGATAGGACTATGGATGGTAATAGATCTGTAAGCATGTATGCTCCTCTAGAATGGGACGCTGCGGAAAGATTCTCAATATTTTGTTTTGCCAACTGTGCGTAAGGTAGCAATGAGCATACCAGGTTCTTATCATTAAGCTCGCTGTCAAGCTCAAAATCATCTGGCAGAGTAAGTGAAAGTAAGGTCACAACGAATGTTTGCCAGTCATCGTTTTGGGGTATGTCAAGTGAGCAATTGGCGCACCACTGAATCCAAAAGTATTCATAGGTAAAAGAATTAGCAAGGTACTTGAGCAAATCGATGAAAGTATGAACAAGCTTGTCTTGTGGCTGTAAAATCAGTTGTATGGTATAGTGTTTGTCGTTCAGGCAATGTACAGACACACTAGAACCAAAACAATCGTCGAGAAACCTAATGGGTGGTAGATGCAAAGAAATATCGATCGTGGACGACAAAAGTCCCAAAAATGGATTAACAAGGATAATGTGAGAAAGATCATAGAGCAAAACAATGTATCCCGAATGTTTGGAGACCGGAGACAAAGCTACAGCATCCAATCCTTTGACGGAGTATGTTGATTTGAGCGAGGGCAAGCTGACTGGGGACCCCGGATTGCTGAAAATGAAAAACTCGATTGTGTGGGATTTCCGGTTGCATACAACAATGGCTTCTTGGTCATTGTAAGAAATGTTGAATATCCTCAAATGCTCAGTATCATCCGTGAACTCTATTGACGTCAGCTTCGTGAATATTATATCTTTTCGCAAACGGGCCATGTCTATTTGCTGGTGATTTGCAGATGTAAAAAAACTGCTTGTTTCGTTATTGAACTCGCTCCCAGATGCCATTCTATCGTAAGACATTGCGTCAGAGGTGGACCGTGTTTGTTTGGCGTCAAGAATCTGATCATCAAGGATTCTGTGGCCGCCCGAAGCCGTGTTCGGTCCAGAACTACCACTGGCAGCGGACCCAGAAGCGTTAACAGTTGGAGCGTTGGTTTGACTTTTACTAACGTATATTTTCTTGCTTGGTCTCCTGTTGAGACTCTGGTATGATAACGAATTCACTTTTGAGCTTCTGTTCCTGTGCAAAAACCTTGTGTGATAAACTGTAATGGCCTTTTCAACAGGATTGTATGTCGTAGCTATTGAATATGCTGAAGTTGAAGGAAATGAAATGATTTCTTCTTTCGAGGAGAAAGACGTGGTAGATGATGACACAATGGATCCCAGCTCACCCAAGGTGTCAAGAAGGGTAAGAAAATTGCTCTCGTTTGAACCAGCTGTACTAGATGCTGCCGATAAAGGGGGAATGCCGCCTCCATATAAGAGGGTAGATGAAAAGGCTTGATTCGGGTCGTTCGAAGCAATCGTGGGGCTTTCAAACTCCTTACTGATGATCAATCCGTTTTCAAAGCTAAACGCTTTGCGAATATGGAATGGAAAACTCACAGTTTGGGAACGTCCTCCTCTTTCATAAACACATATTTGCTCTTTCAGGACCACGACCAAAACTTGTTCAGATTGAATGTTGGAAGATTCTCCATTTAGTCTGGTAAAGAAGCAGCTGATAATCTGAGAATCAAATTTCAGATTCCGTGTCACGATCCCTCCTTTCAGCCAGAGAATAGTCTTCTCGCCAGCGAGAAGGCTTTCATTGTCGCCTGTCAAGTAGACGTTGTAATTCTTGAATTCACGCACCAAATAGGCATCACTTAAATCTGTGTGGAGATTGAATGCAGGGACTCGCCTTGAATCAAGATCCAAGTCCGACTTCGCTAGATTCACCATTTATTATTGTGAGTTTAACCTTCTGATCTACTCGAAGTAGATGCGCGTTTGAAAAATTACCCGGAATCAAATCAAAAACATCACTGATCAAAAACAATCTAGTTCCAGACAAACATGTCGTTCTTCAACACCATCAAGTAAGTATGGGAGTGGCAAGTGGCAACGTCTAACCAAAAGGGGTTTTACGAGAAGCTCGAAGAAGAAGAACCAAAATAAGTTAGGCAACAATTATAACGAGCTCTATTTGAACAACGACTCATCCACATCGCTGAACTACAATCAGAATACGCAGACATCAATATATTCAAACAACAACGGATCGTCGCTTTCATTAAGAAGGACACACTCGCCTTCCAAGCAATCTATCAGGTCGTTTAAATCCACCAACCAGGCTCGCCAACAACCAAGCAAACAGGCACCTAAACCGCTTTTCATTAGTGAGCCATTTGTAAAAATCGCACTCGTTAAAGGCTCTTATAAAACCATTGTTCAACTACCGAAATATGTGGACTATCATGAATGGTTAGCCCTTAACACTTTTGAGCTATTCAATCATCTGAGCAAATTCTACGGAGTGATATCTGAATACGTGACTCCTGACCGCTACCCAATTATGACCGCAGATCCAAAAACTGAATACGTATGGATGATGCCAAACGGTAAAACCGTTTCTCTTCCTGCGAATCAATATATTGATCATGCCTTGACATGGATAAACAATAAAATCAATGATCAGACAATATTCCCCACAAAATCCGGAATGGCATTTCCTCCTTCCTTTTTGAAGGAGATAAAGGGTATATACATTCAAATGTTCAGGATAATCGCGCACATCTTTCATAATCACTTTGACAAGCTGGTCCATCTGTCATTAGAAGCACACTGGAACTCGTATTTTGCTCATTTCATTTCTTTCGTCATAGAATTTGATTTGATCGATAGGCATGAACTTGAACCTCTTGGAATGCTGATTGACAATTTGGAGGCGCAGGGAAAGATCATACCATTTAATAAAGATACTCACTAGGACGTCCTACATACCACGATAGGGATCCTGAAACATTAGACTATAATTTAATATATATTCTTCGTCATATATATACAAGGCGTACATGTATCAAGAAAAGAAATATGGACTATCTCTGACCACATTCACGTCGAACTCGCCCTTCAAAGGAATTGGTGGCAAGTCAAATGGGACTAAAATTGAGGTGCCATTCTTACCCTCGAATCCAAGTTCGTTTTTATAGTTGCATTTTTCAGCGATAGTCACCGGTGTGACCATTTTTTGCGCTCTTTCAATATCATTCTTATCGTCTGACTGCAATAATAACTGTCTTTTTCTCTCGGCCATCGCCTCATCAATCAGAGTCGGGCTTCTCTTGAGCTCTGAGAGCAAGCCATTGCGGAGTTTCTTGTACTCCATTGCCAGATCACTGGTACTGTTCACCTCAATCACCATCAAATTTTTGCCATATCTCATTCTAAGTTCTTTATCCAGTTTTTCAATCAAGTTGTTTGTGTGCAAATGGATAAATTGCTCTCTAAGAATCTTGTTCATGACTGAAACATCTGACGCGTGAGTCCAGTAAGAATCGTGAACTGAAGCAAATACAAGACCTGCCTCTGAACATTTATTGGCAGACAACACCATGTGAGTGGCATCCAAGGAGTGAATAAAGTTTGGTGGAAATCCACTTGCCTGCTTACGACCGTCGACACGTTTCACTTGATAAGGATCGACAATTGTGATTGTCTGCATCGTGGTCTGCACCGGCCTTCCCTTGTATTCCCTGTAAGGCTGAACCACAGGCAATCCCATGGGTGTCGTCCAAATAACCGAGCACATGTAGTCGGTATCTTGGGGAATGTCGATGTCTGTTCTAACAGATTTGCTAATTCTCTTTGCAGCAATTATGAGCCAATCTTGGATTGCATGCGCGTTGTCGAATAGCTCTCTGATAGCCTTGAACACTTTCTGTGTCAAATATCTCGAAGACGCTGAAATATATTTTTCATCAAACTCAATGTCCTTCAGTCTCTTCGTAATTTGAGCACGCGCCCCAACGTACGTAACACCATAAACACTGGTCATCACGGTTTGTTTAACAAGTTTTCTGCTAATAACGTCCTTCACTAATTTGGCCTCATCCGATCCAGCCTTGAGATCTTCCTGAACAGACTTTTCCACCAGATGAGCAACATGAGTGTAAACATCAGATGGCTTGTCTGCAGGCACCAAGTTGACTTGTCTGGCACCCTCAATATCACCACCAAGCGCAGCGTAGTGTTGAAGACCATTACAAGTTCCATCCTGATGCACAGGTTGATGAGAGATGAACTTAGTAGGATCCGGTAATCTGTAAGCTTGCTCCAGCTCCATTGCTGAAGCCAAAAATTGCCAAGGCTTCTCCGCGTTCATCCACATTCTAGAGCCTCCCAAAGGATCTCTAGCTGACTCAAATATCTCACCTAGGTGATCATCAACATACTTGACTCTGTCATCGAGCGATAACTTATCGAATCCCATAAGATTGCAAACGTGAATTTTGAGCCATCTCAAACCTTCCTCACCCAGCTGCTTTCCATTCCAAAACTTTAGTAAACCTCTCGACAAATCATTTCCAAGATGGTTGAAGTACGGAGGCATCGGATAAGCTCTTCCTCTAAAATCGAGAGAATGGGGAAAGAAAATACGTTCACCAACATACGCCCTTGCAATTTCCAATTTATAGTTGGTATCACATCTCATCGAGCGATCCTTCGAAAACTCACGACAGATAAGCTGGCATTTCTTCTTGTGTTTGAAAAACTCTTCAAGACTGGCATCTGCCGAAGGCTGAGGAGGCAAATCAAGTGTTTCCCGGAATTTGGGAATGTCCAAGAATTCTTCTCCTGTGTTCCACACCTGAATCATAATCTTGAGCACGTCCTTATTCACGGTCCATGCAGTAGATCCCAAATTATTCAACGCTTGAAGAACAGTATCCATCTTACCTTTGATAGCGGCTGTACGGGCGTAGGCAGCCTGTTCTGGCGAGTTCTTAGCTTTCAGCACCGCAGATTTCTTTAAGTAATAGCCTCCGTCATTATGGGTGGTCCATGGACGAGGTTTTGCGATCATCGGCATGAAATGAGGTTGAAGAGTGTTGTCCACCCTTTCAGTGCCTAGCTTGGAGGCGAACTTGCTATTTAATTTGATAACACCCACCTTACTCCCATTCTGATAATCATAAGTGTGATAGAATGCAGGGGCCAAAGCGGTCTTAGTATCGCCGGTGACTGGATCGGTTCCCTCAACATCAACTTTCGCGACCTGCAGAAGAAGAGAAAGCATTACAGAGCCGACACGACACCGACTATCTGTATCCCAACTGACAAAAGCAATTGATTTACCAGCAGAAGATTCAGCTCGTTTCTCAGCTTCGCGGATCAACTGAGAGGCTTTCGCCCCTCTGACAAATTTCTTGAATTCAGGAGTCTTCCTTATAGCCTTGAAATTCTTGTTAACATCAATATCTGCAGCAAGCAATCTTTGAGCTTTGAATTCCAATTCCATAGCACGGCCAATTGCCATAACCACCTTGGAAACTGGGGCCCCGTGAACAAGATCTGAGGACACGCAGGTTTTGATGACTTCTAATATAGTTGTGATTGCAGACTTAGAAGGTTTCAACAGTGTCAAATAAGGACCATGCTTTAATTTCTCCGAGTACCTCTCTTTATCAAAACTCGATGTATTTTCGAGCAGATTTTCTTTCTCGAGCTTCCGTGCAACCCAATATTCTTCAATCTCTTGCTCAATTAAAGGTTGCATGTTGGTGAGCCAGTCATGTAAATACGATCCTATGGATGCCGGCATGCTCTTGTCTTTTATGTTTTCAAATTCATGTTCCCATTTCAGTCTCGCAGCTTCAACACTGTTTGACTCCACTCTTTTCTGACGCTCTTCAGAAACGATGTCTAGTATAAGATCAAATTTCTCGTGTTGCTCTAAGGGGAGTGCACATTTCATTTCAAAGAAATCAAGCTTCGTTTCTAAGTTTTCGTACTTCTCATAATCGATGTTCAGCTTTTCCTGCTTTGCGAGAGCAAAGAATTTGTCTAAAAACTGACCATCCCCATTGTAGGAGTCTACTAACCCTAAAAGTGTATGTCTGATTGCCTTTAAATTGAATGAAGAAACGGGCATCAGTTCATCCATTTGATTATCCACTATTGCCGGTGCTCTGCCTTCTTTTGCGTCCTTTTGAGCCGACTTTTCTTGTTGAAAAGTTTCTATAATATCATTATCTGCTTCTGCCAATAATTCCACGTTTGGGTCAGTCGGATGATCTTCGGAAACAGTATCTTCATTTTGCTTTCCCATTAATAAACCGAAGAACTTTTCATATTCGGAGGGAAGCTCACTAAGCAATGTCGGATCTGAAGAAAGTAATGTCCTGACGTTGTTGACACCAATCACGTCAACATACCTTAATATATCAGCCCTTTTGTTCCGAAACGTCCTCAAGTTGTATTGATCAAATTCCTCAAAAATGTCAGCAAGAGGAGCGTTCTTTTCAAATTTCAGCTTGATGATCCAAGCAATTACTCTAGGTTCATTTTTGAATGATGGATCACACGTAGTAAATGTATTTAGCCAACTCTCCACGTCAGCCATTGACACGTCTTCGCTGCGGCCCCAGGTAGCAAGAAACTGGCATATTCCATCATGAAAATATTTGCGCGGATTCTTCCGATCTGACGCGTTATTCAAGGTTGCTAAGCTCTGCAATATCAAATCAGCTCTTTCGTAGTCTTTCGAGAACAAACAAGCTTCGAAAAGACTCCAAGATTTAAAAAAATCACCAGAGCTAGGTGTAAGCACATTATCAACTGAAGACGAGAGCAGAATCTCTTCAAGATCTGAATTATGATTGTGAAAAACCTTGTTAGAGTTCATGATGGCAGTTGTCTGATGTGAGGCCTTCCCGAAGGCCTGACTTGCGTATGACGTCGCCTTGCGTGATTTTGTCGCACCCACGAATCTTCTACCCTTTGAAGCAAATACCGATAGTCGCTTAGTTTGTTGGCGAGCAGTTATGAAATACATCATGACTATCTATTGTATTGTGAATATTCGGGGACGAACTGAAGCAAAAACTTTCCTTTAATTTTCGGTTTTCAGTTATAAAAAAAAAAAATTCATGAGATGAAAATTTTCGTTGAGCCGCACATTCTAAAAGCAAAATCATAGATAATCTTTTAGGTATCTCTGCTATTTATATGTGATATGTATCGCCATAAATCGCTTTCATATTGATGCTTAGCAGTGGAGGATTAAGATGAAGACAATCAAAGATGGTTGTCGTCAATTGTAAGCAAATTCATTGGCTCATTGGACTTTTCAGGATCAAGATAATACGTCGTGTGCCATAACGTCATCCGAGAAATAACTCCTGCGAGGACGAAACAGCTATCTTCTTTTTCGTCTTGGGCCTCTTCCGTGAGGAAAGAAGCGAAAGGCCATGAGTGAATGCCGCCTTTCATTTTCCACAACTTGGTGCTACCGGCCATTGCCAAAGTGTTGCCAAAATCCTCGATTTCATCACGCAGAAGCTCTTCAGCTCCCCAAGTCAGAATGATACCTTTCTCAGGAAAGCATTTTTCCCAGGTGTTAGGATTATTGCAAAATCCAGGACTGTGAATGATACTTAGTTCTGGAAGATGTGAAGGTATGAAACGTTGCGAGATCCGGTTAATGAAATCTGTAGTCAAGAAGTCAGGACATATGTCTTCAGATATTCTTTTCGAAATTCCTTTATATTTTAATAAAGGTGATATCAATAACACACCAAAGGGTTTGTTTATCGGCTTATTGATTTCTTGGAATTTGTGTTCAATGTCCTCGTTTCCTTCGATGCATTCCGCCTCTTTTTTAAAAATGTTATAGTCCGGCTCAATTCTGAAAAGTAAAAAGCTGAGGGCAAGGCTTGCTCCAGCCGAATCTCCTGCAATTATCCACTTGGCATTTTTATATCTGGTGGTAATTTCTTGCCAATTTTGTATTACTGTGAATAGGTGATCTGATAGTTCACATTTATGCACATTTTTCAATTGGGGAACAAATATTAGCGGATTTTTGAATCCCTGCAATAACAGTAGCGAGTGCAATGTAGTCAAATATTCAGAATAAAAATGCGGAGTGCTTGACAAGATTAAAATGTTCGGAATATAATATATCACTAAATCAGGTTCCAAAGGAGTCTCGTTTTGACATTGAACTTTTTTAATCCAATTACCTTTCAAATTATTTTCCTTGACCTCCTCGTAGAAGCTTCGCTCAATTCCATTCCAAGCCTGGACTACTGAACGATAATCATAGAAACGTTTCCAGACAGGGTTTGCCACCAATGAGTAGCTGGGATTATTTTCATCCGTGATTTCTGGTAAGAAATGCTTGACGACTTTTAATAGCACATAATGATTCAAGGTCCCCTGTCTATGCACTTTGTTCTTTTGATTCAGTGGCTCCACGAAGCCGTACACGATTATCTCAATAATCAAGTTGAGAACTAACAATTAGTATTTGAAGGATTTATTTACTTACAGAAGTTGTAGTGGTCAACGAAAAACCTTACTGTATTGCCAAAGGTATAATTTGACGACATGTAGACGATGGCTAGAGTTAAATAGACAATTATATCGAACAACGTGTATTCCCTCATCTTTTGAAATTGAAATAATGCTGATATTAAACTTATCAGGATGGCGCTTGAGGGATAATTGCCCCTTTTTTGTAGAAAAATTGTTACCAAATAAAAGCATTACCAAGTTTCAATTTCGATATTTATATATATGTAGTCACAAAGTTGCAAGGACTTTTTCAAGGACATCCACCAAAATTTGTGCATGCTTCTTTTCGAAAACCAAGGTTGGTCTGAGCCTCACACCAACTTCCGCACAGCCACCGATATTAACACCCGAGATGCGCATCTTGTTCAAAAACTCAGCTCTTTTTTCTGGGGATGGCATGTCAAAAGCGATGAAACAAGCCTTTCCCTTACCTCTTAAATTTTGCAGGTAATTAGGGTATCTCTTTTGAAGATCCTCGAGCTTTTGATACAAAAAGTCGCCCGTTTCCCTGATCGAAGTTAGTAGATTCTTTTCCTGTACTTCCTTGCAGATGGCAGCAGCCAACATGATCAGCTTTTCGTCACCGCACCAAGTGTTGAATTGCCTATAAGGCATATTTGGAATGAGTTTTTGGTCGTTGAAGAAGTACCCTGCAGATTGCATTTTCTTGGAAAAGGTAACAAGGTCCGGAGGAGGAGTAATATTGTATCTCTCGTGTTCCCACATGAGACCTGTAGCACCACATCCTGTCTGTACTTCATCAATAATGAGCTTTGCGCCATACTTCAACGTGATGTCTCGTAGACCTTGGAAAAAGACAGCAGATGCATGATTGTCACCACCCTCAGATTGGATAGGTTCGACAATAACACCGGCTATAGGGCAGTGCCATGTTTTGAAAAACTCTTCCACAATAGATAAGCATCTTTTATCTTCCTTTTGATTGAACTCCTCGTTAGCCTCCAACGGATACCGATACGCAGGAAATTCTGCTTTTGGCCATTTGAAAGATGGCATATCCATTTTGTGAACCGGCTTTGATCTGGTTGCCGATCCGGAAGCAAATAATCTGCCATGAAAAGCTCTTCCGAATGACAGGATTGCAAGCTCAGGGTTACCTGGGGCTTCATTCTCCATACACGACTGTTCCTCTTCGGCTGAAAATGGCTTCTCGAACCCTCTCTTCGTTGACTGGTAATTGAAGAAGACAGCCTTAAATGCCAATTCGTTAGCATCTGCTCCCGAGAGAGCATTCCACACATACTTTTGACCCTTTGGTGCATATTTTAGAAGGCTTCTTTGGATTTTTTCAAACTCAACTCCCGTGAAGTTTCCCAATGCTGCTCTGTTGACAATAGCAGAAACCATTTCATCAGATTTAGCAATCTTAATGAGCTCAGGGTTATTATATCCAAGTGGAATGGAAGCGATTTGGGCGTAGCAGTCCAGTAAAGTGTTACCATCTGCGTCCACAATGTAGTTCCCAATAGACTTTTTGTAATCAGCTAAGAAGTATACACATCTAGCATCGAATACCTCGTTAAGTGATTTGATAGCCTTTTGACCATTTGGACCGGGAATGGTATCCGTCACCATCTTTGGAGCAGACGGCTCTTCCTTGAAAAATCTCTCTGTATATGACATGGTCGAACTTCAATCGCCTTCCCTTGTTTCTGAGAATTCAGACTATATATATATATATATATATATATGGTAAGATCTAAAATAGCGGCATTACCTAGAATGCGGCTATGGTACAACTTTGATCCAAGCGGCATGATTAAATAGGAAGGACTTACAGCAAGCAAGCGGCTTTTTTTCATAAATCAGGGTAATTCTGATGTATTAGAATGAGAGCTTCTTGTCGCGAAAATGAGGTCCAAACTCTAAAACATCAAGGGCAAACCTCATATTCCTTCCAAACATCGATGTCGTAACTTTTTTTATACAGGTAACGTTTATCGACGCCACCTGTAAGTTCTATCAAATCCACAGCTTTCACAAACATGCAAACCACAACAAAGTTTTCCTGGCCGGATGACGTTCCATCAACACCCCTATTGATCGAATCCAGCAGTGTATACTTTTCGTTTGTTAGCAATGACCCTGGTGGAGGTCTTTTGAAAGATCTCTTCAAACTTCGGGATAGATCATTCCAGCATCTCTGTCTTTCGGCTTTCCATTCCTCCTCGGTGGGAGCATGAAGTGGTATGTTCATATCAGCTAGTGATAATGTACTCGCGTTCATATTTTGTATCTGCGAAGGGGATACGATTTTGTACGTCAAAGGTTCATCAATTCCGACGTTGTTAAGTCCAATGGAGTAAAAATCGTGTTCTTGTTCCGCAACAAGATCATTATCGTTTAGCCTAATCTGTGACTGACAAATTATATCCTCAGAATTCGATATCGTAGATAAATTGGTCAAATCTATGATGGGACACCTCTCATCTGTTATTACCCTAGCCGCTCCGCTGAATCTAAATTGCTTACGGGCTTTATGGAAATAGAAACATGCCTCAAAATTGGAATTTTTGATGAGGTCTTTAAACTTTGCTGATCTCTTATCGCATGTAAATAGAAGAACATTGGTTTTGGTATCGTTGAAGAGAAATCCCCTGAATACACAAGTTCTGGTGTGAGGAATCCCGTGTTCACCTACGTTGGCAAATGAGAATGAAACAAATGGCTCAGATTCTAATTCAGAAGCCACTGCGCTAGTGAATGCTGCATTCCATGGTGCTAGCGATGGCAGCATGGTTATTGTACAGTGATTACAGCTTAAGGGTATCTAATTTTTACTCAAAATATTCTCGCTTGATTTTTCCGGGATTCACCCTTTCGCATGGAAAAAATAAGCTGCACTGCCTACAAGTGGATATGTTGAAACTTGTAAAAGATACTAAGTAGTACATAGAAGGAAACGAGTTTAGCCACCCTTAAAGTCCTACTTTACCAATTCCTTGTCCCATCAGCACCTGCTGATTTTCTTGGAGATCAAATTGGAAATTCGGAGGGGCTTCGAAAACCAATACAATTGTAGACCCAAGTTTGAAGCCGCCCATTTCCTCTCCTCTGACTAACGGAAATCCATGAAGCACCTTCGACGCATTCGCATAAGTCGCTTCATAACAAGTGTCTTTTTTCAACTTTTTGCGCTCCTGGACATTGTACTTCTCGGTCAACGCTTCATCTAATCTGTCTTTAGAATATATTTCATGTTCGTACACTTCGTTTGTTGCAAGATGGGTGTCAAAATTCAGCTTTATGGAGCCAACATTTGTCGCGCCTACAGGAGTCATACTGAAGAAACCATACTTCCAGTAGCCGAGAATTGCGACTCTCTCGTTCAGTATGAACAGGTTTTGCAAGGTCCGCTGAAAGTACGGTGCAACTGAGTACAGTTGACCGACAAAATGTCTCCTCAATGTTGCCACCCACTCAACCGGCGAGTGGAATCTATGGTAATCCCCCGGTGCTAAGTATATGACCGCGTAAAACAGCCTGTTGGTTTCTTTGTGTCCTTCAGAGCCAACAAGAGTTCTCGAAACAGACAAAATACGTGATGTCGATGAATGAATGAGAGACTGATCGCCCTCCTTCTTATATGTCAAAGCCTTGATACCCCCATGTAAGTCAATAAAATGAGCTTCTTTTTGGGTTTTTTTTAAATCGAACTGTTGAGGACGAGCTTCGATTTTCGGCGCATCGTGCGTGCCCAGCAAAGCATCAACTTTGTAGGTTATTCCTTTCACCTGCTCTATCCCTCCATCTTCTTCGACGATGCCAAACTTCAGAACCTTGCCATCGCATGGAGAACAGAGGGTTGCAGAAGTATCGACAGGTCTTTTCTCTGGTTTGATCGGCCGACAGAAAAACTCCGCCAGATTTTTGTAGTGTGTAAGATCAGGATCAGCCATTTCTTCCAGATTCACGCCAAAAATTACCGAGTAAAACTTGAAACATGGGCCCCTCAACCATACAGGAAGATCAATGCTATTTAGTTGCCCCCAAAGCCTGGAAAGTGAATTCAAGGGAAGTCTTGAGTATATATAAAGGGGCCATGATTCTACGTTGTGAGATCTTTTTATCTTTGACTCCTTTGCTTCTCGGTTATCTTCAATCTCAATGAAGCTTCTGGCCACAACACCAAAAAAAATGAGAGAAACTGAAGTCAATGTGAACCAGGAGCGGAACTTGACGCGTTTTAGTCGTGATGAAAATCTAGCTTTAGTCGAAAATTGACGTTTCTTGAGCAGCTCTCTTGTGCCATTTATAAGGTTTGCATTTGGGAATCCGTGGTATGTGCTAAATGAACGCGGTAGGGACACTTTAATGGTTGCAGCTGCAAATAATGACGTTTTCCGGTAGTGTACGTTTCGGTGAGGACTGTGAATCTTAGGAAAACCTCTAATGATGCCCTTCTGCTGCTGACTGAGTGCATTCAGCGATGCACGCGTCAGTGGCTTGTTCAAAATTTTGTGATTTTCTGTCAATGTTCTAGACCTCATAAACATTTCATCAGTCGTAAATATCAGAAGCTAACAAAATTCCCTAGGATTTTTCCGTTTGTTGGATAAATTTGCATGTGCGCCTAGTTCCTATATACCCAAAAGCTTTTCCTATAAATTTCCTTATGAGATTTGGCGAAAGCGTGATTGCAAAACCTGACTACAAGAAAATTTGAGCCAAGTTGCTTTGGATAAGGAGTATCGTTAGATACGTTGTAATATACGTTATAGCGCCGTCATTATGACAAAATCAATCCTGTTTCTTCTGGCGGTGTAAAGATGTTATCGTAAAAGGAAGCTTTGCCACCGATTTTCGTTTGGATAAAAATATTACTCGATCCCATAATTGATGTCCCCTGTTTCCTCTTCAAGTTCGGCTAATATGCTTTCGACCACAGTGTCTGTGGCACCCCTAGTACTCCTGTCTGTAGTGGATCATTATGAAAGAGTGATGAAGACCACGGCAACTTCAACATCGGGGTCAACAAAAAGAGTTCTGGGTGTTATTCTTGGTGATAATACACAGAAAGACTCTCTGAAAGTCACGAATTCATTTGCCATACCATTTGAGGAGGATGAGAAGAACCCTGATATCTGGTTCTTAGACCACAATTTCATTGAAAACATGCTTGAAATGTTCAAAAAGATCAATGCAAAAGAAAAATTGATAGGATGGTATCACTCGGGTCCCAAACTTAAAAGCAGCGACCTCAAGATAAACGAGATTTTCAAGAAGTTCACACCCTCTCCTCTCTTACTAATTGTAGATGTTAATTCGACTGACAAGATTGATATTCCGACTGACTGCTACACTTCAATCGAAGAAATCAAGGAGGACGGATCATCAAGCGAAAAAACGTTTATACATTTGCCTTCCACGATTCTTGCTGAAGAAGCAGAAGAGATAGGTGTTGAGCATCTATTGAGAGACATCAGAGATCAGGCTTGCGGGAATTTATCAATCAGGCTCACAAATAATTTCAAATCGCTCTCTTCACTCAAGGAAAGACTCCTCACCATTGTTGGTTATCTGAGCAAAATAAAAACGGGAGACTTACCTGTGAATCATGTAATATTGGGAAAGTTGCAAGACATATTCAATCTTTTGCCAAACATTTCCGCGTTTTCCGCTGATCTTTTGGATCAGGAATCCGGTGAATCGGAGAACAAGCATCTCACAACTGCTTTCAACGTGAAAACGAATGATGAGCTTATGATTTTGTACGTAAGCAGCCTGGTCAGATCAATCATAGCGTTTCATGATCTAATCGAGAACAAGATTCAAAACAAGAAATCGAACGAAGCAAATCTAAAAGATCCCAGCTTATCTAAGGCTAATGACTCTGATTACAATGCGATGGAAGAGGTTGTTGAGACTGGTAGATCATGAAATTAAATAGAAATGAAACATCCTTGCTTTTGTTTTACAATCGTAATCTTGTCGCGTTACCCGTCTAACAAACCTGAAAAAATGGATATCCTGCAAAACTTAGAATAGGCCTAAATTTGACCGTCTTTCGACTCTCTGAAGCCTCTGCGTTAAAGAATGATTTGGAAATCACAAATCTCGGGGATACCTTTGTTCTCAAATACTAGTGTCTGTTGGACTACAATCACCGTGTTCCAGTCAACTATGAAAACTCCATTTACCAAAATATCACGAAGATGTTATTATTACTCCAACGAACAGCTGAATAACGTTGCTATAAATTTTGACCGTAACGATGTCCAATGCAAAACTAAAAGGAAATTAAACCTCCAGTTTGATCCAAACTATAAGCTATTAAATTTACCGTACACATCAAAGTCAATTTCCGCTTTGGCTTCTGATGATTCTACGAATGTCATCAAATCAGTCGCTAAATCGGCTTTGGCCTGCCATCCTCGACCTGATATATCACATATTCCTTTTGAGGTGAAACCTAAAATTGAAATCGCAAAGAAGTCGTCTGTTTTACAACGCATGTTACAGGACGAGAGCCCCAGTTTGAAACAGCTGTGCGCTCCGTATTTGGCTCTTACAAAACCTCAACTAACATTTCTTATCATGTTATCATCCATTTGCTCGTATGCATTAGCCCCTAATTCTACAAGTTTATCTGAATTTGTCTGCTTAACATTAGGGACGTTAATGGCTTCTGGAAGCGCTAATGCTATCAACATGGGAAGAGAATTCGAATACGATAGACTGATGATAAGAACGCAAGCTCGTCCTGTTGTCAATGGATCTGTTACACCTAATGAGGCCTTTGCCTTTGCATCGATAATTGGCTTGCTTGGTTGCACAATTTTATACTATGGAGTTAATCCAGTAGTTGCTGCATTAGGACTCACTAATATTGTTCTTTACTCATGGATATATACTTCTTTGAAAAGGGTGTCAATTCTGAACACCTGGGTTGGTGCAGTTGTGGGGGCAATTCCGCCCTTAATGGGATGGGCGGCATGTTCAAGTTTGAGCGATCCAGGCGCGTGGTGTTTGGCTTTACTGCTGTACGCATGGCAATTCCCGCACTTCAACTCTCTAAGTCATAACATCCGTGATGAATATAAGCGTGCAGGTTATGTCATGGCCGCTTTTGAGAATCCGAAACTGAACGCTCGAGTCGCTTTAAGGTACTCAGTACTGATGTTTTTAATTTGTTTCGGACTATGTTACTACGATGTGACTGATCCACTGTTTATGCTTGACTCCAGTGTTTTGAATGGTTGGATGGCATACATGTCCTTCAGATTTTGGTGGCAACAACGTTTGAACTACTCGCATAAAGTTCAGAAAAGTGGCGGTCCATCTCAAAAAGCTATTGATCTAGCGAACTTTTATGCTAAGAAGACTTTCTGGAGCTCGATATGGCAACTGCCTGTGGTGCTGGTTCTGGCAATGCTTCACAAAAAAGGACAGTGGGATAGACTTTTTAAAGGCGAAGAAAGACATTTGACGGCTTGACTTGTGCAAAGGTGTTTAGTCTAGCTCATGTAAATAGACCCTCAAAAAACCAAAATTAGATGTTTAAATATTTCGGTGTGTTTGAGCGCCTGCTCTAGTGTTGATCATTTCGACTTAATTTATGTATTTACCAGATTTGATTCCCCGTGATGCGCATCACCTGTGGATGCTGGAGTCCAACATAAGGCAGTCTACAAAACTCCAGGAGAGAGATTCTGAAATCAATGCAAGCCGATTTCCGCCACTGTCTTCGTATTCACCTGCATTTCCAACGCCGATCAGAATGTCAGACATGACTAGTGGGTTGTTAATATTACCTTCGGAACAAGCAAGTAATACTACATTAGAGTATTTGGCAACTTCGATATCTCGAGATCTGAAATATCTCAGCGACCTTAATAAAGTTGGCTATAGTTATTTGAAACCTATGGGACTTGAGAAAACCTTGAAGCAGTTATGTGAAGAACAACATCAAGACGATGATCCTATCAACTTCGAAGGTGGGGACGTGTTCACAGCTGCAGATGAAGACGAAGAAGTGGATAACATGGTTGGTAACAGTGTTGAAGAACTCACCCATTCCCTTCACTTGAACAACAATACAGAAACTGATCTTGATGCTGGTGTCCCAAACAATGATGTCTACCCTCTGGATTTCGACACTAACGGTGATGGTGATGATGATGATGATGATGATGACGATAATGATGATAATGATGATATTGATGGTGATAGTGATGGCGGCGACGGCATTATGCGTAATGACAATGCTGTCATCAATGATCCGGAAGCGTTCATGGCCTCTGAGGAATATCAAGATGATCATAGCATCTCAATTAATTGCCCGGTGGAGTATAATTCGAATTCTCCCACAGCATATGATGCTACTGATAACGTACTACTCCATTCCGGGCCTCTTACATCGACGACTGCGACGACTGAAACATCAGCATCAAACCAAATAAGAATTGGTCACACTGGTCGGGAAGGTGATACTGCAACAGGCGATACCTCTCCACAAACTCCATATATTCTTTGGCATGACCCTGCTGACTTACAGGACAGTCCCTGTCTACGATCCCCAGGGCTGAGAATAGATCTTCGTGCGAACACCGCCAGGTCATCTGATTATGATATGACTATAGAGTAATTATCCATCCGTCAATGAAGCTACAGGATTTCGTATCAGCGAGCCAGATTGGCCCTGGCTTACTTCATCAACCTTAGCTTTCTGCAAGTGAATTGCAGGGACCATCCATTTTCCACAGCTACAACGAGAGCCCCTCCATGAATACGCTCCAACCTTGGCATGACATTTGGGGCACAGGAATTTACCCTCCAATTCACCCAATGATAATTCTGCTTGCATCCATTTCAACGGTTCAACAAAGTAATGTGTACACTCTCTTGCTCCCCTTTGAATATTCGTAATTCTTTTTGATTTGAAAGCGTTTTTGACGAAAAACGCTTGCTTATCTTTGTCATCTGATGGTGGTTCGTGAGGTATGAATGATGCTGAATTAGCCAGCGTGATCCTACATCTTTTGCACCTCAAAACACTCGTTACGTCAAAATTTGTCGATTCATCTCCATAGAAGTCATCAGATTTAACAATAGCCTCATGATTATCGTAGCCAAGTTCCAATACCATCTGTTTATATATTGGAATACCTCTCAGTATTTTCGGGCTATCCTGACAACCTAGCTCTTCGTATAATTTCAGTTGACGTAGAAAGCTATTGTTGGGGCAAACATCTGACTTAACTCGTTTCATTGCATAAAGTGCAACTTTTAAGCTCATTTGATAATATTTCATTAAAAAAGCTGCCAAAACTGTAGGAGATCTACAACATCCAGCATTACAGTGTATCAAGATGCTAGATTTATGCTTGGCTAGTTTTGCTGTATTGGGTACCTGGTTATAATTTCCATACAGTGCAAAGCATATGAAACGATTCGTTTGTTCAAAGAAAGATATTATATTTGACTTTTCATCATCGTCCACTGGAATTTGAAGGTGACGATAAGGAGCCTTGACATATAATTCAGGTACGCTTTGTTTCTGTACCGAGATAATATATTCTATTCCGTGCTCTTTTCTTATATCCGAACCTTTGTCAAGGGGCTCTACGGAGCTTATGTAAATGCCTCCCAATATTCGATAGACCGACATTGTGTACGTAGTAGATCGAGAAATTAAAAAAATAATTTTCTGATGAAAAGGCAAAGGTTTCTTTTATTGCAGACTTAGTGCTTGCTTACTACAACGTCCTGATGAAGATCGTGTACTTTGCGCTACTTTCCAAATCCAGCAATACATGAAATCAGCCGATCGCAAAACGTTCTTCAAAATTTGTAACCATTTCCGCCCCTAGCATTCAGTTGTGGCTGAGTATATTGGTGGTTTCTAGAGTTTCTGTGCCCTTGCTGTCTCATTGATAGTGGTATAGCACCGTTCGCAAGATTTTGATTCTGAGGAATTCCATAGGCCATCTGTGGAACGTTTGGCGGCGGTTGGTAAAAGGGAATAAACTGAGGTTGTTGAAATTGAGGGACGACAAATGTGGGTTGGGGCATGTGCATATTATGGGGATCCATTTGCATAGGCTGAGCCATCATAATAGGTTGAGGCACTGGCGGATGCTGTTGAGGCGGAGGAGCCATCATTGGGAAAGGTTGAGCTGAGACTTGGTACATTCTTTTTTGCATCGGCGGTAATGCCGCTGGAGAGCCAATCCACTCAGGTTGTTTTGAAAACGCCATCTTATATGATTCCTCAACAGTAGATGGCCAAGTTGGAGGAGTCGCGAAAGGTTTTTCAATATTAATTATAAGAGCATTTTTTGTTTCGTTCTTTTCCTCGTACTCTATCCGCGCTTTAATGAGCACGTTGAATTTGGTGTTGAAGAATTCTCCACAGACGTCATGAATTGCCAGTTCCTTTGGCGATTTACCTGTAGGGAAGAAAGATGCTGCTTCTTTCCTGGTGCGCTGCTGCGGAGATTGTACTATCTCACTAGAGGACAAGGCTGGAGAGTTTCTTGAAGATGAAAAACTTGGAGAAAAGGGAATTGAATTTGGATTCATTTTAAAGGTGGGAGCAGTTCTTGGGTCCATCTTTTTCTTACTCAAAATAGGAGTGGGGGTTTTGGATTGGGTATCGATGTCTGCAGTTCTTGAGGGATCATCACCTTCTTCACTGTTTTCGTCTTTTTCGCATTCTTCTGTTTCTGACTTTTTCATTATCTCGTTCTGTTTGACCTTATCTTTCGAAAGTATAGGGAGTAAGTCTGGAGGAAATTTTGTTGGCACTTTGAAGGTTGCCGAGAATTCTCGGAATGAATTGATTTCATTCTGATGGCTGACCTTCCTGTTTTCAGCCACTATTTTCTTTGGACGCTCAGAGTTAGAAGCTTGTACCTGATGGTCACTAATGTCTTGTTCAAGTGCATCCAAGCCCATGGGTGATTCGAGAGTACCATCTTTTTTTTCTTCAGTGACAGAACTAGCACCTACGGCGCGGTCGCCATGAAAGTTTGCAGCACGCTGTCTACGAGGTAAGTTCTTCCCTGTGGCAGTAGGTCTCAACTCGGTTTTCTGATCTTTTGTGTTAGCCCTCAACATTCCAAGTAGTAATGCGTCGCCTTCATTTAGAGGGACAGGTTCTCTGGCAACTCCTGAATATTTGTCTTCTTCGTCAACTCCTGCATCATCTAGTATAATGCCTCTCTCTTCAGCAAGGTGTATATTGCCATTGTAGCCTTGAGATTCGATTTCCTTAGCTATTTGCTCCGCTTCCTTCAACCTTTGCTCATAATCTGGCGCACTTTTAGAAATCTTTGTGGTGTACAAGTTTTCGTCGTAAGTAGATTGGATACCAAATTTACGTTCATTCACTTCAAACTGATCCCAGTGGACGTTCGAGTCGGCGTCCTCCAATCCTTCAGTCAATCTTACATCGATATCTTCATCTGGTACCCATTTTTGTAATTCCCTTTCATGAAATGCAGAGTTAGCCGATATATCAATGTCTGTCCTAAAACTTTTGCCCGATGCATTCACTCTTGGTTTTCCAGTTTGCTCAAAAGTTTCGAAATTCACAGAATCAAATTCCATCTTTAATATATCCTTTTCCGAAAGAATCAGAGTCTCCGGTAGTTCAGCCTTATTGTTGAAGTCTTCATCTGATGGAGTAAAAGAACTTTTTTTCAGTTGCGGGTACTTCAGAATTAAAGCAACTCCTGAGTCCGTGATGCCGCCACTAGTATATAAAATTCCATCATAGGTAGCTCCAGAGTTAGTTGTAATTCTACTCTTACAGCCAATACTCCGGATGAGTCCAAACAATAATCGATCGTTCATATGCTTTAACGATGCTTCCTGGTCTTGGGCTGAGTTCGGCAGATGGTACGCAGCATTATGTACTTGAGTTGTGCCCATCTGAGCAGCACTATTTGCCTTTCTTCCATTAGTCATGAACGTGGAAGCACTGTAGTTAGGAGTCGAAGATACATTGATGTGTGACCAATTCTTAGAGCCTGTACGACGATGCTGATTACCTCCTGTGAATCTGGAGCCTGATGGGTTATTTGATTGATTGCCTCTTGAAGTCATATATTATTGTAATGAGTCAAAAATTCAATCAAATAGAACAATACCCGCACTAATGTCCAACTTTAACAGGACTATCACGGACTCCCTATCCTCAAATTTCGACTCGATGAAGCTTGGCAGGTAATGGGGTTATGTGCACTGCAATCGACGCGACTGCCATCGTTTCGACCTTCAAGGAGCTCAACGGAGCTCATAACCAAAATAAGACTAACTAAAAATTGCTGATTGGTCCTTTAATATTTAATATATTTGAATCGTGCAATTAATAAACTGATTTGCTTTTTCATCGGCAATAGGAATTTACAAAACTTTAGGTAGCATCTGATTGAGAATAATGAGGCCAACCAATCCAACATTCAACGCTGCTGTAAGTAGTCATCTCAATTTTGTCAAAGGACTAACATATCGAGAAATCTAGCTCCTTTCTTAAAAGCATTCCAGTTGAACTGTATCCGCTGTTCGCAGCCTGTGGGATGGCATGCGTTTCCGCCATCTATTTCTCTTCCAAAAAGCTGAGAACGGACAAGACCTTGAAACTGGGGAGAAAGGCTCCGAAATTTGATGACAAGTTGGAGGAAGTTATTAGCAAACAAGAGTGAAGTGTTATAAAGCAACTTGCTTCACACTATAATCAGTACTACGTCAAAGTGTCCTAGGTTTATGCCATTTTAGACCAATATAAATTAGCAGTCGTTAACGACTTTTGTCATCCTTCAAATTGGTATAGACTTGTGTAACATCGTCAAGATCCTCTATGCTTGCGATAAATTTCTCGTAAACGATTCTTATCTCTTCATCGGTAATGGAAGTCGCCATATCGGCTTTTGGCATAAAGCCAATCTGCATCTCCCTGATCTTGTATTCATTTTTCAGTTCATTTGCAATCCTTCCAAATTCCGCGGGATCGGTAATCACTTCTACGAGGTTACTTTCTTCGTCAACTTCTAGTATATCCTCAGCTCCCAGCTCTAAAATTTTCTCGAAAACAGAATCGAAATCCGATTTCTCTATATCAATCAAGATCATTCCCTTTTTATCAAACATATAGGTTGTAGGAGTCATGCTCAAACCGTATTTGTTGAAACAGGGCCTGAGGGACCCCAATGTTCTGTTTTTGTTATCTGTGATTGCCTCAACAACGATTGCTACCCCACCAGGTGCCATACCTTCATATGTAACTGTCTCCATTCTGTCCTGCGATTTGAGCTCTCCTGTTCCTCGCTTTATGGCTGTTTCAATCACCTTTTTCGGTATATTCATAGATTTTGCTTGATCGATAGCGTTACTGAGTTCAATGTTCTTGGACAAGTCTGCTCCACCTATTTTAGCAAGCATCGTCAATTTCGACGACATCTTAAAAGAAATAGCTGCTTTAGCAGCATCATTTGCTGCTTTCTTATGCTTTATATTTGCCCATTTACTATGCCCGGCCAATGGATGAATTGATGAATGGAGTCCGCGAATATTCGTAGTCTCAGCAAGTCTTTTATAAATATTGGAAGAGAATCGAAACATCAAAATACAATCAAAATCCTTCGTGATTTCGAGAGAGAACGGAAAAAAAAAAAAGCTGCCAAATTTCTTGGATACCGTTGTTCGTAACGTAAAGGTCGCAGCATTCGCTATGGAGGCAAATAAAAATCGAACATTGATTGCAGTTATGGGGGATGAGGACACAATCACGGGTATGTTGCTGGCAGGGATAGGACAAGTCTCAAACGAACCGAACAAAGAAAAAAACTTTCTGGTTTGCACTGATAACACAAAAGAAGAAGAACTCCAACTATACTTCAACCAATTTGTTCAACGAGATGATATTGCGATTCTTCTAATTAACCAGCATATTGCCGAGAGGATAAGATTATTGATAGACACGTTTACAAATCCTTTTCCAGCCATTCTGGAAATCCCTTCTAAGGATCACCCGTATGACCCAGACAAAGACTCAGTCTTAAGAAGAGTGAGAAGATTATTTGGTGAATAAACCCATTTTCATGTATAAGATATACGTAGAAACTCAATAGCTGAAGGCCGCTCATGAGAACTATATTGGAAATCATCACCTATTCACTTTTTTCTGTTCTTCTTCTTTCCGCCTTTGTTCTTCTTATCTGACGAAGAACAGGATGACTCTTCCGGCCCAACTGCTTTTGAAGGCTTCTGATCAGATTTTCTCCGCAAAGATTCTGAAGCATTACCTTCTGTGTTGATAATCTCTGCATCGACGGGTACCTCCGAATTTCCAACGGCGCCCTTTTCGCCAGCAGATTTAACAGATTCGTTGTTGTCTAACTCTAAGTTATCAGGAACGTCATGCTGATCGTTAGAGACGGCAGTTTCTTGCACACTTGATTCAGCATTCAATAAGGGCTGACTCATATCTCTCGAGTTTGCTTCTATCTTGCTCTTTTTCATGCCTTGATTCGAGTCTTCACCCCGTACGTTTTCCAGAGACGAGTGATCGCGCCACTTCGTCTTCTCTTCAAAGGATTCATTGGTGTCATGAGTGTTATCATTTTCCGGAACTTCTTTAGTTTCCTGATGATTTGAGTCGTGATGAGTATCAGTAGGAGAACCTGATTCTGTAAGCTCTGATGCGTGTACTTTCTCCTTCTCCTCTGCAAGAGTTTCGGGTTCGACAGAAGTTCCCTCGACGTCGGCCTTTAAAATGCTTGGCTTTGTTTCTTCAGTAGGCTGCTCTTCAAACATCTCTCTGGGATCAATTGTGTTGAATGTATTGCTATCTCTTGAGTCCTCATTATCTTCACCAGTGCTACCCGTCTGCAGCCGGTTTTGGCCTTGATCTATTTCAGATCTAGGTGAGCCCCAATATTCTTTTTCCCTCCAAATTGGATTTTCAGAGTCTAGGTAGAACTTGCTGACACCAACAATTCGGCGCTCGAGTTCACACGCCTTTAACCATTCAGGACGTACGATTGGAATGTTAAGTGATTTCGCTTTTTCGTACTGAGAACCTGTCTTGCGAGTACATATAAATTGCGTCGTATCAATCTTCACTTCCTTCGACATCGGTCTTGCACCAATCTTGTTGAGTGATTGTTCTATGTCTTGAAGAGAAAACGGTTCACCTTCAAAGTCAATCTCCCCAATACAAACGGTTATACCGCTCAAATCTGTCATCTTGTGAGTTCTTAATTCAACAATGTTCGAGAGGTAGCTGCCAGCACTGGTCTCGAGCTTCAAATGAAATCTATACTGAGTGTCCACCGGCAGCCCACTTAACTTGATATTTTTTTTTGACAAAGGGCTCCTTATTTGCCCTATCTTTGTTCCATTTTTGTACAAGGTGAGAGAGTTCAACTCAGCTGTACCCAGCTCCAATGGTTCCCATTCAAGAACACAGGACGTTTGGGTAACGTTCACAATTTTGAGCTGAGGAGATTTTGGCTCATTTTTGCCAAAGGTGTTAAAGATCTCTTCTTGCAGCCTATCAAACGTCGCATCCTCAGCTTCTTCCTGCTTGAGATCTCTTTCGCAATGTATTTTAACGATAGAACCAGCTGATATTCCATCTGGCAGAAGAATCGTAGGGAATTCAATCAGGTGATGATCTTGTGTGAGCAATAATGCAAGTGAGGCATCAAGTTTTCCTACAGTAAGGGAGACCTCGACCATTGTTCTGCGGCTTATAAAGATGGAAGTTTTCAAGTACCTAAATAACTTTGAACACATCAGAACTGTCAGTTTAAGTTATGGGCAAGTAATTATATATTTTAGTCAAATAATATTCTATACCTTCCACAAAAATGTCTCTCAACTATTCGAATTCTCCCGAGAGCCTTGCTGCAAGTCATGCTTTTGAGGAGATCCCCGAATTAGATCCTCAAGTTGAAGACACAAATGTCCATATTCACTTTGCAAAAGTTTTAAAAGACTTTAGAATAAATTTTGGTCACCGGTTTGTTAATGAACTAGTCAGAGATTTCCGAAAGTTCTCAGCCCAGGAAATCCTCAACTCCTATGAGCAGAATACAGATCAAAGCATAATTGAAAATTGGATTTTGGAGTGTCAATTTTGGGATTTGGTAGAAACAGTTTTTCAAGACAGTTTCGTCAAAGGTTTATCTAATCGCGACGGAGAGGTTTCGAGGACGAAAAATATCAACAAATTCACTTCTAGATCAATCATGTCAGACAACGCTTTAATTCAAAATCCTGAGCTGTCCCGGATCTATGTCCTGATGAGGTGGCTTTCGAAGAGTTTCAAGCTTGACATTACTAATAATGATTACAAAGCTAATATGGATTCGTTGCCCGCAACCAAATGGCTTAATACAAAAATGCGAATTCAGTCTAACAATCCAAAATATGCTCATATGTATCTCGATGACGATTTTTATTTGCGCTCCAATTCTAGCGATGGTTTGCATGAAGATGATACACGTGAGAACGATTCCTTTTTCAAAGCTTGTTTCCATTTGCTTTTGTCTGGGGAAATAGAACAGATATTTCAATTGTGTGAGAATACAAATAACTGGGGTTTTTCGCTCATATTGACAGCTCTACAGGATTATATCGACCCAAGAGTTGAATTGGATGACAACGCTGCAAAACCAGTTGGCGTGAAGAATACAATTTTGTGGAGACGCTCTTTGTACCAGTTATCTCAGATGAAGCTTCTTTCTAAATATGAGAAATCGTGCTACGGATTTCTCTGCGGAGACGTGAACTCGTGCGAACAGCAGGCTCACTCTTGGGAGTCTAAATTACTGATTTACCTCAACAATATCTTTCTTTATGAGGTAGAACAAGCAATGGTTGCACAAGGGTTTCCCTTAAAGTCCAATCTAACGTCAGATTGGTGCCCTTCTGGATTACCTAGACCACCAAAGGCTGTGGAAACGATTACTGATGCCTTGAATATTTTATCATCATCCCCTGACCATATTATCGCAGAGCAGAGCCAACATCCTCTTCGTGTTCTGATGGGGTCTGTAATGTCCAATAAAGTTGAGAGTTTGATGAGAAATAGTTTGGATGCACTTCAAAATCTACTATTGCACTCTGCAGAAGGCCTCGACTCGTTTGAACTCACGAGTGACGCTTATTTATTGAGGGTCCTTGTCCATTTTGCGATAGTTCTTGAACTGATCTTTGGTGATCAATTGATATCAAATACCGAGTACACGCAGTTGCTGAGATCTTATATTTCGAGGCTGATCCTATACAAGCACTATGATTTGATTCCAATTTACATCTCCTTCATCCCAAACGATGAGGACTTAGTGGATACATGTCTACATTTGTTTTCCCATTATCAGTTTGATAAAAGCGAGAGAGTCAAACAGCTCAAAGTGATTAGACAGCTCAATCTGCCATTAGAATCAATACTGAGAAAAAGCGCAATGTCACTATTCAAAAGCACCCAGCATATGTATATTCACGATCAAGAAATCTGTCTCAGCTCACAAGTCACCGAGTGTGATCGTAAGCTGTTTAGTACCGTTCATTGGTTCCATGATGCTGGGATGCTGAGCGACTGTGTTGAATCTCTGGTTTCCCTTTTTAGAAGGCTATTATTATGTGGAAAGATTCAAGCAACTATTGAGATGATTGGGTCAATGAATATACGTGAGGTTATTCGTGAGTACAAATACAAAGTCGACTCATTGGAGGGTATTAATGAACTACCGGAGGGACTGTTTGTGATTCCAGCCTTTAAACTTGATGAGTTGATGCAGTACCAGATATTTGCGGAGAATTTCAAAAGTTTGAATGAACTTCAGATGAATACCATGTGCATGAAGTCGGAGGCTCTTATTGAAAAGGTGCTGAAGGTATCAACTTCCATAGAGCAACTCATCAAGTCTTTTTTGTTTGATCTTTCAAACGACGAGTTCATTTCTCTTGAGGACCGCAGAATCTATCGTGAGTTGAGACACTTATACATACCTGTGTTATTCGACATGACGTTCAACTTGCTAGTCTCCTTTGAAAAATATGCAAGTGATTTGCTAATCACAAGGGCAGTGGAGCTAGTCCATCTATTGGGCTCAAACCAGTTCAAGCTTTATGAGGTATTCAGAGCAGCTGATAAGCTTAAATTATTTCTGAAAAAGTTTGCTGTTGTATTTAGTGAGAATTACATATTCTGATGATAAGGAAAGTACCAATAATGTATTATAGTCTTACTCTAAAAGAGAGGCTTTCTCATAAAGCAGATCAACAACATCAGACAAAGTTCTGATCACGTTCAAATTCAGATCATACATCTCATCCTTAAGAGGCTCCTCATAAATTATAAGCCAACCATTTCCTTGATCAAGGACCCCATAAAAGACTTTGTCCAATATCATGTTACTCAGCTTGCTTTCAATAATATTCTTGGGAAGCCCTATCATCGAACTTATGTGAGATATTTCAATGCAGGAATAAGGTTCTATGAGTTTTAGCAAGTTTTTTTGGAATAGAGAGTCATAAAGTTCTGCTACATGTGACCTTATAATCGGATCTTGGGTTAGTTCAGTCACATAAGATTTCAGACAATCTTCAAGTTCCTTCAAAGACCTATTTGAATGTGCCAATGAGACAGACTTCATCGCTTCTATGTCTTTTCCCTGAGCATATTTTGACACATTTTTGTTGTTCAAAAGAGAGTTAACGTCATCAATTGAGTTCAACATGATCTTGCATAACAACATATATTTTAGTACCTTTATAGTCTTCTCTTCATCTGTATGAATCTGATAATTTTCGAATGCTTCATAAAAGTATGAGAACGCGGTACTGAAATCTTTGTCTTCTGCATGCAAGATTCCACTCATCAAATCCAGCTCTGCCTGTAATTGTGATGGACAGTAGATCGCATTGGCTGAGGTTCTGGCCGAGGTAATCGCAGCTTTCGCCTTTGCATGATTTTTTAGCTGAAAATAATTCTTTGACTCCAGAAGTTGAACTTCAACTAGTGAAGATTTGTCATCCAGTTTTTTGAATTCCCTTAACAAAGGAGCTATCTCCGAAAGGGATTTCATAAACTCTCTATTTTTGTAGAAAAGAGAAGCAAGTCGAATTTGTAATGCCTGTCTCAAAAAGGTACGCTTTTCGTCAATAGCCCAATCAATACATTCCTTAGTCGTTTTGATAGTTACAGAAAGGGCATCATTGAAATTAGAATGCTCGATTATATCAATTAAATTCTTGATAATTTTCGCTGTTTTCGATTTTGCAAAAGCACCCATGGTAAAACGAGCTTTTGAAATCAACTCCACCAGCTTTTCTTCATTGTTGTTATCACGATAGAGCTCCCCAAGTTCCTGTATGCCTACCTCTTGCATATCGATAAGTTTTTCATTCCTGTGGTAAGTATCTGCAGACTTCAATTCAAGTATCTCGGTGTATATTTGCTCCGCTTTACGAATGTCTCCATTTCTTGCTGCTGTACGAGCATCCTCAAGCCTTGGAAGTGTCATTGTACCGTGAATCCTGATTATGGTAAAATTCGACGACTTATATTTTTATGAGATTTTTGCTTAAATATATTTGCCACCCATATCTGCACAGCCATCAGAACAAGTAGCCTTATCTTATTTCATGTTTTTGATCGATAATAATGATATCTATATACAATTAAGTGAGGAGTCCGTCTCTATTGTAGAAAGGATTCCAGCTATACGATCATTCGTTTCCTTTCGAGCTACATTGTCCATCAGTTCACCTAGACGTTCTCCTGACAAACAGCCCTCAAGATCATAAAGAGTAAAATTGCATCGATGATCGGTAACACGGCTTTGAGGAAAGTTATATGTTCTAATTTTATCACTTCTATCCACAGAGGAAACCTGTTCGTTTCTTTGCTCTCTTTCTCTCGCCATTCGATTTCTCATTTCAAGGTCTGCAAGTCTGGCCCTCAAGATTTGCATTGCTTTTTCCTTATTCCTCAGCTGTGATCTCTCATCTTGTATATGAACGGAAATTCCAGTTGGTAAATGAGTTATGCGAACTGCAGATTCTGTTGTGTTAACATGTTGACCTCCTGAGCCCCTAGCTCTCATTACGTCGATCCGTAATTCGTCGCTTTTGAACTTTCTATACTCAGGGTCACTTTTGTCTGCTTCAATTTTGGGCAAAACAATCACAGCGGCTGCCGATGTATGAACTCGTCCTTTGTTCTCCGTCTCTGGTACGCGCTGGACTCTGTGGACACCGGCCTCGTGTCTCATTCTATCGAAAGATCCTTGCTCATTTATCATCAAAGTCGCGTCCACAATCCCTTTCCCTGAAGGATGCTCATTTTTAGACACAATTTCGAACGGCCAATGGTTGATTTGGCAAAATCTGACGTACATCTCCAAAAGATCGTTTGTGAATATGTTTGCTTCATGTCCGCCTGCCCCTGGACGGAGCTCTATTAAGCAAGGACGATCCGCATATGGGACTGGTGGCAACAATTTTGCTTTTAACATGTTAGATGTCTCCATCAATCGTTTGTGAGTCAGTTTGAGTTCATTTTCAGCCTCCTCTTTCAAACTCTCATCCAGGTCTGGTTCACTTAACATTTCCTTCAATCCAGAAAAATCAGCAGATTGTTTTACGAACCGATCATACAACTCAACCACTTGTGTGATCCTCGCAAACTTCTTTGAATCGCTGATAGTGAAGCCTGCGCTTGAAGACATTTTATCTCCAATCTGTTTGAGTTCAGTTTTAAGCACATCGGCCCGCTTTAGCAATAGCGGATGTATAATAGTCTGCTCTTGGATATTCCTCGTTGAACCATACGTATGAATGGATTTGAATTTCAGCCTACGATGCGAATTAATCACTTCACGAAGATCATTATAGAGTCTTTTCATCGTTAGCCAAAAATTATTTATACTTCTTACAGGTGAGAAAAAAAAAATAAACATAAACTTACTCGTTAGGGGAACTGCTTTTTAGTTTGAGCTCAGATCATATTCTGATTGGTGGCTATCAGCAGACACCTTTTTTTCTTCATGAATGTGACGAATCTGTTTGAAATTACAGGCGACAAATCTGCTGCCTTCAATCTATAGGTGATATTTTGACTAAAAACTACAGTATTTTTTGATTAGGTAAATTCAAAGTCCTACATTCTTGGGGTGCAATCTCTTACAGAACGATCAAATGTTTCTATGGTTCAAAAAGTCTCCTTTTCTTTGATATAAGAAGTTATCCTTGCTCCTTAATGGCGAGTGGAGGAACTTTACAAAAGGCTTTTTTGCTTCATACAGTTGATGAGCCACCATAGCTGCACTGCTCCAGAAAGTATGGAAACAAGTACTATAAGAATACCAAATAGTGAGAAGTTGCTCAAAATTGCTTCATTTACATTTCTTAGCTTACTTTCATTTGACAACATTTGTCTGAGCTGTGTAATTATTTGATCCACTTCGTTTTCTATTTTCAAAAGCTTTGACTTCACTGTCAATAGCTCTTTCGAGTTCTCTTCGTATGTTTTCAGTATTTCCGGTATCCCAAACCTCATTGTAACATAAGCTTCGATGTCTTTGGGGACTGACTTCCATGATTGATCAATCTTAATATTCTCAAAGCAGAGATCCAAATATTCTAACTTGTAGCCATTCCTGTGATCATGAAGAGGAAAATCAACCACCATCTGTACGTTCTGCTCTTGCAGGTTATTCTTGCGTCTCAATGTGTTTCCATTACGATCAATAACATTTAGGTTGAGTTGCTGGATTTTAGTGTCAATCGATTCGTTGATATGTATGTCTAATGAAATCAATATGTTACTCATTTCAAGCTGTTTAATGTTTCCCGTGTCTATCTCAAGATGATCTTCCAAGTAATAGCGCAGACAGGTATTGCAGGATAAGTAGTTGGTAACGGCAGTCTCGAATCGCTCAGTCAAAGTCTGCCTCTCTTTTTTGTTCAGTTTGTTCATTGTATTAATGCGCGATTGGTAATCATTAACTGTCTTAAACAAATCTACGGCATTTCCTGCACTGGGTTGAATACAGACTCCGATTCGAAGCGCGCTGACGGGGCCTATAAAGAGTATGAACAGACACAAGTATATCAAACACTTCATTGAAGAACAAGAAAAGGCTTTTGAGTAGCTGTCGCTGCACTGTTCAATTATATGACATCGGTTAGTGCTATTTGAGGCTCTAACCAATTTGAGCTCACCAAATTTCTCCTTTACAATCTGGTACTCGGGTTTGAATGAAGTCTCTTTTTTTCTCACAAACCCAAAACACTCATTCCGTAAACTGCTCATCTTGGACAGTAGCCAACAAGCTTAACTTGGACTTGCAATTGTCCTCTATGAACTATCTTTGAAAAACTGTGGTGTTCGTTCTGACTTAGGAAAGTAAAAAAAAAAAGGTACACGATCATTGAATCGGTTCCAATACGTCGATCGTCTTGCAAAAAAAAAAAACGAATCTCCGAGACCGGGAATTGAACCCGGGTCTCCCGCGTGACAAGCGAGAATTCTAACCACTAAACTATCTCGGACTCTGTTGCAGAAGAACACAGTGTGAAAATAATTAGCCTTAATCTCACTGGCATTGGAATGTACAACTTGTCTGTGCACAATCAACATTCGAAACCTAAGAACACGATGTTTGTTTTCTCGTCATCTGGATAACTGCCGTGAGTCTCGCTTTTTATTTTTTATTCGCGCGAAATCAATTGCCGTTCTTAATATATGTTATCAGTTTGGAGAGCTGCCAATTATTATAAAGTAGTTCTACGGCAGTCTCTTCATCTTCAACTCCTTACTTTGATAGTAGGATATTAGTGGCACATTGTAGAGTTGTTCGCCTCTCGGTAAGACATCTTTTTAACTTTATCGCGATGCAAATTTCAAGATCCTCCTAATGTGGCTAAATTGATTGAGCTGCGCCCAATCGAAGAGACGAATGACTAAACCACTTCTTGCTCAAAACTGAACTGAAAAGCATTTACTTTTGTAAAATACGAGCATAGAAGAATCAGATGGTACTCCAAAAGCGTCATCCGGGAGGGACGACTATTGCCAACAGTTTGCAAAATTGCGTTTTACGATTGACCGTCAATATATGCAGTTAGGAATTTCTGAGACTGGAGAGAAAGACATAAAAGGCGCAACAATTTACCTATAAATTGATGACCCGAAACGCTTCACGTATACAACATTTGTTTCGGATGGTTTTTAAAAAAAGAAATATTCATGAACGTAGATTTCCATTAATTACAAATTACAAAAAATAATTATGTGAGATCCTATAAAAACTTCTTGCCATGATGAAGGACAGGTAAGCAACATTCGTTCATCGAACTGACAATGATATGAGGAGAACTCCGTAGTAATGCGCTTACCATTTTTTACAATGACCTAATACTAAATCTTCATACTTAATTCTTTGACACCTATGCCGTGGATCCTGGTTTACGAATGTTGTGTCCGAGATAGTTTAGTGGTTAGAATTCTCGCTTGTCACGCGGGAGACCCGGGTTCAATTCCCGGTCTCGGAGATTCGTATTTTTTTCAAAGCTTTCATATTCTTGAGATGTACCTTCCCTTCAAACTAGGAAGTTGGCACATACTGTAATCCGATCTGTTAAGACAAAACAACCATTTATGTTAGCCAATACATGACCTCTGAGGATCGAACAGAACAAGTTGAGGCAACTTGAAAAGATAGAATATTCCCAAGATGTCGAATATCTCATATAAACTTAAAGGTCTGTCTAGCATACCTTATTGGTAGTTCGTGGTCATGAAGAGAAGTCTTCAGGCACACCTCGGAATTAGTTAACCTAGGAATGTAAAAACTTCAACCAACGTTGGCCTCATAACTTTTGGAGTCAAGTCTAACGAATTTACAACACAGCTAACCTGACCCCAATTCAAGTAACACGCTAGGCTAACGTAACTTAATTACATAGCAGATTAGGTCTTATCTTCTCTGCATTGACCAAGAGGTTGATCGTGGAATCCTGACTCAATTGACGGTGAGATAAGGGTGCACTTTACTATGACGCTAGATACTTCGTGAACACAAATATGTACATGAGTAAAATTCGCTTCTAGATTTCAAAGTTTACCTCAGTGTTTGCGGCAAGAAACATTATATATTGAGGGCCTCAAGGTTTCATGACATGAACACAATCTACTACATTGGACAACGAAGACATGAAAGCTTCTGAATGTCATACGCGGAGCTGAGACTTGGTGTGAAACAAGTGTTTCTGGCCCGAAAGTCATCAGGCTTAGAAGTTCATATTTACAAACAAGCTATGAATATTTGAAGTACCGTTCAAGTTTCGAATCGAAGACTATATGTCGTGGTAATTAACATTGGAAGATAAAACGGTGAAACAACATACGGGCCCACTAATAGAGCTCAATCCGATCAGTATCATTATTCAACCGCTATTCAAATAATAGGAGTAATGAACAAAAACAGACACTTTTTGAACTATCATTCACGAAATAAACTGTCCTTTGGGCTCGATCAAAGAAAGTTTTCGTTCCTAATTTAAGTCTTCATGAAGATATAAGCTTATGCAGTACACCACGGTAGGTTTTCTATACCTGAGATATTGGATATCCAAGATATCACATGTTGAGATAAGATAGTCATAGATTATATCATGGCTGTGCGGCTTATCCTAATATGAAGGTTTATGGTTTAGCACATGCATAGTATGTGCATCAGATCCAAATGATACAAATCTGAATCACATATGAGACTATCCAAAAAATATATGAGGATATGCTATACCCCACTTATGAGTGAGGGAATTAGGTATACCAAAGATATTAAACATCTGATACCTAGTCACACTATTGAAGGAAGTATAATGACTGTAGACATTACACTTATCAAAACTAAATTCCAACAATCACATACGTTGAACGTCGGCCACATGCATTGTGGTTCAGTCAGTCATAATAACGATGGATTAAACAGCTAAAGTGCTAATATTTGTCTAATGCGACCTTTGGGGTACGATCAGACCTCTCGAGTTCTGAGTTTGTGTGAGGAGTCTTCTAGGTAGACAAATAGCGGTGACCCAATAAAGGATCAAATGTCATGCATCGCCAAAGTATAAGCTTTTCATCTTTTTTTTTTACGGAACATGATCTGCTTCACCTATAGATCTATAGCGCGACTCTATGAGCGAGTCACTATTCAAGTTTGATTTTCACATGTTAAGGATGTCTGTTTTTAGTTCTTTATATGCTACTTATTAGACTGATAGAGTCCGGAAAAGTAACATAAAGAAACAAGAAGCCACAAAGTGCCCCTGATAGTATCCAGGGCACAGCTGTAATTCTAGCACAGTGAGTGATTGATTCTGAGATTCTTTGTACTTTAAAGAGCCCTTGACAGCAAAAAGGGCCTCCTAAGGTTTGATGGCTCAGATGATCAAGATGTATGACTATACCATATTTGATGGAATTTGTCTGTAAGTTTTTTTCTTTTAATTGATTGATTGCTTTCCGTTTCCTCAGTCCTAGAGCTCGGTGATAGTGCAGCCCCAAGACTAATAATAGTCAACATTACGCGACAGAGCAGTCTCAGGGTTCTGTCGGAAATCATTGAGTTACAGAATTCTCCCAAACCGCTCCCAGAAATAGAGCTCCAAATTAAGGAATGCTTATCCAAGATCTCGTTTTTCGTTTTTGCTGGTTCTGGCATCTAATGATGCCATTGAAGCACAAATGCTTGCCAATTTGCTTTCGAAGCCATACAGGTCTTCATGGAAAACACCAGCAAGGACCTGAAAACCACAAGAACACCGTGGACCTATTATTGCACTCGACTTATCATCGATGTGACTCTTTTAACTGAAAACTTGATCCTCGGGCTGAGGAGGTGCTTCTGTACAGCGACTCCGGTCGCGCGGACTTCTACTCTCACCACATCGGGCTCAGAAATAAGGATATCTGGAGATTTGTTGATAGAGTTTCGCTATGTCAATCAGAGCAACGACATCATACCAATGTATTTGACGTTTATGGGTATGCTTTAAGCTTGTAATCCGTAAAATCTTCATTGGTGCCTCCCCATGGGAGGAAATTTATTGGAAAAAACATAATCATTTCACTATTTTTGGCTTTGTACAAGTCTTTTTGGCATCTTTCGGTAGAATTACTATGTCAACTCAAAGCTGACATCCTGAGCAACAATAAGTCTCATAATTAACAGGGACTCTCTCAAACTTTTCTCCTTCGGTCTTCTGTATTCAAATAGTACAAGAAAGATGCTGAGAAGGATTTGCATGATGATTAACGCTATTTGATTATGGGATTGAAAATGGACTCTAGTTTTAGGGTAGGAAATATCAATGATTATCTACCCAGAAGGCAAAGAGGTAGCATATGCAATGCAGGACAACCCCCCTCCCGCCCCCTCCCGAACGTGAAGCTAAGGTGCCAGATTGCACTCTCATTAGACACCACGAAAGGTGTTAGTTCATGGACAGTCGGACGGTTACCGTGGAATTCGGAATCCACTAAGAAGCGCGTAAGAACTCACTTGCCGAATGAAACTTATTTCACGCAGCAGAGCATAATTCGGGGTGGTCTCATAATGGCACACGCAATCAAACATTTTTGCATGAGCCTCACACCCTTCCATTCAGGCAAATATGCATACACATATTAAACATCTATTATTAAAGTACTAGCTTTCTAGACAAATTGCAGTTGGAGACTTTAACGTAGAGACATAGCGTGCAATTGCTCCTCCATTGAGGTTTTAACTCTGTTAGGAATGTTTCTGCTAGCTAGAGATGCCGTGGAATATGTAGATAATAAATATCGAACATTGAACATTCTTGGTATTGTCATTGTTTTTTTATTTCGATTTTTGACGAGGAGAATCAAGTACTTTGATTGCGCTTCCTTTCCCTACTTCATGTGGATTCTCAACTGGGTTCTAGTACGAAAAAGCATCTGTTCATTTGTATTCCTTGAATGATCTTCCAACCCTATGTCAACTTTTCCCATTGCAGTATTCATCGCTGAACCCCTAAACGGTTTAAGACTATAATGGACTATACATTGGAGCCAGCATGTTGACGTAAGATGATTCGTAAACAAATTCAGTCCTCACCTGATCGATCGGCTAAGAAGATAGTACAACGACGACTAGAAAGTCACCGCCTATATAAAGTCAAAAACATTATTGGTACAATCTTATTGGGGATTGTATTGAGCTTCCTTTTGTTTTGTGTGTCTATGCGTGCACTGAATCTATATAGGGAATGGAAGTAAGAACCATTAGGAGTCAAGAAAAAGGTTTTCCCGATAATCTAGAACCGTCCCAAATTTGGTTCCCTGTACATATATTACCCTAAGATAATACCATCCTACAACATATTGAGCCAAATAACAAGGTTTATTGCTATGTGACTGTTACTTTTCAAATTTAGCGACAGAGAGTGCAACATACAACGGGACAATTTAATTGACAATATCTTATCTTAGTCCCGACACTACCCGTCGTTGGAACCATATTTCAGAGCCACAAATAAGTTGCAATTCAGTTAGGATATTTAAGTACCAGAGACTCTAAATTAGTTATGATGGCAAACTCAAAGCATTTTCCTTGACAAATAAAATCAAAGCATGAGTTATTCCCCAACTCTAGCTCTAAGCACACTTGAGATTAGTGAATGTACTTCAAGAAAACAAGCAGCAACGTCCAAGTGCAAACTGAACGGGCCATAACAAACTATCGATGTGCTCAATCTTAGTTTGGCAGATATGCTCCAGGTGTGACAACCTGAAGCAAAAAAGATATAAGCTGGAAAAGCAACTGTTTTATATTGGAAGTTTGAAATGCGTATACATAAATGACCAGACTAAAATTTGTATACACGAATCACAACCCATAGGATTGAATGCTGAAGCTTATCCATATACTACATATACGTATATGATTCGGAAGCAGACAACTTGATGAGAACAAAGATTATTCCAAATTATCTTAACTATCCAATTACCACTACGTTGAAGATGAATAAAAGGGGAAACAGTCCGCTCCCTTAATAGCCTTCATTGGCTTAATAAAGCGCAACTTTTTGGTAACCACTTGATTTACATTACAAAGAGAGGTACAATTGGGAATGATTCAAGAAAATAGTCTTGTGGAACTCTGACCTCTTATCCTTGGTTCACAGACGATTGATTATACAGATAAACATCCCAGAAAAGTTATTCACAACACAGAAATGTCACAGCCATTCAATTAAGTCCAGCTGTTTAAAGGTCATCTATAAGCGCTCGGTAGGTGTCTTTGTTGGTGAGTTGAATTTGTGCTCTGCATGCTAATCTGCAAAAGATGGAGATGCTCCCTTTTCTATTGCCAAAGGTTTTCATAGCCGGGCCTTTCAAGGAAAAAAGCCATTGGCCCTTATCCCTCCCTCCCCACTAGAAATATCGATAAGGGTAAGTTTCTCAAAAGTGAAGGTAAATAATCATCCCGTGTTCTTCAGCAATACAATTTTCATTCGATATAATTACTTATAATAGGGATATTAGTATTTTAGTGCAGTGTGTGTAAGCTAGCGTTATTTTTTATGCTAACTTACTGTATCATGAACATCCAATGGATATGGGTAGTCTTCTCATTTGAGTATTTAGCGGCGAATATTTCTATGCGTACTTTAGCTCTCCAGCGATTGAGTATAATTGCAGTCAAAAATCTAGTTAAGGAGTAGATTCAGCACAATCTCCAAAAAATCTTGCTATGATGCCCGCAAGATTCTATGTGTTTTCTACCAGGGCCAACTGACCTTGAAGATGCAAAAAACCTGTTTGGTAACATATTGTCTTCCCCCTGCTCAAATCTTCAGTCTAATTCTTCCCTAAGTGCCTTCCTTTCTAGCTATTATTTGCTTTCATGCATGATAGGGCCCTTCTCCTTTGTTGCTAACATAGACAGATCAACCATCGCATTTTTCTATACTAAGCCGAGAACTTTGAAATGCATCTTGTCGAAGCTAATACATGTTGAGATAAGATAGTCAATAGATTATATCATGGCTGTGCGGCTTATCCTAATATGAAGGTTTATGGTTTAGCACATGCATAGTATGTGCATCAGATCCAAACGATACAAATCTGAATCACATATGAGACTATCCAAAAAATATATGAGGATATGCTATACCCCACTTATAAGTGAGGGAATTAGGTATACCAAGATATTAAACATCTGATACCTAGTCACACTATTGAAGGAAGTATAATGACTGTAGACATTACACTTATCAAATTTAAATTCCAACAATACATGGTTTGAATATATAACAGAGGTTTGTCATTTAGAAGCACTCCAATAATTTTGTTGGAATATTACATTTTATAAGATACAAACAAGACTGAAAGGTAGTAGTTCCCTAGCTGGAAATTACTAATGTCCTACTTAATGTTTAGTTAGCTGCCAGAAGATCTAGCACCAAAATGCGGTTAGTCATATGATTAGCAAAGATCACAAATAGGAAGTTGACTACATGATCTTTATCATCTCAGGTTGATCCTTTATTTTGAAATAAGGGGCATATGAAAAATCTATCCCTTTAAAATATATTATCGAAGGAAACAGGTTCACACAGTGGTTGATTGTAAATAATATTCTATCCTAAAAAATGCCTTCTTTCAATCCTTATATGTGATGGTGAGGAAGAAAACGAGGCCAATCATAGCCATCAACATGCTGAAGCTTGAGAATTGAAAGTACTTACTACTAGTAGGCTGAGAAATACCTGCTATGGCTGCGAAAATGTGCAAAACTCTAGTTTTCTTACCATTTCATAAATTAAGAATGCTTTCCATTTTCTCCGAAAATGTGAGCCCTTAATCAAGCTTTAGATCTAAACTAATACATTGTTCAGCGTTTAATTGCCATTATGCTCTCACGCCGGTATTTCCTCAGCTGATGAGAAACCATCTTTAATGTTGAATGCAGACAGTTTCCTTGATTGACCCCAACAAATTGCTCAGGCACATTGATAAAAACTATTGTTCTGATTCATGTCGCCTCCGATTGCAGGCTAGCGTCTCTTTAGTTGAATATTGGTATGGAGCTTATCGAGAAAAAAAGACTCTGAACGCTGTACTTTATTCAAAGCGCCCCAATTTTTTACCTGGACAATATCAATGACTGGATGATTGTAACAGAAATATAACTCAGCAACATTCTAGGATTATTTTTATAAGAGTATTTTGTTGCAAAGAAGTCATGTTTAATAGTTTTCGTACTATCCAGTCATTAGTTATGCTAATACTGTGGCTGACTTGTGAAATATCTATTAGCAGTACTTCGTCTCTTCCTAGTTAGCCTATGTCCAGAGCCGAGCCAGCAGTGTTGGGCTTTATGCAAGGACAGATGAGGGACTGAACTCTGTTGTAATGCCGCCGTCATGCACTCTTTTGTAAGTTGAGAGATTTGCTGTCCAGAGTAATTAATCGCGAGCTTTGTTGCAAGAACGCATTATACAGGAGGATGCTTTCGTCTAATCTAGGGAGCTTGTTCAATATTCTTCGGCAGGCTAAAATTACATTTAGAGATCCACTGATGGGCTATAAGTATGAATTATCCAGCATTGGATCTTGGTAACCTTTACTAGATATCTCTTGTGACGTTGAATGCTTGTTTCAACATTCATCATTTGAACGCCCCGCCTTGTAGAGCAGAATGGGATTTATGACTATCATATTAAAATGACTTAGCTCACCCTCGATATCGACAACGTCGACCTCAAAAACAACTATGACTTCTGTTCTGCTTTCGATTGATAATCATGCTTTGCTCATGGTGCCAAAGATAAACGCATCTCATCTGTCTTGAAGAACTTTATTGCCTCGCCTGTCCAATGTTGCCCTACTCTGAAATAATTTGGGAAAGGCAACCTCACAATAGTTCATTCTAGTTCATTTGTGAAGGTTTTATAGGGGATATCAGATACGATATCAGATACCCTTAGTAGTAGCTTCTAAGGAAGTATAGTTTTGTGTTGCTTAATCATTATAAATACATCTGGTAGCTATAGATTTCTGTTTCTTATTAATATAAGGACTAGTTTGGCAGAACACAGCATTTTCTCATGAGCCAGTCACTCTAACAGTTACTATCTAGGTTGAAAAGACTCACAATTTGAATCATTTTCTATTTAAGGTTTATGGCAAGCAGGCAAGATTTGAGATTGCAGCCTTCATAACCTTTCTGCTTTAAGGTTTTACTTGACATATTCGAATAAAGTCGACTTTCTAAAATTACATATCACATCACATACTGGTCTCTAAGTGATTTTATAATTTCAAAGCTAACTCATGAAGTTGCTGGAATCTACAACTGAGAATTTATAGTTGACCGATTGACTTCTGAAGTATGCTCAAGTAATTCTATTCTAATCGTAGAGATTCTATTGCTGACTACAGTTTGTGGCCCCTATGAGTTTCCAGTTATTCGAGGCTCATATACTGTCTCTGTTGACTGAGATTCACTCTACGTGTTTCAAGAAACATGATTGCGAAGCTGAAAATTTGCATGCTTTCCATCAAAGTTAAATGGCAGAACTACCGAATCTTCACAGGTTCGTTAGATTACGCTTTGTATAGTATAGAGAGATCTTGATAGGATTTCCAGAAAATCTACCGAGTTTAAATTGCAAAACACAGTTCTTCTATTGTTGCAGATCTTTTTATCAACTAGCTCTTACTTTTCCGACTATCTCTTTTATCATGTGAGCTGGTCTTTACTGTTACATAATTTTTGAGTAATCAATCTGATAGCTAATAAGTTACATAATGTGAAATCTACTAGCGGGTCAGTTGTAGTTCAGATTGTATCATCTGACTTCAGCAAAGGACATTTTAACTGAAATCAGCTTGTCGCGACTCCCCTAATGTTTTAGTATTCATACAAAAGCCGATAGTAAATCGCTTGCAATTGTGCAGTTGCCTTGAGTGTTAGAAATAGTCTCCCTTGAAATTATTTCTGCCATTCATTCCAACTAAAAAAATCTTCAACCGTTTCTTCTGCGGAAAGCCTAAAGCCGAAACGCATTATCATGAGTTCTCACGTTCGAACACCCCGATGTATAATCATTCGCCATGGGTAAGTCCCGAGAAGCCGTATCCCTAACATTACAGCCAAACTGCTTGGTCGAAATCGGGGCAGTACACCTCCATCACAGATCTTGATTTAACAGATTATGGCGTCAGGCAGATGAAGGCAACTGGCGTGATGCTGATTGGAACCAATTCCTCAAACCTCATTCAGACAGGAGATCTTAAGATGGTAATTAGCTCTCCCAGAAGGAGAGCAATTCAAACTCGCGATCTCTTATTAGAATCATTATCTTCCGATGAAAAGACAAACATTCAGTTTCATATTGACGATGATATCAGGGAATGGGATTATGGTGATTATGAAGGTCTGAAAACAACAGAAATACTTAAATTGAGGGAAAGTCGAGGTCTCGGACCTGATTGGGACATCTGGTCTAAAGGCTGTGAGAACGGAGAAGATTATATACAGGTTACGAAGAGAGTGGATGCAGTGATAGATCGGATTCGTGCAGTACACAAAAAAGCGTTAGAAGCAAGTCAAGCTTGTGATGTGCTTGTTGTCGGCCATGGCCATATTCTGAGGTGTTTTGCCGCGCGCTGGTTGAAAAGAGAAATCAACCAAAATCCTCAGCTTATTTTGGACGCCGGGGGGGTTGGAGTTCTCAGTTACCAACACAACAACATTAACGAACCTGCCTTATCGCTCTCCGGGGCTTTCGTTGTTAACGACGATGACGTAAGGTGAAGGAGGTGAAGGCTGTAGTAAAGATGCAGCGTTATGGTTGCGTTAATTCTTCGTGTACCCGTTTTTGTTCGTAAGAATAAACTTTTGTCCAATTTCCCATAGAACCATGGAGTTTATTGTTCGTGCCCCAAAACTTGCTGTGTGCACTCTGGGCACTCAAGTATGGACTTGATTTTGTGACTGAGGTGGATCTCTGATCTGCCTGATTCAAATCTGAAACAGGTTTATTTTGGTCATTAACAATGTTGTCAAACAAATTCTTAGTTGAGTTTGAGTTTGGACTTGTAAACATTACCCCTTTTTCCGGATTACCGTTGAGTTGATTTTGTATCTCATTAATTGTTTTATTTAGCGAAAAGTTGAAGGCATTATGAGGATTGTACTCGTCATCTGAAGCCAGAGTATACGAATGAATACATTCTGGAGACTCAGGTTCAGTTACACTTGTATCTTTGGTCTGATATTCGTAGAGTGGAGCTTTATGAGAGCCCTCGCTTACTAAAAACCATTTTTCTCTAACTTTGGACTTTCTTTTGTGTCTTGTAGGAATGGTAGACTTATAGGAACGAAGACAAGCTCCATGATAATCGATTGGCGTATTTGATGTCAAGAGTAGATTTTGCGAGCTTGGACCATAGCCTAAGGAACCTAAATCAGATTCTTGAGAATCGAGTAATTGTTGTTTACTTCTATGGGAAGCTTTAGGTCCGTCCTTAAAAGGGTCAGATGCGTAAGTAGTATCATTCCGATTTATGAGCTCTTTTAGAGAATCGAACGACACGTACTCAGTTTGTTCAGAACATGCATCAAGAATTTGGGGACTTGCTCGACGATTGTCGCAGAGTATCGTATTCCTATCTCGCTTGCGTGGTTCATCAAGTGAGCTAGGCGACATCTGAATGTTGTCAATGGACTTTTTAATATATCCTGAAACTCTTTTGCCAGCGTTATTCAGATTTTCGCCTGTTTTCTTGATAATTGGTTTTATCAAGTCTGCGGGCAAAGATCTGTTTGAAACTCCGGATGGTGACATATCTGCATTGAAGGGATCGTAATAGGGGCTCTCTGGATCAAAGGGATCTGTCAAAGAAAACATACAAGATATCATTCCTTCCCTGAGAGACAACTTTCTATTATGTTTTGATTTTGGAGTTGTTTGAGCTATACTTTGATAATCTTGGAATTCTGGATCGAATAAAGGCAAGCTTGTCGGAGATTTAGATCTTGAAGAGCTGTTACACCGAGTTTGAGTCTGTTTGGATGTTTCACTCAAAACGAACACGCCAAGAACGACCAAAATTGTTCCCAAAAAAATGAAAAATCCGGCTGCTCCAAAAAACTGGGACCATTGCCTGTTGAATGTCAACCCATTGGATATGTTTGAGACGTTGTAGACACAAAATACTAGTGGATATAGGATAGAAGTACTGATCAGTTTTAGTCCCCGGTTCAGCAAATATAATTGAGACAAACACAGTACTAGAAAAACAAATACCAGTAGATAAACCAATGAGTTATTCAACTGTTTCACGTTGCGATTGGAGAGAGTCAGAAGGGCTATTTCTATGGCGGATTTTGCAAGCAATAAAGATTGAGAGGAAAGCATACCGGATGTAACTCCATATAATATACCTTGGATTGATTTCAGAGTTCCCAGTGGAAATGCAAACAAAAAATGGTAAACTGCTGAGCTGCAGCGAAGAACCCATAAAAGAAGCTGGAGCAACTTTTCCTTGAACGTATTTGTTGAAAGTTGAGGACTAGAATCACTATTTGAATCGTTGTCCTGAACACTTCTGAGAAGATCTTTCAAGTTCGCACCAAATACGTGTAAGCGTTGTATATAGGGGCTGACCTGGCCTTGTCTCGATTCGCGAGAGATTTCATATGATGATATCATTATCCAAGAAATTATGAGAATAATTATCCCAAATTCCACACTTATCCAAACAACAAACCCCTTTTGACTCAGGAGCTCCATAAAGTCTGCAAGGTCATATTCTGGTTCACCAATACTACCCCCGCATAAAGCGATCAAGAATGCTCCCACACCAACCAGCATAGTTCCATAAAATGATTGTCGCGTGAATTTCTCATGTAAGATCAGAGCGTTGAATATGGTATTGAACACCAAACCTATCGACTGTAGAGGACTTAATACAATCAATGGAAGAGTAGAAAGCTGGATGGTAGAGCCAAAAACGTTAGAGATGATGAATAACAAAAATCCTAGATGCCACAACGATCTTTTGTATGGTGACAATTGATGGCCACTCAGAGCAGCAGACTCATGTACCAAATGAGATTTTCTTTGAAGAATAAGACCAACTGATTGACAAGCAGATGAAAGAAGACCCACTAAACAGCCTATTAAAATCTTATTTCCCACCAGTGAAAAACTAACGGACTCATCATGCGCCAGGAACAGGAGCAAGTCACCAAGAAATGTTTTGACCATCAAGTAGATTGTACATTAAAATCAAGAGTAATAATAAATCACTGTTCTCATAAATCTGAATGCTTGTGCTTATCCTCTGTATATTTTGGTGATAATCATATAACCTGAAATGTTTTCGTATTCTCGACAAGGCTTGACTTCTTTGGACTCTATGAGAAAATGTCAAATATGCCTTTGCAAATGCGAAACAAAGAGTAATAACCGCTGGCGATAGTTGAAGTATGATTCGGAGACACTAGCTGGGAAAATAGAGTCTCTTGGTCAGATAGAAGAATTATTCGAAGGCAAATACCAATTGATAAGTACTTACGTAAACAAACTATATTAATTCTGAGGTGCAATTGAGCTATGGATTTGCTAGTGCTCGCCCACAACTTTTAGGTCGATTATACTCAATTCTAAAGCTCCTGATAAACTTTCATCTCTAGCCTAGAAACTATACGTACCTTCAGACTTGAATACAAAAAAATTGCTGCTGTAATGATGCTATAAAATCAAAACTCTGTTGCTAACTTTAAACACGATATATTTAGATGTGCCTTAGACTATCGATGATCCATCATCGAAAAAAAGTGTCATAATTAAAAATAATGGATAAATAACTCGAGAACTTAATTAAATAATTTATAGAGAAACTTTTACTGTATGGTGGAGAGGCGATCATGATATCCTTTATACCCCCTGTTGTAGTAAGGTTACAGGCTTTATTTTCTCGTTTTACGGCTGAGATAATGATCAAGATATCTTAGGATCATATTCAATGAGGATTGTTACCTACTCTCGAAATGTTACTTAGTCTCGCGTGCAGAATGTTGTGCAAATGTTTTGCTATCTTGTGGTTTTCAACTAAACAAAAGGACGAAGTTTAAGCCATAACAAGTAAAGACACGAAAATGATGTAAAACCTGTTCACATGCATGAACATTTGTGCATTAGCACCCTTCCAAACATTAAGCATATGTGTAATTACACAGTAGACAATACCTGTAATGTACTATGTCCCAGTCACTGAGATGTTCTTTCATATAGATACGCATATGATCGGAGTGATCCTATCAAAGGTGCAGCCCTGAAAATTACAAAAGTGAGACCGAAAACAACGACATATGTGAAGCTGGTTGATATGATATGGCTAACCCTCGATGTCATAACCAGATACTGTACCGTACTGCTTGAAACTTCGACTAGTTAGGCGTTGCATGTCGATAAACAGCTGTTTCCCACATGGGAGGCGGTTGTACTGCAACTTTGAGATGGAACAAGTGATGGGAGTGACTTCTTGTAAGTAATTATTAGAATCTCAAATCAGTTGATGATATATTAGTGGTCGCACAAATGGCGTTGTACTTGCGAATCTAAAAGCTACTATACAATTTAGGTAATCTTTTAGGTAATTAGCTTTATATATACAACCTCCAGAACTACAGTATCTAATCAGGAATTTTTTTGGATCATTTAGTTTTGATATGACTTATTTCATTGGATTAGAATAGTCGAGATAGAATGCCAGAATTCCAAGAGTACCTTGAAAATGTGCTTATCAATTGCAATAGGAGAGATCATGAGCAGGTGAAACTAGGATTATCCCAATTAGACGAATTACTAACAAAGCTTTGCGTTCTTAAATATGATGAACTCATTTATGACGAGGCTGCTGCGGTGAGAAACACTAAATGCTCGTTATCTATCAATGAACGACAAAAAAGTCCAAGTGAGACCGGCTTGACGCATGGTTTGAAGACGCATGGTTTGAAGAGTCGATTTCAACGGAGATGGAAACTGCCGAAAGTCAGCGATGTGGTATTTGGAGAATTCTTGTGCCTCCAAGACAACATACAATACAACGTGGCGTCGCAACTCATACAAATCGTTCCGTTCGTTAGTACATTCAAGGAGAATGAGCCCCTGAGGGTGCTTTTCAGAATTATGCAAGGCTGCTTTCTCCTTCATCCTCCATCTCGCAATTTAGTGACATACGAGTCCAAAATGTGTGTTTTGCTAGATTTTCTCAGCCCAAGGTATAGCCCACAGGTGATCGAGGCTCTTATTCCGGTTCTTGTGAGTTCGCTGGTTCGAAATGTTCCAAATATCAGGATTTTTGAACGATTGGGAGGTCCTCAATACTTATGTGAATTGTTAACATATAAGTCCGACGATTCTAATTTGGCCGTTGAATGGAAAGAAGTACAAGTGAAAGTTCTGGAATTTTTATTCTTTTATTTGATCCCAGAGTCTCAAAATACGGAGCCAAGCTCTTCGTCCAAGCGTCCAGTCGCGTCTAAGAACGAAAAGCTGAGTAGCGCAAGAAATCATGAGGATGGCCACCGAAGGAAAGGGACAATTGAGAAAGCTACAATACTTAATAGATACTTGAATGGGGAAATTACTAAAGGTTTAGTGGCTGAATTACAGACTAGCAAGCCATTCGGTGAGATGAACATAGAATGGTGATATAGTCATATGCGTTATTTATTCTCTTACCATGAGCGGCCTTTTTGAATTTGCAAAATTTCGCATAGATTCTCGTCTACTTACGAGCTTTGGGCTTACAATTGGACACTTGCCAATGTTCTCGCGTGCCTTATTCACGAACTTTGAAATCAGCTAAAGGGATTTTCTAGCAACTTGGATATCCTCTTCCAGACAGATACTTATAAGGAATACACACTTAAAGCTCTGTGGAGTCCAATGTATCTTTGACAACTTATAACGAGCGTTAATCCTTGGACTAATCAATATTAAAAATTCACATGACAATCAATCACGTGATATTATACTCTACTCCGTAATCGGTGAAGGCAGTGCCAATGCCTCGTGTGGTAACCAAAATTCGGACTCGAGTTCGGATTTCCTGCAAAATTCTCCCCTCAGAATTAACGAGCGCCCGGCAACGCGGGATGGGGCGCATGAAAAAACTCATCAGGCAGCAGATTCCCTTCCGTCGTGGTCACTATATTAGAAAATATATATTTCAGATTCGATGTCTACATTTTTTTCGCTAACTGTATTTATTACTCAATATGTTGTCGCAACTTGTCCAGAGCCAGTTACTCAAAGTCTCAGGTAAAAGAGCATTTGCTACGACAGTTAATGAAAATTTTCTTCCCAAAAAGTATGGTGGAAAGTATATAGTTACCTTGATTCCCGGTGATGGAATTGGTAAAGAAATCACAGATTCTGTGAAGACGATTTTTGCTGCAGAACATGTTCCCATTGATTGGGAGACTGTGGAGCTTTCGGGAATGTCTGGTTCTGCTTCTCAAATAGATGAGGCCGTCCTGTCTCTGAAGAGAAACAAAGTGGGATTGAAGGGTATCACATACACTCCTAGCTCCCCTTTCGCAAAATCTTTGAATGTTGCATTGAGAAAAGAGCTCGACATCTTTGCTTCCTTAGTGCTGATAAAGAATATCCCTGGTGTTCCATCGAAGCTTCAGGATATTGATTTCGTCCTTGTCAGAGAAAACACTGAAGGTGAATATTCTGGCCTTGAACACCAGTCAGTTCCTGGCGTGGTCGAATCTCTCAAAATCATGACAAAGTACAAGACCGAAAGAATTGCTCGTTTTGCATTCGATTTTGCGGTCAAGAATGATAGAAAACTAGTCACTGCCATTCATAAGGCCAACATCATGAAATTAGGTGACGGTTTGTTCAGATCTACTGTCAAAGAAGTTGGTCAAGCAGAATATCCAGGTGTGGAAGTCAAGGACATGATTGTTGACAATGCTTCCATGCAAGCCGTTTCTTACCCTCAACAATTTGATGTTATGGTTACGCCAAATCTGTACGGATCCATTTTATCCAACATTGGTGCAGCCCTAATCGGTGGACCAGGGTTAGTGCCTGGAGCAAACTTTGGTAGAGAACATGCCGTTTTTGAGCCAGGTTGCAGACATGTGGGTTTGGATATCAAGGATAAAAATGTTGCTAATCCTACCGGTATGATCTTATCTGCAACTATGATGTTGAGACATCTTGGTCTAGATCCTTATGCGGATAGAATCGCCAAGGCAACTTATGACGTTCTGGCCGAGGGTAAAGCGGTGACACCGGATATTGGCGGAAAAGCTACTACTACTGAGTTTACTGCTGCAATTCTATCAAAACTCCAGTCTTGAATAGATGATTAGAAAACTAGAAGCTGACATTTATATTTTGTATAGAGAAAAACAGTCGAACTATATTTATTAAGAATTGTTATCGACCTGATAACCTTTTATTACGTAACAATATTTATCTAAAAGCGTTTAAATTGAATAGAAACTTTTGCCAAAAAGTGTGGAAGATGATTCATTCGGTTGATTTTCATTTACAGTTAAAGCAATCTCAATTTCGAACACCAATCGAAGTGTTGAGGAAGAATTTCAAATGTATACAGAAACTTGTGGAAACACAGAAAAGCTACTGTATATGCCAGATAAAACTAATCGAGAACACCCGCAATAAACAGGAGAAGTTGGATCTTATCGATGCCACCATTCGACAACAGGAGATGTTTAGCAGCGATATTGAAAGAATGGTCAAAGAACATAACAAGTACATTTCAAAGTTGAAACTGAGAGTACATAAGCTTAAACAGTTTCAAATAATATATGATGGCCACACAGGAAAGTTTTCCAGCGAAGAAGCACTTGCCAAGTATGCAGCAGTTTACAGAGAAGAAATCAACCTTTTGTTGATTGATTTCCTTCTCAAAAGTTCCTATATGGACCCAATTCATTCCGACAAGTACAACTCGGGTGTTATTCTAGCTAAGAAACTGGGACTCGATAATTTGATTGACTATGACGTGATATTACAAGGTCTTGAAATCTACAATGAAATAAAGTTTCACAAAAATCTGAAAATATTGATCAAATGGTGCACGGAGAACAAAAAGAGTCTAAAAGCAATTCAAGATGAAAACGATCCAAAATCTTCTCTGAAATTTGAAACGTATTTTCAAAGTTTCATTGAGAACGTTAAGCTGGCAGAGCTCTCGAAGGCCCTGGAGATTGCCAGTGAGTATCTGGTGAATTTCTTGGATATGAATGTGGATGAAAATTTATACAAAATTGCTTCAGGTGCGGCATTGCTTTGCTGGAACCGAACTTACTTGGATGACACTGTTCGGCCAACTCACAATCGCGAACATGAAAAATCCTATTCATTTTACGACCAGAGTATGAACATGGTCAACCAAATTGAAGGGAATATTTTACCGCTAAAGGAGCTTTTGGAGGAAAGTAAATGGTCCAAGCTAGCTGATTTTTTCCTGTTCAACTTCAATTCAATATATGGAATAAGCCAGAAACCGGACTTGCTGCTGCTTTTAAGCGTGGGAGCGACTGCACTTAAGACAAGATCTTGTGTGCGGCCATCGACCTTTAGTGAAGTCAGTACGCGTGACATAAACTTCGACGATTACTTGATCGACACCAAGAACAAGGATGGTAGAATTGCAATACATAATGAATGTCCAATATGTTCACCCGATCTTTATGAACTCACTCACGATATCCCATTTTCTCACCAAGTGAAATCCAATATCTATGACGATCCGGTGATGCTTCCCAATGGTAATATTTACCAATATGATAAACTGATTTCGAAATCTTCTAAGATTAGTGGGGAGAATTTTGATCGATCGAAGCTTATGCCAGCACAGCTTTTTAAAGAACTAAAGGATTCCATTGGAACTCTTGGTAAGAACGAGTTTACTGGTCTGTTGGACAACTATGAAATTTTAGACCCTTTAACAGGAGAGGTTTTCAAAAGAGAACAAATCACAAAAGTATTTCCTACTTAACAAAGATTTAAGGCCCACATGATGAGCCTTTTGACTACCTCCTCAACTTCCTTCACAAAAATTACGCAGCAGCTAAAGCAGCTAAGAAAAACAAAAAAAAACATTTAGATAATTTTGTGTAGGATTTCAATCGAAAGATTATTGAATGGCGAAACATCCTCTCAAACAAAATAAACCTCCAAAAGTTGGAGGAGGAAAGCTGAAGTCTGCATTGATGAGGTATCACACAGCAACGAACAAAAAACATAGCTTACCTTTCAAAGAAGGGGCAGAAACGAAAACGAAGAATTTAATAAAGCATAGTAAGAATAACATTGGAAATAGCAACGCAACCGCTTACAAATATTTGAGCAAGCCCTTCATACCATTTGGCCAATCTGACAATTTATTACTGGTGGGGGAGGGAGACTTTTCATTTACCCAAAGCATAGTCAATGCAGGCTATGTGAAACCTTCCTGTACTTGGGCCACAAGTCTGGATTCAGAGGATGATGTTTACAGAAAATATCCACATGCAAGAGAAGTCATTGAATCGATAAGATCTAGTGGCGTTCATGTTGTATTCAACATAGATGCGACACAATTAGTAAATTCTTTTAAACTCAGCTCGAATGTTAGAAAGCAAGCCAAACGGAATGTCACGATACTTGGAACTGATCATATTGATCTCATCATGTTCAATTTTCCTCACACAGGTAAAGGCATTAAGGATATTGCAAGAAATGTAATCTACCATCAAAAGTTGATTTATTCCTTTTTCAAAAGTTGTTCTGAGTTTTTCAGCCTTCTCGATGCATCACGAATAGCCACTCTAAAAATCTCCGACGAGAATTCTGGGAGAGCGTTGAGAGAACCTGGAGATGGTACACCCCGACTTTTACAGTCAGAGATATCCAAGAAAAGAATCGCTTTGGCGTTATTTGAGGGTGAGCCCTATGACTCTTGGCAAGTCAAGCGTTTAGCAAAAGAATCAATCAACTATAAAGTTGAAAGATCAGGGCGGTTTGCATGGGAAGCCTTTGGTGGCTATCATCATAGAAGAACAAATAGTATGAAGGGTACAACAAAAAATGCCCATGAGAGAAACGCTCGTTTGTATGTTTTCGAAAAAGCTGCAAATTCTAACACCCAAGATGTCAGGGGACCAGAAAAGGTTGGTAGTGATAGTGAATGAAATATTACTTGTACATTTTGGTTTGCGTAAATCAATCACGATAGTCAAATATGTAAATTTAATTAGCTCTTGGGTGTATCAAGTCACAACCCTCTTTGCTTCTTGTATCGAATTTGTACAAATTGCGTAAATACTGTAACTTAATGTTTTTTTTATTCTGGCTGAATCTGATCATTAGTGTCACCCTTCCCACAATTTTAAATTTGGTTTAATACTCAGGATAACCATAGAGGGAGCATTAATATAAGTGTTCCAATGTACGAGGACAACGAAAAAGAGGGTTACTCATCAAATGTTAGATATAGGTCAAAGATAGACTCTCAAAAGCAGCTTCAAAAGCCTCACTTGACGCGCAAAGTCCCAACAGACAGTACATATTCTCAGCGAAATGTGGGATCTGGAGCAGGAACTGTACTCAAAAATTCCCTTGAGACATTGAAATTGAGACAATCATCGATACGGGGATTCTCTTCCAATTCTGTCAACCTTACTGAAAGCCAGGAAGAATATGGTTCACCATCCCTTCATGCTCAAAAGTTCTGGAAGTATCATGTCCTGCAAATCGGCCAGTTTGAATTTTATCTTACAACGAACCCTGATAATAGACACAGATTTGTTAGAGGAGCGCCTGGCTATTATGTTGAACTTGTGCTCAAAAGTCCCATGGACAACGAATACGTGCCGGCTTCAGACAAAGGGTTTCAGTTAGTATTCAAAAGACAGAGGTATCCCATATCAAATTCAAAGTCGAGCGAGACAGAATTCGATCCATCTCAGGTTTTCACAGTCATGAAACAATCGCAGTCTAAAGGGGGAGATTACGAAATTATGGGTCATAGCTACGAGTTTGTTGATGATGAAGGACGGCGTTCGTATACACCGAAGCAACAAAAAATCGCGGCCAAATTTGTCAACAAATCCAATTCGCTCTCACAAAATGGAATGGTGATGGAAACTTGTTATCGCCTCAAAAATGTTCGAGTCTGTTCACTGAAAGAAAAAAAGAGCACCATTTTGTTCAAAAACAAAATTGATGGAGTTAAGTTATCAAAGGAGGGTTCAATTTACTATATCGATGATAAACTAGGTGGCTCATATTGGCATGATTCGATCATAGGGCTTTTTAGACCCTGCGAAAGAGATATAAAAGCAAAAATTACGAAGAAAGTATTCTCAAAAGGGGATTCTTTCCACTCGGCTCGTGAAGAGCTTAACGAAAGTTTGGAACCGATGAGTTTTGACGACGAGGACTATGTCAGCGACCGGACTTTCTATTTTGCTCGTGATGGTCTTCTTCAAAGACATCCTCAAGATGATTCACCGAACGATTATAAACTGGGCTGGATTACTATTTACGACAAATCGGATTACTTCTCAACTTCCAATGGGAACTGGGAAATGGTGCTAGGACTCACATTTGCTGCCGCTTTTGAATTGATGGTTGATAGATTCGTGCGAGATTCGGCGTTGGCTTAATTGTTGAGAAAAAATGCTAATTAGAACACTTATCTTATCATTATAGTTTTCCTGATTCGTATTTATACCGGCGAAAATTAGTTAGCCCGGAATAATAATCTCGATAAACATTAACCCATCCAGGAAGGACCGAAAAATTTCCGGTCCAGCTTCAACTCGAACTAGCTTCAGTAATACTTTAGGCGCGCGAATTCACCGCTCCCGACGTAAATTTCTTGTGCCCCCGGTGAGTATATAAGAGTTTTGTTTGCCCTTTTAGGAACCTTCATTTTTGATTTGATTTATTATAAGAAGCACATTTTCGTCATTCTATTTGTCCATTGAGTACAAAACAAAAAATGACGGTTAATCCCAAGAAGACAATTTGTGTGTTTTGCGGTTCATCATTTGGAAAAGAAGCTTCCTATTCTCAGGCTGCAACAGAGCTAGGAAGACTGCTTGCGGCAAAAGATTATGGGCTAGTTTATGGCGGCGGAACTACAGGACTTATGGGTCTTATTGCCAAATCTGTCGCATCACAAGGTGGCTATGTTCATGGCATAATTCCCGATGCTTTGGTCTCTAAAGAACGAACTAGCTCTATTGATGAGATAAACGAAAAAATACAATCCGACGTGGACAATCACAAAGGAGAAACCCCTTTAGACGATAGTTATGGCAGAACTACAATTGTGTCCGATATGCACACAAGAAAACGAATGATGGGCATGGAAGCAAATGGCGGTTTTGTTGCCATGCCTGGGGGATTTGGCACCTTGGAGGAAATCATGGAAGTGACCACATGGTCTCAATTGGGTATTCATCAAAAACCTGTGGTCTTGTTTAATGTGGATGGATTCTACGACGACTTTATCAAATTTTTGAACAAAGCTGTTGAAGCAGGATTCATCTCCAAGAACAATAGCAATATTGTGGCGGTTGCAAGCACACCCGAGGAAGTTATTGAAAAGTTAGATAATTATGTTGTTCCAGATGGGAGATTCAACCTCACTTGGAAAAACCATTAGTGTGGTCACATCTTTCGCGATGACTCCGCGGGTTTTACGTCTCATCCTAAGTAAATTCATTAGCCTAGACCTGCTCAGTCAAATGTTTTGATGTAATCAATACTATCAACACATTCCGCAACTGTCATTTGATTATTGCCTAAAATTTTGCTCACTTCGATTCCGGCGTCGACTGTAGACGCATAAGCATCATGTTCGAGAATAAGTCCGGTTGATCCGGAAGACTTCCAGTGTTTCACGTCGCTGAAAATCTGACTGGCTGTTTTGGAAGCTGGTGATGTCTCCATTTTCCAATCGAAAGTATCATAGTCCCAAAGAACAGCTTGCATACCAAAAGCTCTAGCAATTTGTCTGACTCTATCATCAACACCACCGTATGGAGGTCTATACCACTTCGGCAAATGGGAGCCAGTCGCATTCATCGCCCAAATGGACCATTCCAGTTGAGCGACAATCTGCTCGTTCGTCAAACCTGGCAAAAATTTATGAGACCATGTGTGACAGCCAAGCAAATGGCCGTTTTTTTTAATCTGGTTATAGATTTCTGGATATCTTACTACATTCATCCCAACAGTGAAGAATGTGGTTTTGTGATCCAGACCCGCAAGCAATTTCGGTGTTGAAGCTGAAGGACCATCGTCGAAAGTCTGAGAAAGGACAGGACAAGTGTAAGCGTCATCGAAGGAAATGCATTTGAAGCAATCAAACGAACAGCTGGAGCGGTCCGGAGGACATGTGCCTGCTGGCCGAGGAGGAAAGTTCGGTATTGCTGTCAAGTCAATGAAGTCCAATGGAATGTAAGGAGGGTCCGCTCCCGGCCATTCTTTTAGTCCAGTGACATCAGAAAGCCATTTTGGCATTGGGGTGGTCGCCATCATAGATATGTTGACAGATGATAACTCGGTAAAATGGTGAGCTGAAGTTGCTTGCGTCTGAAGTTCGGCAGGAGCCGCTAAAGTAGATCCTGCCTTGAAAGGGCAGAGGGCCAGAGAAAATGTAATGAAATTGGATCTCATAGCTTAGCTTGATCTTTGAGTTAGGACTCGCTGACTGAAGGCCAGATTGAAAGAAAAGGTGTTAATTAAGGTTCCAGACAAGGTTTCAAATTGTCAATTAGCTAAATTAAGCGCCGTGAACCACATGCACGAATAAATTATTATCTTGCTTGCGTCAACGCGCTCTGGTCAGTTTGACTGTTGTCTTCTCTTGTTGTTGCACCAGGCATACATAAGGGTGAAAGATCCTCCATCACCTTATCCGAAGTAAAACTGTCTCTCCTTCCGACAGAAGTGAGAGAGTAATTTGCAAATGTAGGCGAGTGGCCACCTTTCTTACGTGTCTTGCTCGTTCTAAAATCTGGCTGGTCAAAAGGCTGAGATTCATAGAAGCTGCTGAGCCCTAGTGCGGCGGTGGAGATACTGGGTAACCTTTTGGAGCTGGCTACGGACCCTCCAATCGTTGACCGTCGTTGACTTGAAGATCTACTTACGGATGAAGAGTTCGAAGCAGAGGAATTAGAACCTGTGGCTGAACCAGGTATGAACTTAGCCAGTTGTTGCTTCAACTGTTTATTTTCTTCTTTCAAAATTTGAATTTCCTTCATTAGTTTCAAAACTATGCCTTCCTGTTCCTTCTCCATTACATCGATAAGATTCTCCGGACTCAAAGGCGCACCGCCCATTGAAGACCTTCTTGATCTCGAGGACGAGTTAGATGATATGGAAGAATGAGGCGCATTCTCAAGCTTAGTAAGCGAAGGGGTATTTGTCGATTTGGGACTTATGGTATTTTGATTCGTTGAGAGAGAGGCGACCATGGGACTGTTGATCACTTGCGGTTCAACGAATGGTACATCCGATGTTGATGGCAGCCTATTGGGTAAGATGTGACGATCTGCCGTAATAGGCTTATTTAGTTGTGAGTTCGTTATACGCGGTGAAGTTCCTGCGCCAGGTGACTGGCCTATATGATCCATTTTGTAAATATGAACAAGTTGGATTTGTCACTAATCAGATAGGGGAAATTCGAAAGGCTAAGGTGTCGATTGAAATATCAGTCAAAACTGTGAAGAGTATTTGAGAGCACGAAATGAATTATATGTCAAGATTGTGGCAATGTGTCCCAAATCACAAGAAATGGTCGTTCACTACTCATCAGGTTAAAATGCGGGTGAAATCTTACAATAGAAATTTTTGTGTCATCACTGGCCGCAATCAGGCGGGGAAAGTGTAGCAGTGCCGCCAAAAGAAAGTTTGTGTCAAACTGTCAACTGATGCAGACTTTTTAGTGTGTTTCTTGATACCCTTTGTAGTCAACATGTCAAGTATTACTGTAAATTCAGAACAGTTCAGTTCTTAATTCCGGACCATTGCAAAAGTGCAAGTTCTGCGTATTTGGCAGATTTTCTAAGCCCTGAAATATTTTGACAATGCTATGACCTCATTATATAGATAAGGTATGAATTATATTATGATAAGAATCAAGAAATCGTAGAGTTCCTTCTGATCGCGGTAGTGTTCACAAGTCATCGATTTATTGACTTTCGTCAGTAATCCTCAACAAGCGACTATCAGTATTTCGATGCTGTTCTAGTTGGCTCTTCAATCTTGTCATCTTTTTAGAACTGTCAACTAGTTTATAATCGTAGGTCACGGGATAATTTATGATTTTTTCAGGAACATATTTTGTCCGAACGAAATTATAGAGAGTTTCATCTTTTGCGTATTCTGGCGAACGATACTCAAAATCTATGTTGCTCTCACCTGAAAACTCTTCAGAAACGGTGTCTAAGTAAAAAGCCTTATGAGATCCAAGAAGAGAAGAGTTTTCGCCGATGGTGGTATGAAGTCCATTCACGGATTTTGAAGACGAGCCAGTTGATCCCGACCGATGTTTTCTTTCGTTTTCGCGTTGGTCTGGCAGCCAATATTTACGGCCATCAGAAGAATATCGTAACCCATCGTAGATACGCTGATTGAAACTGGAAGAATTCGGATAAATTCGATTATCGTTGATCGAGTCAAAATTGCGAAAGTTGTACATATCGCCGTATAGTGTTGTCATTTTGAGGTCGTAAGCAAAATCTCCAAAAAGAAGCCAATCTTTAAAAGCATGATAAGTAGAAACCCGGGCCGCATCACCATATTTTTCGTGAGCGAAGTCCGTATAGGGAAAAGAATTCCAATGCAATAATGCAAAGAATATCATTTCACAACATAACAATGCATTCTGAATCTGGCTCCCCGTCAAGCTGGCCAAGTTCGATGAATTCTTTGTGGAAAGCAGTCCGGCCCAATACATTACATTAAGCATCAAGCCTTGCCAATATGAAGCAAAAATTATTAGCTTAACACACAAAAACTTACCCCATGGGCTAAACTTTTTTAGCTCTGAATAAAGGCATTTCCAGAACATAGCAAGATAGTACAGTGAGATAGTGACACTCAGATTATAAGCTATTCCGGTCCAAGTGTACAAGCTCCCCCATGAAATGCTTGAGGTATCGTATATTCCGGTAAGGGATCCAACAAGGATCACTAGATATAAAAGTGGTTTGACCCACACATATTGTAGGATACATCGCTTGACGAGTAAAAAGTGTGACGGGTTGGAAAAGTCAATCGGCGAGAAGATGATATTAGTAGGGAACGGATGGTTTGTTTTAGGCTTATCAAAAGAACTTTGTATGATTTGTCGTTCACCCCCAAGCATGTAAACAAGGAGCTTGTAAAATGTATAAATGACTAGCGCTTCGTAAATTTCTCTTATGGGTTCAATGACACTCCCTATTCTTGGGCTAATCAAAGTCACAAAGCAGGTGACCGCAAATAAGGGAACAATAAGCAGTATTCTGATTATGAGTCGCTGTTCGAAGGGTTTTCTGTAGTTACTCGACTGCAAGTAAATAGCCAAGGCTGATATCATGAGCGATATCAAACTGGTTGTCCCACAAACCGTAATCAACCATTTGGATATCTCAATTGACATACCTTGGTCTAATCTTTGCAAGACTTCGATGCGCACAACCGTCTCAGCCGTGATCTCAACAACTGTAGTAAAGTTGACTGGATTCAGACTTTGCACGACGATTTAGCAATCGGAAGACTAGCAGTTCGATGAAAAAGTCGATAGTCGCGTCGAATAATTTAGTATTGATTTGGTTCAGGAACGTGAGAATGCCATCATTGATATGGCTCTTCATACCCCTTGTAAGCTGTGCAGGCGTCGCCGTACACATGAATATATTATCGAGGATCCATACATATCTACCAGAAGACATACAAGGATTGACAGGATCTCTCCTAGCGGGGGCCTTCCATCCAGACTCATTCTACGACTGTATGGGTCATTCAGATGCTGGCGAAGAAGCCCATTGGCCTCCGTTTTTGCGAGAACTTGTATTGACATATAAACAAATGGCAGAACCGGACACTAAACTAAAAGCATTTATCTATGGTGTATTCACACATCAAATAGCAGACATAAGTTGGCATTCACTACATAAATCTCAGGGACTGCTCCAGTATTTGGCACATATCGAATTCAATGGAAACATGAGCCAAGCGCACTCATTTCTAGATACTGGAGCAGACTTTCTCGTGCTATCGCACCAATTCGAGAACCTTGAACCCAATCAAACAATTAGTCTAGTTGAATATTATTCCACTCCTTGGGAAATTCCCACAAAGACGCTTGTTGAAACATACAGGAAGTTGGGGTTCATGGTGTCTGAGAGTGAGATTCAGTTTTGCATGACGAGAGGTTACGCTGCATTACAGGGTGAATTGGGGACATTTAGATCTCTCACTCCAGCGGTACGATATAGATCTCCCCTCCTCAATGAAATCCTGGATGACTACTATTTTGGAGGCATGAATGATATTGTTTATACCATTACCCGCTGCATGAAGGGCCTCACTGGACTTTTTGAAGGCGCAAGGATAAACGATCCCTGGCAGATTTGTTCAATTTTTCAACCAAATCCTAATGACCGTTCCGCCTCGAATGATTATGGAGCCATGTCAAGTAATAAGAAAATAGTAAGACACGAAATGGATGGCGCTGTGCGTCTTTGGAGCGACCGCGCGAACTCCAAATTTGGCTCCAGTTTGTTGTTTCATAGGACAGCTTCCGGGTGTCCTCAGCTGCTTATTGGAGCAGAGTACGATGAAGGACAAGGTTCCGTCTACGTCTTGCCGTTGAAACAACTGTTTGGAGGGCAGATGCATGCTGCAAGCACAATGCTATACAAAGAAACCGAGAAACTTACATTTGCTCCAAGGTTCGGACATGGAATGGCGCTGTGGAATACATCACAGCACTCGTTTCTAGTAATTTCGGAACCAGGATTATCACATTTAAATGTTTTTCTTGAGTCGCGACTTGTGGCTGTAATTCATGATGACAAGGCCAAAACACGGTTAGGCAGCGGAGGTCCCAAACAAATGGGACTGACTCTCTCGGTGAATGATGTGAATGAGGATGGAATCAATGATCTTATAGTGGGGTCCTGTCACTACGACACTCTGGATGCAATACAAAGGGGAATTGTAAAAATCCTGAGTGGAGCTCACTTGGCGAAATTAATTGAGGAGTACATGGAGTCTGCTCTGGGATCACGTGGTTTTCCACTACATATAAACGACGATCAAATGGAGATCAACCGTCTGACTGTTCCTCACCAATTGCAGCGAGCTTCTGGTTACGATGTATTTGCGACCTCAATTGCATTCTCACAAGATAAGATGTTTATTGGCTCTGCAGGAAGCGGATCACTTGCTACATTCAATAAATCAGGAGAGTTTCTGTATGGGACGAGCCCCGACTTTCGTGATGAAGTTATCCAAAGCGCATCATCTCAATTTAGTGGACTATATGGATATCACAAAATCATCACTGGGAGTTGGAACAAAATAGCATGGATTATGGTTTTTGCAAGCTCCGAAACCATTGAGGATTGTCTGCTGTGTGGAGCAGCATACCTATACCTTGATCGTCAAAGACTAGAACTGGTAGCAAAGATCAGACCCGGAAAAGGGCATCAACTGTTTTTTGGCGTCAATGCCCTAGCACAAGGAAATGAGGTATACGTTGCTGCGGAAGGCTATCTAGACGGAGCTGGTGCTATCTGGAGACTAAATGTGCAAGAAATCTTGGACGCTTACGCGAATATGAAGTTCAAGCAGGACATTCTACTAGGTGAGGAAAAAACTGAATTTGGTGGCATCATAGTTCGCGGTGGCTATGGCGAGGGCTATTCGGGGTTTGGAAGATCATTGGAGGTCTTTGAGTTTCAGCAAGAGCTATACATTGCAGTGGGAAAGCCGTTTTACGGTTATGGATCACCAAAAGGGTTGACTGGAGCAGTCGACGTTTATAAATTGGACAACTAAGTGCGTGGCATTTAGTGTACCTATTTAATGGCAAAACGTGAGCAGGAGTATACTGATAACGCTCATTACCAAATCATCAGCATCGTGGCTGAGCAAATTGGCATCAATGATTGGCTTGGTTCGGGGCAAGTCTTCGGCCAGCTTTTCACAATGTGTACTCTCAACGAGAATTCGAGAGTCCAATTCCAGCAGAGCGAGTAGGCAAACGGCACCAAGGACGAGTCAATCAACGATCCGATAACTCCAGGCACGGTAAGAAGATCAGTTGTTCAAATCCCAACTTCAAGTATGCGGCTGAAACAAGAGCGATCAGGATATTTTCACAGAACCCAGCCAACAAAGCTAGCCAGGAAACAGCGCCACTCGTGCCCCGAGCAAAAAATGAAGGGATCAGTCGTTGCAGGGAACACGTGTCTCTTGGAACAGAATGCCTATTGCTGAGTTCAAAGTACCCGCTTTTTTTTTCTTGACAGCACAATAGTTGATTGACTATTGTTCCTACATTTGCGAATCTCGAGGAATCAGGGATAGCAGAGAGCCTAGAGTTGGCACTGTCGCAACGAACATATTGGACAGCACCCGAACGTAGAAGCGCATTGTGTCGTCATTACTTTCCCTAAAACATGGGTCTATTTTGATCTCAATTCTCTGTTTACATTTAGTTGCCTGTGATCCGGCCAGAAAGAAAACCAGCAGGAAGGTCATTCAAGCGCAAAATCAGAGAGAACATGGCTTGTTCCTGTGATAACTACAATGAACAGCACTGACTTGGTAAGACGTGTGCGAATAAGCCTCTAAGCGATGAATGATTATAAGACGCTAAATCTGCCAAGCAATAAGATGCAAGCAATCTGAGATATTTTTTTCCAGGAACGACTCGACTATTATTTTTCGGGGCCATGACGTAAATACCGTTGTTTAACGAGGCTCGGTTTTGCACTAATTGCAACAAACCAAAAGTCAACGCAAAATAGCGGAAAATTCGTTCAAGTCCTGCTGTGACTCTGGTAGGCGACTCGCAGTGCGGTAGTCGGCTTTGGGTGCCACTTGAACTCCATACGAATGAGATTTCTCTTTCATAGTCGCTAAATTCTGCTACGCGCCTCCTACAACGTGCGAAATTTTTCGCTGTGCACTGCCGTGAGCGAATTTCGATCAACGTTTTTTTGTCTGATTAGGGATTATTCGTGACAGCTGAACTTTGAATGCCCTCACCAGGGCAAGAACTTGCTGATTTTGGGAATCCTCCTTTGTTTTGCCGTAAAGCGTGCTTCTATTGGATGACTGTAGATGGCGAAGCATCCAAAATGCCTCACACATCGCTCCTCAGAGAGCTATAAAGGAGATGAAGTCCCCCCTTTTCTAGCATCTCGTTGTAACTATATGGTTTCCGCAAAGGTAGGCATTAAAACATGAGTCTGAAGACCTAACATTATGCAGAGACTAGGAAATGGATTGGCTGTCCTCAAAATGGCTTATGGCTCCGTGGGAGCTATCTATGGAGATTTGGGAACATCTCCCTTGTATGTGTTCTCTACCATATTTAGCAGCAACAGCAATCCAACTCACAAAGAGGTATACGGCTCAATGTCGTGTATCTTTTGGCTTTTCACGGGGGTCGTGATTTTCAAATATGCTTTAATCGTGCTGATTTTTGGACCCAATGACAACGAAGGTGGACAGATTGCCATTTATTCCAAAATTGCCAGAACGCTGAAGTTTGGCCCGAAAGGTGTGAAAATTCCAGGCAGCAGAGAGTACGCACAAGAGCTAGCCGACAATGATGATCTGCTTTCACTCACGCGAACGAACACCAATGCTTCCAATTATTCGCATGGAGACTCGATGCCCAGCCAGCGCATTAAAAGCTTTCTGTCAAAATTCACTCTCGCATTGTGTTTTTTGGGATGCTCCTTGGTGTTCTCAGATGGGCTTCTCACTCCCACCACATCTGTCCTGTCTGCGATCTCAGGCATTGCGGTGGCAGTACCTTCTTTCGAGGACAAGGTTATGCCGGTTTCGTGTGCAGTCTTGATCATTCTGTTTCTTTCCCAGAGATTCGGGTCTGGAAAACTCTCCCTGTTGTTCTCGCCAATTGTGACCGTATGGCTGATTTGTTTGTTTGTCAATGGGGTTATCTGCGTGGCCAAGTTTCATCCAAAAATTATGAAAGCACTCAATCCATACTATGCAGTGCAGTTCCTCAAAGACCATGGAGTCGACTCCTTTAGCTCTATGATGCTTTGCGTTACTGGTTGTGAGGCAATGTTCGCCGACGTCTCGCACTTTGGACCCTTGCCTATCCAATTGGCTCTGTGCTGTTTCGTGTACCCATGTTTGATGATGTGCTATTTTGGACAGGCAGCGTACCTCATAAAACACCCATCCGGCGTCTCAAACGTGTTCTACCTCTCCATTCCAGGCCACAATGGTGACGCGTACTACTGGTTCATGTTCGTCATGGCCACGCTCGCAACCATCATCGCTTCTCAGGCTTTGATTTTGGGTGTGTTCAGCATCCTGATACAACTCATCACACTTGATTGCTTCCCACGACTGAAGGCCATTTACACCTCGGAAAAGCACCGTGGACAAATCTTTATTCCTGTTGCCAACTGGGTTCTGATGGTCTGTGTGGTTCTAACAACAGTTGGATTCAAAAATAGTAATAACGTGACCGCAGCTTACGGACTAGGTATATCTATCGATTTCATACTCACGACAACGTTGATCACCATCTGTATGAGGTACGTCTACCGCATCAACGTGATCATACCCATAGTGTTCATGTTAGGCTTTGGCACCTTGGACGCCCTGCTGATCATCTCCGGTCTGCGAAAAGTTCCAAATGGTGCGTGGTTTCCTCTAGCGATGGCAGGAATCAGTTTCATGTTCATTTCTTTCTGGCGGTGGTGCAGAAGTCTTAAGGTCAACTACGACATTAGCTTCAAGAAGTCAGTAGACGAGCTGTTTGTGAGCTCGTCCACGGTCAAGGCCATAAAGGAAGCAGTGGTGGTCAACTTGAACAGTGAAAACAGCAAGAAGGGATATGATGGGGCCAACGATGAGGAATCTGTGGCTTCTGATCCCGACATTGGCACCAGTGGAGACCAGGACAACCAGTTTCTGGAAATGAAGTACTATGGAAATATTATCAAGATCCCTAGAAACAATCATGTGGGAATCATGTACTGCACTTCTTCCACCACTCTCACCAACAGGAGCTACCTTCCACACCTGTTTGAGCACCTGATCCACTCCTTCAATTCCGTGCCCAAAATATTCATCCTCATAGAGCCCCGAGTGAGCACGCTTCCCTTCATCGAGGAAGAAGATTCATACCGTTTACAGGAGATTGCCGGTGTTCCTGGTTTCTATAGATGCATTGTCCGGTCCGGATTTATGCGCCAGACATTGCTCACCAAGAAACTTTTGAGAAGTCTGCTACTATCAATTTCGGAGATCGAAGAGCTGCAAAATGTGTACGGCACAAACGATGTGATGGACGACAGCAATCACTTCACTATCCCGGTAGTTCACCTGTTTGAGAGGGATTATGTGTCTTCCAAGGAATTTGATAGCGAGGACGTGGAGGAAGAGTCCAGGGCCATGCGGATTGCCAAGCTTCCGTGGAAAGTTTTGAGAAGATGGCTGATTAACTACCTGTTTGCACCACTCAACGGCATTTCCAACAACAGCACAATGGACTTCCTGCTCCCGCACAAGAACGAGGAGCGCAACCAGGAGATATTGTACGTTGGAAATCGCATCAGCATCTGACGGGCTCTGCTGCTTGAAATGAGTGCTTGGAAAATATTATCTCCAACTTAAACATATTGCTTATAGGGTTGAGCAGATCTGCAACCACTTCAATTAGAATGTACCCTGCTTGTATTGCAGGAACGGCCAGTTGATGAATTCTTTAATTTTTTTCGCTTTGCATTTTCATGCCATCTGCTTTGGCATCCCAAATTAGTGATCCTCGATACTTAGTTCCAGTTTGGGTAGTGGCTAATCGCAGCCACTGTTGACCCCCTTTCCAATATTTCCTATTTAGTTCTCCCCACATCCAGCATGCATTAGGCCCATTACTCTACATGACTCGCTATTCCGGCTTCCATGCATTGGATCGCTCTGTGTAACATTTTAACGAGTAACGACCGAAACCCCAGGTAGCAGCTCCATTCGATTGCGCAGACCGCCACAAAAACTTATAATTCGCTAGTCAAAACGGGCGCCAACTCGAAAGAACTGTCATCTAAAATTTTAACAATGCCCCACTATCTAGCATGTATGCACACTAGCCAAACACTCCTTGCTGGCATGGTCCTGTTTGGGCGCTTACTGCTATAGATTATTTCACCCACTCAAAAGTTGGTGACCAGGTATTCATTGAGCATTTCATTTCCTTGCACTTCCGGGCTTCCTTAGGATATCAAGCAACCCAGAAATTCGAGCTCTTATCGATTGCTACAAAAAAATCATCATTCATTTTCGGAATCTAAGATCTGAAGGTTTCGAGATGAACTTCAAGGTCAGTCTCCTGTTACTCGCCGGGTTGGCGCCCATTCCGATGACGGGTGCCGTCCCGCTGGTTCAAGAGGGTGCCTTGCCCTTGTTTGCCGGCAGATCACCTTATCCTACCGACCTGGCTTCGTACGTCTCCCGTCTAATCAGACACTCAGCGTCCGGCGTGGCGTCATTCGTCACGGCAGCGGTCAGCACGACAGACAACTCGCCACCCACGTATCTCTTCCAGTCCGTTGTTTCCAAAGAAGCCGCCCCAGCAGACGACTTTGAGTCCTGGCTGATATCTCAAAAAGATTTTGCTTTCAAAGGAATTCTTTCTAACATTGGTGGATACCATAATTCAACGGATCTCGCGGGCGTGGCCAAGGGCGCAATAATAGCTTCTCCGTCCAGATCACAGCCGGATTACTTCTACCAATGGACGAGAGACTCCGCAGTCACGATCGGCACTCTAATTGACTATCTGGATGACACTGGGTTCGAGGACGCAGAAAATAATATTCCCGAGATTATTGAGGCTTATATTGTCAACTCCAAGAAGCTTCAGCGGCTGTCTAACCCATCAGGCACTTTTGAGAGCCTGGAGGGGCTTGGAGAGCCCAAATTTGAGGTCAACTCCACAGAATTTACCGGTCCCTGGGGAAGACCTCAAAGAGATGGGCCCGCGCTAAGAGCAAGTACGGTGATCAGCTACCTGAATATTCTACGAAAGTACAACAAAGAGCTTGTTCTTAAGGGCGAGCTCATAGACGAGGAGGCGATTTACCACGAGGTCGTCAAGCCGGACCTTTCGTACGTGACTCGCAGTTGGTACAAAAAAGGATTTGATCTCTGGGAAGAGGTTAATTCTGTGCATCTGTTCACCTGTCTCACGCAATTGAAGGCCCTGAAAATGGGTTTCCAGGAGGCTCTACGCTTTGAAGATAAAAGCTTCTACGGGAACCTGACGTCCTCGTACGCTGCCCTGAGATACTTCATTTTAATAGATTCAGGCTTCAGACTCAACTCAATTCCCTACCTGATCGAGACCCCCGAGCTGCTGGCTACCGGGGAGAGAACCGGCATTGATGCTGGTACTATAATTGGGATCATCAGAACGCACAACTTTAACCTCGACACGCAGGATGACGTGGAAATTCCGTTCAACGTGGACGATCCAGCCTCGCTCAATACTCTTGTTGCTCTGGCCAATGACATGAAGTACCGCTACCCTATCAACCACAACAGGCTGAATCTGAGCGCTGCCTTCGCGCTGGGTAGATACCCCGAGGACGTCTACAACGGGGTCGACACTAGTGAAGGAAACCCATGGTTCATTGCGACCGCTTCTGCGGCCGAACTGATATACAAATACATTTACAGTCACTACAGATACGAGAAAGACCTGGTGATCCCTGTTGAACTGAGACAGCTTTTTGAAAGCATCACAGACCTCAAGATACACAACCAGACAGTCCTTCCGTTTGGCTCGCGAGCGTTTTCAGACACCGTGGGAGCATTGAAAAGTTACGCGGACGCGTACCTGGCTATTATCAAGGAGCACGCGGCCAGAGACGGACACATGAGCGAGCAGTTCAACAGATACACCGGGTTCATGGTGGGGGCCAGGGACCTGACCTGGAGCTACAGCTCTTTCTGGAGCGCATGCAGATGGCGGGCAAAGTTGGCCAGTATAAAGCACACACAGCGGTGACCGGTACGTGCTGCTACCAACATACACAGAATGTCATATTTTTCTTAAGTTACGATCGTCATGCTGATGAAGGTGCTATTTATATAATTATCGTATGCAAATTTAAACGGCTATTTTTTCTCTGATGCGGCGAACGCGACCTCCTCTGGCAGTGTGAAAGAGACACAGAACATGGGTTTAGTAGGGGCTACCAGTCTGACGTAGTGGAAGGAGAGGTTTTCGAAAGGAATCTCAAATTTTAGAAGGTCCACTAATTTGCGGTGGATTCTGTGCTGCAGTTCTTGCTCAGTCGGCTCTGGATTTTCGGTCGGTGCGAATTTCTCAAAGTGGTGGACGTGGATGACCGGCAATTTGTATCCTGGCAGGCTTTTCACCTCTCTGCGCGTCAGCTCTGGAAAAGCATTGGAAAAAAGACCCACGAACGCATCCACAAACGTTATGGCAGACTCCGGCAGGTTCATGACATAGTGCGAGAAAAAGCCTGGAATCTCAACTTTGGTGACCTTGTGTTTCTTTGTTCCGCGCGCGTTTGGTTTGCACACCTCAATCTGCTTGTGTTCTTCTGCAAAGTGAGCAAGCATGCTTGAAGATTTTCTGATGAACTCTCTTCCGTCCTCATTGAAATAGTTGACGAAGCTGTCGACCTTATTTTTTTTCACGTTCAGCTTGAGGTATTTATAACTTTCCGGGTTCAAATCGTTGGCAAAGACTATGCATTGCTTTTTACCTGAGGGCACGGCAAAAGGCCCCACGCCAGCCATGACATCGCAAACAGCGTCTCCCGGTTTGAACATCTTGATTAGCCGTCCGTGCTCAGTGGACAGCCGCGAGTTCCAGTACACCTTGGAGAAATCAAACGTGAAAACACAATCACTTTCTTTTTGTTCCACCAGCAAATCATGCTCGCCCGCAATGACTTTCATATTAAATGTCCGGAAAACAGTGTCGATCGAATCCTGTTTATCCACCACAGTCTTGATGGACGGGTTTTTATCCAGAATCACCTGTCCTATCAGAGAGTCGTACGGCTTGTATTCATCCTTCAGGTTCACATGAGCAACATGGCCTGTCTTAGTGAAAGAAGTCGGCACCCCGTGCAGAAGGTTTTCTGGAAGAATGCTCTGGAGTATTTCGTCTGCTCTCCAGAAATTGTAGTCCAGTGTGAACCTGTGCTTGAAAAACTTGCCATCACAATCTTGTATATACTTTCGTGCCTCGGGCGAAATATGATCTTCTATGTCTCCCAGCGAATGGATCTTGTGATTAAGTGCAACAGCCTTGTAATCTGGATTTTTGGGATATTCCTCGAGCTTGTTCTCTGACTTAGACAGTCGGAACAAAAACGGCAGTCGCGAGATTTGTACAGTATCCTGTTTAAATCTTTTAATAAACTCACCCATTTGTGCAACGTCAGGAAAGATAACCGTCCAGACGTCAAAGGTCAACGAAAATAGACTTCTATCCAGCGACTTCATGTCACGGTGTACAGGAGGGACAATTTTTTCCGGTGCAATAAATCCCTGGTAGCTCATTTTGCGGAAGAACACAATTCGGTACAGGGTTGTAGGTATACGTGAGCTTCGTACCGGAAACGGTATGGTCATAAAGGTCAACTTCTTGGGCTAATAAATATTTTTTTCAAAAACCTGGGCGGTGGAGGCAAGAGAGGTGGCACATGAATTATGCGGCTGATTCACCACAAAGCGTTAATTTTAATAAGCGATAGATAACTTTGATTTATTCTTCCGCTTGCGCTTGTTTCTCAGTTGATCGTACTGCATTGAAGAGGCTATTTAGCAGGCGCTATAATATTAGCTTACTGGAGTGCCTATCGACAGTATTACTCCCATTTCAAAAACAAAGATTCAAAAGGATCTTTCTTGTTCCCTCTTTACTAACTTTCTTTAGTGGCTGCAAATCAGGAATCAGACGACCAGCAGTTCTACGATGCAATCTACCAACAGGAACTTCTGCGAGAGGACTACGAGGGACAAAATGAGCCCCCGAAACCGGATTCAAACTATCCACCTGATGTTCTAGGCAGACAACTCCAACAACAACCCCAAAGCCCGTATGCGGATCCCAATTGGCAGTACGCGCAACAACAGCAGTATCAATCCAATTGGGGGTACTATCCAAATCAATTCAATGCGCTGGAACCAGCGGCTGAAGAACCAAAAACACTGCCCCCTATCAGCGATGATCCCTATTACTCGTGGACAAGCGACGACGAGGCTCCCATCACCAAAGACCAGATCTATGACATTTTCATGCAGTTGAAGGATATTTTTGGGTTTCAGCGTAGCTCTGCGCTCAACATGTACGATCACTTGATGATTCAGCTGGATTCGAAAGCCAGCAGAATGCCGGCCCCTCATGCCTTGTTACTGCTACATGCAGACTACATCGGTGGTGAAAATGCAAACTACCGCAAATGGTACCTAAGTGCCATGGTGGACGATGATCCCGAGCTCAGCAATGATGTTGATCTCAAGATGCTGAAGAAAAACAAGAAGAGAAAGGGAAAGCCCGAAAAATCAGAGAACTCGAAAGACTTTTCGGAGCCTCCTTTCCATCCCAGCAAGAAAACCGATGTGATCGAGTACAGATGGAAAAAAAGACTGTATGACTGTACTCCATGCCAGATGATTGAACATATAGCCCTCTACTTGCTCATATGGGGAGAAGCTAATAATATGAGATTTTGTCCAGAATGTCTTTGCTTCATATACAAGTGCTCGTTCGACTATTATCAGCATATCAAGCAAGACGAGTCAGAAAGAGTGGTTTATGAGGAGGGAGACTATTTGACAAGGGTCATTAACCCATTGTATGACTACCTCAGAGATCAGCAGTACAAGTTGATTGACGGAGCTTTTGTGAGACGAGAAAAAGACCACCATCAAATCATCGGTTATGACGACATGAACCAGCTTTTCTGGTACGGCAAAAATCTCCAGCGAATTATCACTACAGACGGTACCAAGCTGATGGATTTGCCAAAGCATGAACGATACAAGAAGTTTGGAAGCATCAAGTGGAAGAAGGCATTCTACAAAACTTACAAGGAAAGAAGAACCTGGTGGCATTTGGCTACCAATTTTAGCAGGATATGGATTATCCATGTTTCCGTCTTTTGGTACTACTCCAGTTTCAATTCTCCCACCCTTTACACACACAATTATATTCAGCTATTGAATAATCAACCCACCCCTCAAGCGAGATTTTCTATCATGGCACTTGGAGGCACCATCTCTTGCATGATTCAAATCATTGCCACCATTTCAGAATGGGCATTCGTTCCAAGGCTTTGGCCCGGTGCAAAACATCTCTTCAGAAGGCTAGTGCTTCTTATAATCATTACAATTATAAACTTTGGACCATCCGTTTTCATACTGGGAATGTTCCCCCTTAACACTGTTTCCAGGCTAGCATACATTCTATCCATTGTACAGCTGGTGATTTCTATCCTGACTACACTATGGTTTGCTGTTCAGCCCTTGGGTACTCTCTTTGAATTTTCAATGAACAAAAGGGCCAAAGGTTACGATGCTTCCAAAGTATTTACTTCTTCATTTCCTAAACTAAGCTCCAGGGGCTCTGTCTTATCTATCATGCTTTGGATACTGGTTTTCAGTGCCAAGTTTGTCGAATCATACTTTTTCTTGACCTTGTCCCTAAGAGATCCAATTCGGAACTTGTCCATCATAGATTACAGTCGATGCCACGGAGAAGCATATTTTGGAACAATCCTGTGTCGTCATCAGGGTATTTTTGTTTTGACACTGATGATACTGACAGATTTGGTGCTCTTCTTCCTCGATACTTACCTTTGGTATATTATTTGGAATTGTGCGTTTTCTCTCTCTTTGTCATTCTTCAGTGGAATATCAATTTTGTCCCCTTGGAGAAATGTGTTCAGCAGGCTACCTCAAAGGATATATTCGAAGTTACTATCGACGGCCGACATGGAAGTGAAATTTAAACCTAGCACTCTTGCATCGCAGGTGTGGAACGCAATTGTGATTTCTCTATATCGCGAACATTTGTTATCAGTAGATCATGTGCATCGTCTGATTTATGACCAAATACCGGATGAAGCAGACGGAAAGACTGCATTGAGAACGCCCTCTTTTTTTTTATTTCAGGATGATAGTACAACCACTTTGCAAGATTTTTTTGTGCCCAATTCGGAGGCAGAAAGAAGAATTTCGTTTTTTGCTCAATCTTTATCAACACCCATTCCTGAACCAATTCCAGTCGAGGCAATGCCAACTTTCACGGTTCTTATACCGCATTACTCAGAGAAAATTCTTTTAGGTCTGAAAGAAATCATCAAGGAGGATCCAAGCTCGAAAATATCCCTTCTTGAATATTTGAAGCATATGCTTCCTCACGAATGGGATTATTTTGTGAGAGACACCAAAATTATATCCTACAGCGAGGGTGAAAAAATGCCGGGCGCAACTGTGAAATCAGAGAAAGACTTCATTGAGAACAAAATTAGTGATCTGCCGCTCTACTGTATAGGGTACAAATCATCGGCTCCCGAATATGTCCTGAGAACTAGAATATGGGCTACATTGAGATCCCAGACATTGTATCGTACAGTCTCGGGATTTATGAACTACAGAAAGGCCATCAAGTTGTTGCACAAGGTAGAGAATCCAGAAATGATTGAGATGTTCGGAGGGAGTTCGAATGCTGAAGAGTATTTGAATAGCATAGCAGATCGCAAATTCAGACTTTTGGTATCCATGCAAAGGTACCAAAAGTTCACCGAGCAAGAGAAGAGTGATGTTAAAGTCCTGTTAAATGCTTATCCAGAAGTTTATATTGCCAGTCTGGAGCAGGAAGTCCCTGAAGGAGGATCAGAGGCCGACATCAAGTTCTACTCTGTTTTATATCAGTCGGATGAGAAATTGGACGGTGAGATGAAGCAGTTATACAAGATTCAGCTCTCAGGTAACCCTATTCTTGGGGACGGCAAGTCGGACAACCAAAATCATTGTCTAATTTTCTACAGAGGAGAATACATCCAGGTCATTGACGCAAACCAAGACAATTACCTGGAAGAGTGCTTGAAAATTAGATCTGTATTATCCGAGTTTGAGGAGATGGATTACGACACAACAAACCCATACATTCCTTCTGTTCCAAATACCGGAAACGCTCCTGTCGCCATCATAGGAGCGAGAGAATACATCTTCTCAGAGAATACTGGCGTCCTCGGCGATGTTGCTGCAGCAAAAGAGCAGACTTTTGGTACTCTGTTCGCACGCACACTGGCCGCAATTGGGGGCAAACTTCATTATGGGCATCCTGACTTCTTAAATGCAATCTTCATGACAACCCGAGGAGGCATTTCCAAAGCACAGAAAAGACTTCATCTGAATGAAGATATCTATGCTGGAATGAATGCAGTGACTCGTGGAGGCAGAATCAAGCATTGTGACTACTACCAATGCGGAAAAGGTAGAGATCTTGGGTTTGGTACTATCCTCAACTTTACTTCCAAGATTGGTGGAGGAATGGGTGAACAAATGCTTTCCAGGGAATACTATTATTTGGGGACGTCGTTACCACTCGACAGATTTTTGTCTTTCTACTATGCTCATCCAGGATTCCACATTAATAACTTATTCATTATGCTTTCACTTCAATTATTCCTTTTGGTGATGGTCAATCTGGGCTCGATGAATCATGAGTCAATTGCCTGCATATACGATAAAGATGTACCAATCACAGATCTCCAGATACCGGTGGGATGTCAAAATCTGCAACCAGTTCTTGACTGGGTTACCAGATATGTGCTGTCTATCTTCATTTGTTTCTTCATTTCGTTCGTTCCTTTGGTGTTCCACGAATTATCAGAAAGAGGAGCTTGGAAAGCATTTAGTCGTCTATTCTTCCATTTCCTCTCACTTTCACCCCTGTTTGAGGTTTTTGTCTGCCAAGTGTACTCTAACTCGCTGAAAAACGACATTGTTTTCGGAGGAGCCAGGTATATTTCCACAGGTAGAGGATTCGCCATTGTGAGGATCCCCTTTACCAGACTATACTCGACATATGCAATCAGTTCGATATATTCAGGAACAAGACTTTTCTTGATTCTTTTGTTCGGAACCGTCACCATGTGGCAGCCAGCAATTTTGTGGTTCTGGATCACTTTGATTTCCTTGTGTCTATCACCGTTCATCTTCAATCCCCATCAGTTTGCTTGGACCGACTTTTTCTTGGATTATAGAGATTTTATTAGATGGCTCAGCAGAGGGAACTCCAAGTGGCACAAGAACTCGTGGATCGGGTTCACACGTTTCTCAAGGTCCAAATTCACAGGTTTCAAGAGAAAGATTATGGGGACGAACGTGGAGCAGGCCAAATATGTGCCTGTCAATATCCACCGTGCTCCATTCGGCAACACATTCTTTGCAGAAGTGATTGTCCCGCTATTCCAGACTGTGTGTATCTTCATGGCGTACACCTTCATCAACGCGCAAACCGGTGTCAGGGATCCAAGGCCAGTAAACTCAGTGCTAAGATTGGCGATTATGGTGTTTGCACCGCTGGTGATGAATCTTTCAGTCCTGGTTGCTATTTTCCCTCTTTCTTGCTTTGCAGGTCCGATTTTGAGCATATGCTGTAAAAAGGCACCTAATGTGCTCGCAGCGCTTGCACATGGATCTGCTGTGATCTCGCATATTATTGTGATGGAGGCGATCTGGTTTTTGGAAGGCTGGAACTTCTGCCGGTTCCTGTGTGCTTTTACGTGCTCGCTGTATGTGCAGCGGGTGATCTTTCAGGCCGTGAAGCTTATGCTTCTCACCAGAGAGATCAAGGAAGATTACACGAACCGCGCTTGGTGGTCAGGAAAATGGATAGGCAGCGATCTGGGCTGGTACGCGATCACGCAACCGATGCGGGAGCTGATAGTGAAAACGGTGGAAATGAGTCTTTTTGCCGCCGACTTTGCCATTGGCCACCTGATCCTGATAGTGTTTACGCCGCTGCTGTTCGTGCCATACATCGACCACTGGCACTCATGCATGCTGATGTGGCTGAGTCCTTCGCGGTACCTGCGAGGTCCGATCTACACCACCACGCAGCGCAAAGTCCGTGCGCGGGAGGCCACCAAGTACGCGCTTTTGTTTTTCTTTATCATCCTGCTGTTTGCTGCGATCGTGGTGATCCCCGTGCTGGTGGATCTCACGCTGTCCGACTCCATTGCTGAGTATGTCCCGGAGGATTTCTACGGCCTGATCCAGCCAAACCGCCAGGACAACAACGACACGGGCGACAAGGCACCCTCTACGGTTTTGCGCTCGAAGCCGGGTGTCGAGACCTTCAGTACGTACTGGATCTAGCCGAATCTATACATGGTAGCAATCTGCAAACGTGTATCTGCCAAATTTGAGCACGGGTTTTCCAGCCTGGCTAAGCCCGGCACGGAGCGAAAATGGAACACGAATGTAAACAAAAATAGCAGCACCACCGAAAATTTGCACGCTGTCGACAAACTTTCAAATTCGCTTACTGCAAACATGATCTTCTCGTGGAAAACGATCGGCGCCCTGTCTGGCGTCCTGGCCACTGTGACCAAGGCCGACTCCGACTTCCCAACCATCGAGGTTGTTGGAAACAAATTCTTTTATTCAAACAATGGGTCCCAGTTCTATATTAGAGGAGTGGCCTACCAAGCCGACACTGCTCTGACCACCAACACGTCTTTTGTCGACCCTCTGGCCGACAAGACGACCTGCGAGAGAGACGTTCCTTACTTGAAGGAGCTGAACACCAATGTCATCAGAGTGTATGCTCTGGATGCCGACGAGGACCACACCGACTGCATGTCGCTGTTGCAGGACGCGGGCATCTATGTGATTGCGGATCTTGCGCAGCCTAAACTGTCCATCTCGACCACGAGCCCTGAGTGGTCTGAGGAGTTGTATGAGAGATACACGTCTGTGATCGACGTGATGCAGCAGTACGACAACGTGCTTGGCTTCTTTGCCGGAAACGAGGTGATCACGAACTCGTCCAACACGGACGCGGCTCCGTTCGTCAAGGCCGCCATCAGAGACATGAAGAAGTACATGAAGGACAAAGGATACCGTAGCATCCCGATCGGATACTCTGCCAACGACGACTCCGAGACTAGGGTCGCTTCGGCCAACTATTTTGCCTGCGGAGATGAGGACGAGAGAGCCGACTTCTATGGTATCAACATGTACGAGTGGTGCGGAAGCTCTTCGTTCGAGAAGTCCGGATACGAGGACAGAACCAAGGAGTTCTCAAACCTCTCGATTCCTGTCTTCTTCTCTGAGTACGGCTGCAACACCATCCAGCCAAGAAAATTCACCGACATCCCAACCATCTTCTCCGACGAGATGACTGACGTGTGGTCCGGAGGCATTGTGTACATGTACTTTGAGGAGGAAAACAACTATGGTCTTGTCTCTGCCATCGACGACACAACCGTCAGCACCATGACCGACTTCCAGTACTACTCGTCCGAGATCAACAACGTGTCGCCAACCTCAGCCACCATCGCCTCGGCCAGTAGCACTGCTTCCGAGCTGTCGTGTCCGACCGGATTCAAGTACTGGAATGCATCCGACACCTTGCCACCAACGCCAGAAGAGACCGTCTGTGATTGTATGGCCAGCTCGCTCTCATGTGTTGTGTCCGACAGCGTCGACAGCGACGACTATGAGGAGCTGTTCGGCACCGTGTGCGGTTTTGTTGACTGTGCCGGCATCACTGCCGACGGAAAGACAGGCAAGTACGGAGCGTACTCGTTCTGCAGCTCCAAAGACATGCTTTCGTTCGCACTGAACCTGTACTATCTGGACCAGAACAAGGACTCCAGCGCCTGCGACTTTGATGGCTCTGCCACCGTGCAGAGCGCCACCACCGCGTCGACCTGTTCTTCAATCCTGAGCGCCGCAGGAACTGCCGGAACCGGCGCAGTCAGCGGTGTCAGCGACTCTGGCTCTGGTTCTCGCACCACCGCCTCAGGATCCAGCGGCTCATCGTCAGGCTCGTCTTCCGGCTCGTCGTCCACATCGTCGGGCTCGTCGTCCAGTAGCGCTGCCGTTAGATCGTACAGCTCGAACAGCTACTACACCATCCTGGTCTGTGGTCTGTGTGCTGTTGGTGCTCTGGCTGTTCTGACGATTTAAAACTCTAAGGTTTAAGTAGAACAATCCAACCCAGAAATGCGGTATCGTGCGGTAGTTATATCTGAGACGGGCAAGGCGGAAGAGTGCACCAAGCGTGCCAAGAACGATTGGACACACGTTTCTTGGTTGCTATTTTAAAGTGAGCTCGAGCAAAATGCATTCCGGACCAGGGCCACAATAGCCGCACAGTACTCGTTTGGGAAATATCTTTAATTAGAATTGGCTGCACCTGCGTCATAATAGGTGTCAGTCACCTGGAGCTCAGGCGGAGGACCCGGGACGATCCTGAACCGGATTAGCTACCGCGTCAGCTCCAGCTCCTATTCCCGCATAATATCGTGCTGATTGCCTGTTGTGTTTTCTATTCGCAGAAAATCCTGCAAGAGACGGCTGCCCCCTGTGCAGTGTCTAGACTCTAAAAGAAACGATAGAATGTTCTGATACACGGTGGTACTATCATTGTTTGTTTACTCGGGAGACATCCCTGCCGTGCCTCGTTGGCCAGTTTATATATTGTACCAGCTCGACAATTAATATTCTCTGCTACACATTCACTCGTTTTTTCCGGCTTGAAGAATGCAGTTAAAATCGATACTCTCGCTCGCGGGCCTGCTGTCCACCACTCTGGCCCTGCCTACCATTGATGTGGTGTCCAACAAGTTTTTCTACTCGAACAACGGGTCTCAATTCTACGTCAAGGGTGTTGCGTACCAGAAGAACACAGAAAATGCCACCGACGATGCCACCTACGTCGATCCGCTTGCGGACGAGGATGCGTGCAAGAGAGACATACCGTACTTGCAAAACCTCGGCATCAACGTTATCCGGGTGTATGCAGTCGACGCCTCGAAGGACCACGACGGGTGCATGTCTCTGCTTGAGGATGCTGGAATCTATGTGATCTCCGATCTTTCGACCCCTAACGAGTCCATCCAGACCACCAGTCCTTCTTGGACCGTCGATCTATACAACAGATACGCCACGGTGATCGACATGTTCCAGAGCTACGACAACGTGCTCGGCTTTTTTGCCGGTAACGAGGTCATTACCAACAAGACCAACACCGACGCTGCTCCGTTCGTCAAGGCTGCCATCAGAGACATGAAGCAGTACATGAAGGACAACAACTACAGAGACATTCCGATCGGCTACTCGGCCAACGACGACGCCGGCACGAGAGTTCCGTCTGCGGACTTCTTCTCCTGTGGAGACGACGACGTCAAGGCAGACTTTTACGGTATCAACATGTACGAGTGGTGTGGAAATGCCACGTTCTCGAGCTCGGGCTACGAGGCCAGAACGAAGGAATTTTCCAATCTGACAATCCCAATCTTTTTCTCAGAGTACGGTTGCAACAACGTCAGGCCACGTGAGTTCACAGAGGTGCAGGCTATCTACTCCGACGAAATGACAGACGTCTGGTCCGGCGGTATTGTGTACATGTACTTCCAGGAGGAAAACGACTACGGGCTTGTTTCCATCAAGGACAACACTGTCTCGACGCTGGCCGACTACACGAACCTCAAGAGTGAGCTCGAGAATATCGACCCTACCACGGCGTCTGCGTCTGCCGCGTCGCAGTCGGCCACCGAATTGAGCTGCCCAACCAGCCAGAGCAACTGGAAGGCGGCTACAGACCTGCCTCCAACTCCAAACGAGGCTGTGTGCGACTGTCTCGACTCGTCGCTTAAATGTGTTGTTGCCGACGACGTCGACTCTGACGACTACGGCGACTTGTTCGGCATCGTCTGTGACCTGACCGACTGCTCGGAAATCTCCACCAGCGGCAGCAACGGCACCTACGGCGCGTACTCGTACTGCTCCGCCAAGGACAAGCTCTCTTTCCTGCTCAACAAATACTACGAGGAGCAGGACTCCAACTCGTCGGCCTGCGACTTCAGCGGCTCTGCCTCGCTCAACACCAAGGCCTCGACGGCGTCCAGCTGCTCGTCTTTGCTGAGCTCTGCCTCGGCCTCTCCGTCGGCCACCGGCTCCTCTAACTCCTCCCATGCATCTGGCTCCGGCTCTAGCTCCGGCTCTAGCTCTAGCTCCAGCTCTGGCTCCAGCAGCTCCAGCTCGTCGTCGTCCTCTGCCGGCGCAGGCGTCAATGCTGTCCCACTGTCGGCCCCGCAATTGGGCCTGCTCTCCTTGTTTTCCACCTTCTTCCTGGGCGGACTGTCCTACATCTTTGTCTAGTGCTTTCAATATACACTATATTTTCTATTGCGCTCTGATGCTATGCGATTCTATTTCACCATGAAGATCTCCTGCAATGCCTTGCTATCAACGACTGCGAGCCGCTTCTGCTGGATCCACTTCTGTCGGAGAGCCATGCGGCCGCTTGGCACCGGCGGCGTCTCGCTACGGTCGCGCGGCGTCTCGCTACGGTCGCGCGGCGCAAGCATCGACTCGCGCGTGACCTCAGCGTCCTCCCTCTTCCGTTTCCGCGATTTCTCCTTTTCTTTGTGCTTTTTCTTGTCCTTGTGCTTTCTATCCTTCTTCTTCCTGTCCTTTTTGTCCTTGTCTTTCCTTTCTTCCCGCATTCTTCCCTCTTTTGCGTCCCACGTACTCTTCAGCACGTCCCCCCGCACAAAGTTGATCCCCCACCGCCCGTTGATGATGCGGTTCCGCTGCAACTCGTCCATCTGCTCGTTTACCTCCGCCTCCTTACCGTTCAGTCGCCCCAGAAGCCGCTGGAAAACGTCCAGCCCCGTGCACTCGCCGCTGTCAAACTCGTCCTTTTTCGCCGACTTGCGCGCAAGCGACGCTCCCAGCCCGGTGTTGTCCTGTTTGATAACGACTTTGATATGCGAGGTCGTTGCATTATTGGTCAGCCCGAGTCCTTGGCCGGGCTTCCAGCCATACTTCTCCAGATGTCTGTGCCCAAACCGCGACACATCGTTTGACCAGTTTGTGTTTCTAGGGTCCAACCCAAACCGCTGCTTGGTCCGTGGAGCTCCCAATCCCATAACCAATTAACTGTTTTACAGATCTAAAACTTTTTTTTTCAAGACTTTCCAGCCGGTACACGCACCACCCAATACGGGAACTTTTTTTTTAACCTTGTGAAAAAAAATCAATCATTAGACAGCTAACACCAACACAGACGAAGAGTAGTTGGTGCTTCCGGTTTGAGTGACACATTTGGAAAAACACAATTTACTTTAGCGAAATTAGTGGATAAACTGTACAGATCATACTCAGTCTGATCTCCCGCTAGTACATCGCACGTTCATTTGGCGTCGTTTTCACCATGTCGCAAATCCCACCAGAGATCTCCGGCATGCTGCTCCAATTGCTGTCGGGCCTGGCCTCTACAGACAACGCCGTCCGTCAGCAGGCTGAACACACGCTCAACAAGGAGTGGACCAAGAAAGACCGCGTCGATATTCTTCTTGTGTGGCTTGCTCACCAGGCTGCAACTGCGCCCGACGAGAGCGCAAAGGCCTTTGCAGCGGTGCTGTTTAGACGTTTTGCCATCAAGTCGCCTTCCGAACAAGGCTACTCCGTCACGGCACGACAGATCGACCACATCAGCGAGCAGGCCAAGACTGAGGTGCGCAACGTCCTGTTGCAAGGTTTCACAGCTCCTCAGTCCAATAATGTCAGGCATAAGCTCGCCGACGCGGTTGCCGAAGTCGCGAAGGATGACTCGTTTGGCTGGCCAAACTTGCTGCCTACCATCATGCAGGCCACCGCCAGCCAGGACCCCAGTTTCAGAGAGTCCGCTTTCAGGATCATCAGCACGACTCCCGCAATCATCACCAACTACCAGCTACAGGACACGCTCAAGATGTTCCACGCTGGGTTTGAGGATGCCAGCGACGACGTGAGGATTGCTGCATGCTCTGCCTTCGTCGCGTTCTTTGAGAACCTGCCCAAGTCGCAGTGGACCAACCTCAGCTCTCTGCTGCCCAACCTGCTCAACTCCCTGCCTCGTCTGCTGGAGAACGGCAAGGACACGGCGCTGGCCTCTGTGCTGGAGAGCCTGATCGAGCTTGTGGACCTCGCACCAAAGATGTTCAAGCCTATGTTCCCTACCATCATCGGCTTCTGCTCCGAGGTGGCTCAAAACAAAACTCTCGACTCCACGGCCCGACTAGCCGCTCTGGAGCTGCTCACCACCTTCTGCGAGACCTCGCCCAATATGTGCAAGAGAGAGTCGTCGTACGCCACCACAATCGTGCTCGTGACTCTCAAGCTGATGACCGAGGTGTGCGTCGACGACGAGGACGCAGCAGAATGGAACAACTCGGACGAAATTGACAACGACGACGAGGAGGAGGAGTTCAACGCGGCCAGACAGTCGCTAGACCGAGCAGCGCTCAGGCTCGGCGGCCAGTCGTTGGCGGGGCCGCTGTTCCAGTACCTTCCGCAGATGATCCAGTCGCAGGACTGGCACGAAAGACAGGCGGCGTTGATGGCCCTGTCGTCCGCGGCTGAGGGGTGCAGAGAGGTGCTTATCGGCGAGATCCCCAAGATTCTCGACCTGATCCTGCCCTCGTTGCAGGACAGCCATCCACGGGTTCAGTACGCGTGCTGCAACGCTCTGGGCCAGATGTCCACCGACTTTGCTGACGTCATCCAGCGAACCTCGGGCGACCGCATTCTGCCTGCGCTGATCTCGATGCTCACCACGAAGAACGTGCCACGGGTGCAGGCGCACGCTGCTGCTGCTCTGGTGAACTTCTGTGAGGACGCCACGAAGGAGGTTCTGGAGCCATATTTGGACGACCTGCTCACGAACCTGCTGACGTTGCTGCAGAGTGCTCCTAAGAGATACGTGCAGGAGCAGGTAATCACCACCATTGCCATTGTGGCAGACGCTGCGAAGACCAAGTTCGTCAAATACTACGACACCCTGATGCCGCTGCTGTTGGAGGTGCTGAGAACCGACATGGGCGAGGAAAACAGGCTGCTCAAGGCCAAGTCGATCGAGTGCTCGGCGCTGATTGCCCTGGCGGTCGGCAAGGACAAGTTCATGCCGAACGCGCAGGAGATTGTCCAGCTTTTCGCTCACATCCAGAACAACCTGACCGGAGAAGACGACCCGGCTAAGACGTATCTGGAACAAGGCTGGAGCAGGATTTGCAAGCTGATCGGCAAAGACTTCATTCCGTACCTGCCTGGCGTGCTGCCTCCGCTGCTGGAGGCCGCCAAGGCTGCGCAGGACATCTCGATCGTGGACGAGGACGAGGTGGACGAGCTGAACCAGAACGAGGAGTTCGACGTTATCCAGCTGGCCGGGAAACACATTGCTGTGCACACGGCCATTCTAGACGACAAGACGGCCGCGATCGAGTTACTGAAAACCTACGCCGAGGTGCTGGGCGGCGATTTCTTCCCGTACGTGGAGGATATTGCAACCCAGATTGTGATTCCTGGTCTTGATTTCTATTTGCACGACGGCGTGAGAGGCTCTTCCGCACTGACCATGCCTGCTTTGCTCCAGTGTACCATTGAGGCCACCGGCTCTCCAACGTCGCCTCAGGCCACACAACTGTGGACGCAGATGTTCGACAAGCTGGTACACCAGCTGGGTACCGATCCAGTTCCAGAACTGCTGGTTGCGTACTACTATGCCATCTCGAAGGGTCTGGAGCTGGTTGGCGCAAACGTTCTTACGGACGAGCAGATCCTAGCTGCCGGAAACTCGATTCAGACCAACCTGACCGAGATCTACGAGAGAATCAAGAGCAGAGAAAATGCCGACGACGAGTACAACGAGGAGGTCCAGGAGGACGACGAGGAGTACACCGACGAAGAACTGCTTGACGAAATCACCAAGGGTATCACCGCCATGTTCAAGAGCACAAGAGAACGGTTCCTGCCTGCATACCAGTCTCTGATCCCGACTCTGGCCTCGTATATGAACGACGAAAACACCTCGCTGCGACTACTGGCCCTGTGCTCCGTGTCTGACCTTGTTGAGTACGCGGGCCCTCAGGCGTTCCAGTTCAAGGACTTCTTCATGAACCCTGTTGGAGAGTCGCTCACGTCTCCTCAGGCAAGCGTCAGACAGGCTGCGTCGCACACCGTAGGGGCCTGTGCGCAGTACGGAAGAGAGCACTTTAAAGATTTCTGCGTTGCTACTCTGGGCTCGATGCTGGCCATGTGCAACGTCCCGGACTCGAAAGCAGACGAGAACCTCTCCGCTACCGAGACCGCAATCGCTGCCATTGCCAAGGTACTGCACTCTTTTGGCTCCAGCGTTCCAAATGCTAATGAGGTGGTGGAGAACTGGCTCAAGCTGATGCCTGTGCTGCAGGACGACGAAGCGGCACCATATGCTTACATGTTTCTTGCCGAGTTGATCCAACAGCAGCATCCGCTTGTGGCTGGCATGGTCCCTAAAGTCGTGGACGATGTGGTACAGGCGCTGCTTTTCGGCTCTATCTCTGGCAAGACCGCCGAGAAAGTCGTGGGGGCTGTGAAGCAGCTGCTGGGAACCCTGCCTCAGGACCAGGCCATTGCCCTTTTGAACAAGTACAACACGGAGGGAAAGCAGGTGATAAGCGAATGGTTTGCATAGATTAGCTGGAGTCGTACATATTAATTTTCAACGTTAGTTTGATTTTGTATTGATAAGATACGAATTTCGAGGCAAAGACTAAACAAAGTAAATGATAACATGCGAATTTAAACAGCTTGGCGCTTCTCGAACCCGGACTCCAGATGTGGAAGAAACTGCCCTAAGTCCAGCTCAACAGTGCCCTTCGGAATCTTCGAAGGCTTGATTGGCGAAGGATGGACTTTCATGAAGTCGAGCAATTGCCTGAACGAGCTAGAGCGTGCATCATCAAACAGCTCCACAAATTGTCTCACGAGACTGCACAAAACGTCGCTCTGGTGGATGATGCTTGTGACGTACTGGATCTTCGGCTTGTTGGACGAGTTCTCAAAGCCTACTAAGTTCGACAGCACCTTCGAAGCAATGGGTATCAAAGTCAGGTCGCTAAGCAAAACCGTCTTCATCATTTTGAACAGACTGAACACCCCAAACTCCTTGTACACGAGCAAGTAACTAAGAAGCGAGTCAAGTTGATAGTGATACAAAATGTTGCAAAACGGTCTATCGTACAAAGACGAAGAGTCCACCACTTCTGGGAACCTGCTATAATTGCCGCAGATCTTCAGGCTGCTGAGCGTAGCTGCCAGGTTCAGATCAACAGACTTGTTGAGTATTTTGTAATCCAGCCCATGCTGTGACTTGAAAAGAGCCAGTTGAGTAAACGTTCTTTGCTTGAACTTGTTCATAGTGTCATCTTTGACCGCAGATTTCTGTTCCGTTGAGAATTTCATTAAGCCAAGTTCATCATTGAACTCTCTTAAGAAATTGTATACTTTCGACTTCACGATAGCACATAAAAGAACACAGTCCTGCAACAGCTTGGTGCCCTTGACTCTGCGATAAGTGCTTGACTGAATAAATTTGAAGGCTTCTTTGGTTTGTGCCCGTACTTTCTTCAAGGACTCATCTCCCATGTTTAGATTGTTCTCGAAAATGAAATTGGACTTTCCTAGCGGAGGAATGTACTCAAATCCAAATGGGCGCTTGAGCAACTCTGGGATTCTTGCACTTTGTCCAACTAAGCCAAAGAGCTCATTGTTCAAGCTTGACGAAAGAACAAACTGAACGTTCTCCAACAGCGCGTGTATGGATAGTCTGCATCCCATGTCATTCAGCAGCGCAGCGATGTTCAAAAAGGACTCGAAGGAATTCAGATTGTAGTCGATGTTCTTCAAACTGACCTTCAGGTAGCTTAGTAGATTTAACTCCGTTGGGTATTCAAGCTTAGAGTTTTGGTCCACAATCTCAAACAACATCTTCATGGTAGTCTCTGTGACTTCGTACGTGTAAGAGTCGTTTGTGATGCCCAAACTATCCTTGAAATTGGAGTTATTAATCTTCAGAAGAATCACGAGCAAAGCGCGATCTTCGATATTGATCAGCGGAACATTGGTGATAAGAAACTCGCTAATATTTGCCAGCAAATAGTAGCTTACTTTGTGCAAATTAGTGACGTTCTTTGATTGCACGTCGACGATCTTGTGTAAGATATTCAGCAGCGCTGGCTTGTGCCAACAATACAATGAAATCATCTCGCTGTTTATGTCATTTTCCAAATAAAGTCTCAACACCTCGTTGAGCTTCTCAAATGACATGCCAGGCTTGGCACAAAGATGATCCATTTTCAATAGAGCTTCGATACTTTGAGTAGCAATCCGCTGATAATGGGGAGGAAATAAAATACCGAACAGTGTGCGCGAGTCCTTGTCTTCACACAAAGAGCTTTGCGCCAAGGTTTCACAGTGATTGAAATTTTCAAAAAAGGAGTGTAAGCCACCGCTTGCCATTAAAGGAGTCTGCGACTCCGCTGCAAATACGTGGGTGAACATAATGTAAATGTCCTTTTGAGCAAACGAGGACAAGAGAGCATCAAACATATACTTGTTCATTAGATGCATAGCAACGAGAAGCATGAAGCGTTGTTTGATCATCTCTAGCTCTGTGTAGTTATATTTTGGAGCCAGAACAAGAGTTTTCAAAATTGGTATGACGAGGTTGTACTGTTCAAGGCTCAGCAAAGAGCCAAAGTTCTTGAACCCAAAGTTCGGGTGAGTTTGCTGTAGCTGGAAGTGATACTTAAACAGGCCCATAGCAGCCAAAGAAATGGTGGCAGCTTTCTGGAAAGAAAGCTCGTTCATCTGGCTAGCCAGCACACCGTTGAGCTCTTTTGACAATTTGATGATGGTCAACACCGTAACAAATTCTAGCTGTAGCTTGTCTTTGGTTTCTGGGTCTGCGTCCGTGAACCTTCTCGCTAAATCATCAACGTCGACTTTCGTATGGCTTCCTTGCACCAACGAATGCAGAGTCTCCAAAACGCCCGCTGAACCCTGGCGGTCTTTGATCAGAGCCGAATTAAACACGTCCTCAATAGTGTAGAGTTTAAACACGTCCTCAATAGTGTAGAGTTCAGAAAGGTCCGGATCACTCTCGTGCTCGTGGTCAGGGTCGACCCGGTGCTCTGGAGACAATCTCTTATTTCCTGAGCCCGAGTCGGACGACAACTCAGATGACGAGAGCGAGCTGGCGTTCGATCCAAGCTCCAGGTTAAGATCTGCTGATAGCGGAGACTCGTCCGTGCATGCATCGTGAACGATATCAGATGTCAGGTTCATTGTGCGGCAAACGTGTAATCTCTCCCCCCTAAGTCGGCAACGTGTCTTGTTTACAAAGTGCTGGTCGATAACCTCCAAGTACTACAGAGTTTCCCTTGGTATACTTTAGGGCTTAGTATGAGCAGCAAGATGGTCAAATGTTGTCAAATAACGATCGAAAACTGGTTTTCGTGGAAATTTACTGAATCAAAATTTTAAAAAGGCCTTGCATTTCTATAAAAGTCAGTCCCACACAGAAAAATCTACCCCGTACAATTGATTATTTTTCTACATGTCACAAATAAATTCGGCTCTAATTGTCGTTGATCTCCAGGAAGATTTTCTCCCGCCGACCGGAGCATTGGCCGTGCCTCAGGGAAGGGAAGTGATTGATCCAATCTTACAGTTATTGGATCTCGACAAGTACAATTGGAAGACGATCATTGCTACTTTGGACTGGCACCCGTCAGACCACACTTCCTTTGCTAAAAATCACGGTCAGGAGCCTTACACCACCAAGCAGTTTAAACACCCCCACAACGGGACCATCAAGGAGCAGGTGCTTTGGCCCGTCCATTGCGTTCAGAACAGCAAGGGCGCAGAGCTCGCACACGAGTTTAAACCGGTTCTGGAGGATCTGCTACAAAAACAGCCTGTTCCTGTCTACACCGTGAAAAAGGGATATTTGCAGGACCGCGAATACTACTCGTGTTTCCAGGACACCTGGGGGCTCCACCACACGGAGTGCGAGAAGATCCTGCGCAAAAATGGAATAACACATGTTTTTACTGTTGGACTGGCCTACGACTACTGCGTCCTCAACTCCTCTGTGGATGCTGCCGACCTTGGCTTCCAAACGTTTGTTCTGAAAGACTGTTCGCGCGCTGTCGACCCATCCGCCAACGACAAAACGGAAAGCGTGTATCGAGAGCACGGCGTCAAGATTATCAATCTTCAGGACGCTGCTCTTGCCCAGGTGACTAAATGATGTCACGCTATTATGGCTAATGATTCTCAGATAATTTTTTTGTATGGCTAAAAAAAAAAAACGAACCGATTCAAATATTAGTTATTTTCATGCTGGGACTTCCGAAACTCAATACAGGAGGCGTGGGGGGCAAGTCTGAGACCAAGCCTGAGGCCACGTCGGACGCTGTTGCAAAGTACAATGAAAGACGTTTCCGCCAGGCGGCGCTGTTCTATGGGTGCGCAGTAATGACGTACATCGCTTCCAAGATCGCCTATCGAGGTGTTATTGCCAGACGGTATAACCCGACGTTTTACCAGCACAACCACGTTCCTCCCAAATTTTCGTTCTACCGGGACGCCGCCAGCGCGGTGGCACACGCGTCGCTGCTTGCCGTTTCGTCGATGGCGATGTTTGTCACCGGGGGTTTCTGGTACTACGATATCTCTGGCCCCCGCGAGTTTGGCCAGCGGATGAAGGTGCTGCTAGGCGGAGCAGAGGCAGAGAAGGAGCTTGCGCGGATGCCTGTTGACCAGGAAACAAACGACATGCAGAGCATGTTGACGAGCCTGCTCAGCGGCGACGACGAGACCGCCGAAACCTAGACGTCCTGTATATAGTGCTGAAATGCTTTAACGACTACCTAAGAGCAATTTCGACCCGAAAACTCACTTGCTGCAGCCAAACTCCGGGCAGAACATCTTTGCACATAATTTTTCTAGTCTTGTATGGTCTCGGAAACCACCCCTCTTCAGAGACCCATTGACTACGAAGACGAGGAGTTCAGCTGGTTTGGGCGGCTCATGATCCGCATTGGATCATCCAAACGGCTGCTCTGGGGTCTCGGCCTGATAATCGGACTGCCGATCGTGTGTTTTCTATTGGTCTTCTTGCCTAGTCTAGCACCCCCATCTGCAGACATCCCCGACCTGATCAAAGTTGGAAGATTGCCTGTCTATTTACATCCCCTGATCCCTCCAAAGGACCCCAAAGTGGCGCATTATGGGACAACCAATGATAACTACAACGATCCAGAGTCGCCTATTAAAAACGTGCCCAATTTTGAGAAATGGAGCCTGCTCGACAAGGATACCAAATTGTTCCGGAGACATTTTCGAAAGCTGGAGACTGCAGCTTCCCAGAGGCCTGCGAAACGGCTCATCCTCATCGGCGACGTGCACGGATCGCTGTATGAGCTGCAGAAACTCCTTAAGCACGTCAGATATGACGGCGGACGCTACGATCATGTTGTTCTGCTGGGCGATTTCCTGGCCAAAGGCAAGAACTCGCTCGGAGTGCTGGAGTACGCAATTCAGAACCGCATCGACTGCATTTTGGGGAACCACGAATGGGAGGTTCTGAAACGGTATGTGCAGTACCACGGTCTTCCGAGCCTTGGCTTTAACGAGTCGAAAAATGAGGTGAGCGCAACAGAGCAGTACGACTTGGATGAGCAGATGCGGATCGCAAAACGACTGATGCCCGAACACATTGACTATATTTCCAGGTGTCCACTTATCAAGGAGCTGGGCCCTGTTCCGAGAATGACAAACAAAAAACAGACCAAGTACGCCTCCATTCCGGCAAACGGAGTGGCTGTCCACGGCGGGCTGGTGTGGAGCGTCGAGGATCTGCAGGATCAGGACCCAGAGGCAGTTCTGACGATGCGCAACCTGCTGCCTCCAGATTACACCATTCCGACGGAAAACCGTCACGAGATGGTCGACGGGAAGAAATCGAAGCCGTGGACACGGTTCTGGACACAGCGCCAGCACGAAGTGGTCGCGAATGCGAGCGTTGACGCATTCGTTGCGGGCACGAAAGTGTACTACGGACACGATGCCAAGAGAGGCGTGACTTTCCGCGAGTTCAGCACGGGACTGGACTCTGGGTGTGTCTACGGGGCCCAGCTCAGTGCGGAAATCATCTGGAGCGAGGTGGTGAGTACAAAGAGCGAGCATCGCATAGTCTACAGAAGAATGTTCACCCAGGTCAATTGCTAAGGTCAACTAATGGACTATAGTTCGATATCGTACTTGTACACCAGCTGGAGGAGCGCGGCCAAAACGTCTTTCTGGCTGGCAGGGTCGTACACCTTGAGGAACGGTCTCATCATGGCCGCAGTCGGCTTGATTGAATGCTGGAGCGTGGCGTGGTGCAAATGCACGAAATTGGACACCAGATAATCCAGAATGACGGTCTGTGTTTCGGAAAGAGTGTCGTGCGATTCGAGCGTCGGGTTGATTTCGTACACATGGCACGTTTGCACAAGTATGAAGAGGGCCAGCTTGGTTTCGCCGGCCTTGATGAGGGCGCCTATAAAAGATTCTATAAGCTGTGAGTCAATGTTGGGTCGTAAGTCGTGGATCGTGAAAAATATAATGTTGAGCACGCTGTTGAGGTCGCCTTTGTTGCCGTAGTGGTCCAGCAGATGGACCACTGTCGTTCTGTCGGGCCTGACATTTGCCCTGTTCATTTGTGACAGAACAGTTTGCGGGTCCGCGTTTGGAAGCAGCAAATTGAAATGCGAGACATGTAATCTATACGGATAGAGGGAAAGGAAATCGAGGACATTGCCGTCGGAACATGCCAACTTGAGTCTTATCCAGTTGTGTGTTTCTATCTCTGTGAGCGGAATGCGGCTGATGACCATTTCCGAGTAAAAATGACGGATCCAGCGCAGTGTTTCTGGAGCCAGCTCCGTCAATTCTCGAGCCAGAGCCTGGTTGATGGCGGCAGCGAGTAGCTCGAAGTCGTCGCGGCCGACGTGGCTGCATTTCGGCAGCGGAAGCGAGTCGTACCATTTCTGGATCGCCTCGACGGGGCCATTTTTCTCTCGTAGGTCGCCAGGCAAAGCGTGCGTGCTCTTTTCCCTTAGCAAAGCTGCTCTGGCTGCCGTGATTTGCGCATGGTCGGTGATATGGTTCAGCAGCAGCGTCCGCTCGCTAAAGTGCTGCAACTGCGCCTCGTCAATGTCCAGCTGTTTGTACCTGCGCAAAGCCTTGCCGTACTCTGTTATTTCCTGCCGGTAGAAGCTGGCTCTATTGGGCTCTATGTTCTGGAAATATGCGTCGTCAAAATGCTGGAAGTAGTCGTGCAACTGTTTTACTCGGGTCTCGTTCTGCAGCTGTGTGTGCGCGCCAAGCAGTTTGTCTAGCCACGCAGGGCCTGTCTCCGCAGCGGGCTCAGATCTGGCGATCCAATCGGGTTCCTGCAACGGCCGCGAGTTCTCATGCCAGTACTGTTTGGCCTCTGCAGTAAAGTCACCCCAGTCGGCGTCGAAACTATCAAGTTCGGCGTCTCCAATGCTGCTCTTGGCAAGATGGTGGCCGTTGTAGGATCGTCTAGCCGAACGCTGTTTCCGCAACAGCGTCTGTTGTTTGCTCCATTCTGGGTTCACAGGAAATTCAGCACTATCCGAAAAATTGCGTCGCAGCCAAGAGAGCCGGATGGGTCGCCAAGACAGCACCAAACCCTCCTTGGCGATGCTAATCATCATTTGTGAAGAAATATTTCTGAAAAATATTTTGACCCGCGCCGCCAAAGAAGCGGTTGAAAAAAACCTAAACAAGGTGGATGAGTTTGCAGCAATGAACCTAAACGATTTGCTGCGCAAAGCGCTGTCGTTGCTGAATCACAGGCTCAGGGTGTACAGACGAGTAATAATACGGCCGTGGATGCTTCTGATTCTGCTGCTGGTCACGGCTGGGCTGTGTGTTCGCGTCTTCTTCCATCGCTCTTTAGATTTGGCCGTGCTGGAGCAGATGGACTTTGAGGACAGGTTCTCCAGACTGGCGTTGGAAAAAGTGCCGATGTCGGAACGGCCAATAGAATCGGCCAAGGACGCCGTCTTTGAGAGCGGATGCAGGGACCCTCTTATCGAGGCCAAAAAACCGCGTATGAACGCCGCGTTCGTCGTTCTCGCGCGCAACTCCGAGATCGACGGCGTGGTGTCGTCGATGAAGTCGCTGGAGCGCCATTTCAACCAGTGGTTCAACTACCCGTGGATCTTCCTTAATAACGAGCGTTTTACCCAGGACTTCAAGAAGAAAGTAGCACAGGTGAGCAGCGGGCCTGTGCGGTTCGGCACTGTGCCGCAGTCGAAATGGAACTTTGACGAGCAGCAGACGAACCCTGTGCTGTTCAAGGAGGCTATCGAGTCGCAGGGAGACCGCGAGATAATGTACGGCAACACCGCAAGCTATCATAACATGTGCCGTTTTTACTCGGGCTATTTCTTCAAGCACCCCCTCGTGCGGAAACTGGACTGGTACTGGCGTGTGGAGCCGGACGTGGACTTCTACTGCGACCTCACGTACGATCCATTTCGGGAGATGCAGATGCGGGACAAGAAATATGGGTTCACGGTGGCAATAAAAGAGCTGGTCAACACGGTGCCGAACCTGTTTCGCTACACGAACGCGTTCATCAATAAGCACGACGTGCCGCTGTCGGATGCGTGGGATTTTTTTGTGGACCGGTTCGCGGTCTACAAGGGCCAGAACAGCGAGCACTACAAGAGCATCACTAATAGACGCGATTTTTGGAAAAAGCTGGAGCAGCGGATTCCAATGTACCATGCGTTGCAGACGGCGGGCGAGGACGCGGCCCGGCTGGACCAGCACTCACTCAACAGGCTTGTGGACCACAGCAACAAGCGCGGGCTGCACACGGTCAATAAGGACCATTTCGACGGGAGGAAGTATAATATGTGCCATTTCTGGTCGAACTTTGAGATTGCTCGCACAGACCTGTTCACGTCGGAGCTGTACCAGCAGTACTTTGACTATCTGGAGTCATCTCAGGGCTTTTTCATCGAACGGTGGGGAGACGCTCCAGTGCACTCTCTGGGAGCAGGAATGTTTCTCAATTTGTCGGAAATTCACTATTTCAGAGACATCGGCTACAAACACTCGACTCTGGGCCACTGTCCGAAAAACTCGCCGCACCAGCTACCGTACAAGCCGGGCGCACGATACAAACACGTCTACCACGAAAACGACGAGCGCAACCTGGCAAGGTACGACAGGCCGGTGTCAGATGGCGGTGTGGGGGTGGGGTGTCGGTGCAAGTGTCCTGCGGATCATGCTGAGATTGAAAATTCCGGGGGATCGTGCGTGGCACTGTGGGCGAAGCTGACTGACGACGAACGGGAGGCCGACGCGACGCTGGACCTGGACGCGATCGAGGAGCGCGCGTTGGAAATGTACGAACAGTATTTGGTGCAGCATGGCAACGACGGGTCCAAATGGAAGCTGAGCACTGCAGATTGCGAAGAACTAGAGAAGCTGGGCTCGCTCTAGGCTCCGGCAGGTAATATGTAGAGCTGTACGATAATTGCAGATTCAGCAGATTAGATTTTGCGGCGTTGATTAAGCTCGTCTCAGGGCCGCGTGCGTAGCCATCTTATAGAGTCCTTCGGCATCACTAGGTGTGTAGTGAAAGAGCCAGCACTCAGACCCCATCTCTCGAATGCCAAGATTGTCTGCAGGTGACGTTGGGCCGAGGCTTGCGCCGAACGCAGCCGTCTTGAAGCGAAGCAAAGAAATAAAAAAAAGATTCGAAGAAGCCGCGGTTAGAGTTTAAAGTTTTCCATGCATAAAGCTTAATATGGTACCTCGTATTGTCTCTAAGACTGGAAATTATTCGGTCACATTTGCCCTTTATTGTTGCAACAATACACGCACCATCCCTTACTTCTTCGGCCCAGGATTAGGGCTCTATATATACACAACTTGCCCTTCCCACGGCATGCTGCCCTAATCTTTAATGAGAATATGCTAGACATGGACCAATCACATTTGTCGTCTAACATAACACGCTCGCCCTACCCGTCTGCGGAAAACCTCTCCTCTCCCCCGAATCAGGACCAGGGCACCCAACAAGCCCGCGAGAGAGGCCCCGTAACGCACATGCCCCAGCTATGGCAGTTCTACGACAACTACACCACAGACATGATCCTGGGCCAGTACGACCCGTCGCCCGGGACGTATCTTGCCTCGTCCCAGCAGAGCCAGCCCCAGTACGTCACCAACTCGCCCGCAACGAGAAACATGTACTCCACCGAACATCTAATTTCTATAAACAGTATTCCTTCGCCAGACGGAAAAAAGCAACCTACATTTCCCGGCACAGACCCGACAGTATTGAAAAAATTCAAATGCAGCCAGTGCACAAGCTCTTTCACGCGCAGGAGCAGGCTCAAGGAGCACTGTCGCAAAGTCCACGAGGGTGAAAAGCTGGTGTTCAGATGCGACCACTGCCACAAGGTGATGAGCTCCCGCGAGAACCTCAACAGGCACATCATTGGCCACACCGACAAGTATCGCTGTGCGTACTGCGGCAAGCGCCACGACAGAGCCGACAGATACCAGCGCCACATGCGGAAATGCTCCGCCAAACACAGTGACACTCAATTCCCTGCCCAGGAGGCTGTCTAGGACGGCCCCGGAGGCATCGCGCCCAACAATACGAGCAGGTCACGTGACCGCTCAACGCGGCGCATGGTGTATGCGCACACGCGCATACACCATGCGCGCGCGCCCTGGCCACCTGCGGAGCCTCCAAAAAAAATAGTTTGCCCGAACTGGTACAGGCCAGATTAGCACAGAGTCCCGTTCGGTAGATGGCCACACGCGATGAACGCCGCGCCCCGTACTCACCCAGAGTACCACGACCAAGGCGGCCTGCCGTCCACCATGTTCCATGCCGCGCCGGCCTCTGTTGACGCGTACGACGACAACATGTCCACGATCCAACGTGCCGGGCTTCGCCAGACATCGCTTTCTGCGCACATCCAACAACAACAGAAAAAGAAGCACCGGCCGAAAACCATGATGTTGGGCGACCCGAACGCGTCGGGCAGCTCTCCCACGGCCTCCATGGCTCCTCCGTTTGCTCCTGCGATGGGCAATCACGGGTTCAGAGTCCAGTCCATGGGGAGTGTCGGAAGCGCGTCGAACTCGTCGCTGCCGTACGGATACCACGATTTCCAGCAGCCGGGCAGCCCGTACGGCGGCTCGCGGCATTCTCTGCCGGCGAATCGGTCGCCCACGATCTCTGGCTCGCCGACGACGTTAAATCCTGAATATATGAGATACGCTCCTCCGCCCGGCCCTGGGCCCGCTGCTGCGCAGTACGTGCCCAACAGGATCATCACGCCCGGTCTGCGGAAAGTCTCGCCGGCCACGCCGCCGGCGAATTCGGCGAACCACGCCGCGCGCGTCTCCATTAGCTCGGCCCTCTCGTTTATTGGATATTCTCCTAAAAAGGAGAATGGCGTCTTCACGCCGGACTCGTCGACGGGGAAGGCGCTGGAGGACGATTTTCCGGACGCCGTTGACGACGACGCGCCGCCGCTGAGTGAGCAGGTCGCTCAACTCAGACAGCGGGTCGAGGAGCTGGAGCTCGAGAAGACGCGGCTGGAAAAGGACAAGTCCAGCGAGCAGGAAAAATCAGACATGCTCGAGCAGCTGCTCAGCGAGAATGCGGCGCTGAAGGAGGAGTTGGAGGCCAAAAAAAGAGTTTCCGAGAGCAGCCTCGAGGAGGTGAGACAGATGCAGGAAAAGCTGGATCTCGCAAACCAGGAGATTACGTCGATGACGGCGGTGGTCGAGGCGGTGGTGGCCGCCCTTCCAGAGCATATAAAGAGCAAGGACCGGTTCCTGGACTTCGCTGCCAAGACGCAACTAGACCTACGGTTCAAAGACAAAATAGACACCACAGCAGCCGCTTTCAAGCAGGAGCAGGGCCCGATCGACACGGACGACAAAGTGCTGGACATGTTCCGTGAGGAGGTCAGGGCGCTGAGCGAGAAAGTGGCCCAGCTGGAGAAACGCAAGACAGAAACGGAAAAAATCCTCAAACACCACATATACACGGGGAACCAGACCATCAAGCAGCTGGCCCAGCGGAATCGCGCCGTTTCGAGCCCGGCAGGACCGAAGAAGGAGCTCAAGATCATCGACATCGTCCAGCCGACGCTCAGCGTCGCGGAGATGAAGACAGGCCGTGCTAGAAAATGACAAAATGGTATTGACCGCTATAAACGTACGCTGCTACACTCCGTCGTCGGGCCGCTGCTGTTCGCGCTCAATCTTGGAGCCCTTGTCCTGCAGGCTGTCGTAGCCCTTGAAGTTCTCTTTCACTTCCCGCTGGACGTGGTCCTTGTTGGACTGGAGTGTGTCCTTCAGCTCGGCAGCTTCCTGCGAGGCTTTCTGCGACAGGTCGTTTTTCTTGTCTCCAGCCTTGTCCTTGACGGTGGACACCTCCTCCTTGACGGTCTCGGCCACGTCTTCGGCCTTATCGAGCCCTGAGGCGAGCGTCTTTCCAACCTTGAGGTTGATGTCCTTGAGCACTTCCTTGGTGCTGTCGACGACGCCGCCGCGACAACGCTGCTGCAACACCGGTGCGTTTGCTGGGCGGACGGCTCTGACGGTTCTGAATGCGGTTCTGTACATGGCGATACTGTGGAGAGCCACCAGGGAAGGCCGGGGTTTATATACCTGGCGAAGTTTGCTGCAAGCAATCGACCGCAAATTCGATTGCGCGAGAGCAATTATATGACGACATTGTTTACCTACGTGGGCAATCTGATTCGCAGCGCGAGAGTTCGGCCAGTTTCGATCGAGCTGGGCCGCCACAGGCCCGCTGAGGCGGCCGTGCTGTCGTGCGTGGCGCCGTCGATCGACCGGACGTGGCGTCTGTCGCTCCCGGTTTCAGACCCCACCTGTACTATACTTAAGCATTATACAATACAGTTTCTCAGAGCACCAGCACACGCAGAATCCATGCGCAGATCGCCGATGGTCCCCTCAGCGTAGTTTGTGGATCTGGATATTTATTTTTCTGGGCTCTAAATTTTCCGTACTCTTTCCTCATGAGATTCCCGCCAAGACTGCTTCGAAGGCGGCTGCTCGCGTGCTACGCGCTGTGCGCGGTGCTGCTCGTGACGGCGTACGTCGTCCTGCGGAACCCTGCCCTCAAGACCCAGCAGCAGAAGACGAATGCCCGCCTGGTTTCGCGAGTAACCTCCTTGTTTGCAAGCAAGCTGGGACTCCGGTGCGACAGATTCACCTCGTACAAAGAGGACCCGCGCAAGCACTGGCAGTACTACGGCTACGACGAGAACGACAAAAACCTTGCGCAGAACGAGCTCAACAATCTGCTGTCCGTCACGGCTGACCAGGAGCACGAGCTGTCAAGGGTGCACTCTCTGCTGATGGAGACGTATCTGAGCGAGAAAGACTCGCTCTTCCGCAGTTTCCAGGACCTGTACGCCCGCCACTACGACGAAAAAAGCACCGGGATCGTCTACGTCTCCGGCAGGGAGTACTACTGGCTCACGATTCTCTCGATCAAATACATCCGCCACGAGCTCAAGGACCAGACCCCGATCGAGATCTTCATGCCCTTCTACGACAAAAACGACCATTTCTGCAACAAGATATCCATGGTGTTTCCCGACGTGTCGTGCTCCTACTTCAACAACTACCTGTCCACCAGAGCCGTGTCCAAGCTCAGTGGGTACCAGTACAAGGCATTGGCGCTGCTGCTCACCAAGTTCACCAACGTGCTGTACCTGGACTCCGACAACATCCCGCTCGAGCACCCGTCCAAGCTCTTCGAGGGCGAGAAGTACAACAAGCACGGCATGGTGTGCTGGCCCGACTTCTGGAAGCGGTCGACCCACCCGGCGTTCTACAGATCCAGCGGCCTCGACCGTCACAGCCACATAATCGCTGCCACGCCGTCGGTCGAGTCCGGCCAGATCATGGTGAACAAAAAGACGCATTTCAAAACCCTGCTTCTGGCATACTACTACAACCTCCACGGCCCAGACTTCTTCTATCCGCTGTTTTCGCAGGGCTTTCCCGGAGAAGGAGACAAGGAAACGTTCTACCTCGCCAGCAGAGTCACAGAGGAGGGCTCCTTCCTGATGACCGGCATCAAGACCAAGATTGTCGGATATATCGACGGCCAGAACCTGTTCCACGGCCAGTCGATACTGCAGATCGACCCGGACGACGTGCACAAGTACGCGTTTTTCCACTGCAACCACCCCAAACTCCAGGTCGACAAGCTCCCGAAAGCGTACTTCTTCGACCCGCAGACAAACACCAGGCGCAGATCGTGGCAGATCATGAGAGACGCCAAGAAAGATAGCAACGCGGGCGGCATGGTGACGCTCAAGAAGGGAATCAAGATCGACCTCGAGCTGCGCATCTGGACGCTGATCCACGAGCTGCTTGTTAGGGACTTCAAGGGCTTCAGGCTGTTTGAGAGCATCGGCAACGACGAGATGGGCGACGTTGTCAAGGAACACATCTACTTCCTCAAGAACCAGGGGACGCTGATTACGTAATGTCTACATAAACGATGGAAAAATATCTGGAAACCGCTTTCACAACCACCATGCTGCGACGGCTGTATTCCACAATTCTGGGCGCTCCGACGGGCAAACTGGCCAAGAGCGCTGCCGCCCTGACGACGACTGAGCTGCTGACGAAGGCCGGCTACGTGAGTCAGCCGAATGCCGGGCTGACCCACTGGCTTCCGCTTGGGCTGTCTACGATCCGCAACATCGAGGAGATCATCCGCAAACACCACGACAAGGCCGGGTGCCAGGAGGTGTCGCTGTCTGTGATGTCGCATCAGTCGCTGTGGGACAAAACCGGGCGCTGGCAGAACGAGGAGCTGTTCAAGGTGGGCGATTTCTGTCTGGCTGCCACGGCCGAGGAGGAGATGACACAGCTGGTCCAGCGGACGGCTGACAGCTACAGGAAGCTGCCTGTGATTGCGTACCAAATTGGCCGCAAGTATAGGAACGAAAAGCGGCCGCGCGGCGGGCTTCTACGCGGCAGAGAGTTTGTGATGAAGGATGCGTACTCGTTCGACGTGGACCAGTCCAGCGCGCTGCGGTCGTTCGAAAAAATGAACCAGGTGTACTACGACATTTTCAGGGAGCTGAACGTGCCGTTTGTGAAGGCCAATGCGGACTCTGGCGCGATTGGCGGCGACCTAAGCTACGAGTGGCATTTTCTCAGCGAGTCCGGCGAGGACACGCTTCTGGAGTGCGACGCGTGCGCTGTTGTGGGCAACGTCGAGCGCGTGCGGCCGCACATCGCGGCGGGCCGTTTTGCCGACGAGGCAGAGGTGAGCTACCATCTGACGGGCGACAACGATCTGTGTCTCATTTACTATCCTAAAGGCCGGACGGTGAACTTCAAGTTCCTAAAGGACGAGGATCTGGTGGAGCTGCGCACAGACGTCAGCTCGGAGGAGGCTGTGCGGACGTACAAGCAGTCTGGCGACGACGAGTTCAGGAATATTGTCCGGATCATGGACGTAGGCGTCGGCCCCGGCACGCTGCTACCAGACCTGGAGGTGGCGTACTCACGGTCGCGGATGACCACTTTTGAGGGCGTCCCGCTGACGGAGGCGCAGGCAGGGGACGGGTGCGCGCTGTGCAAGACGGGAACTCTGAAAAGTTTCAGGGGAATCGAGGTCGGCCACACGTTTTACCTGGGCAAACGGTACAGCGAGCCGTTGGACGCCGGGTTCGTGGACTCTGAGGGCCGCAAACAGCACTACGAAATGGGCTGCTACGGCATCGGCGTGAGCCGGCTGGTGGCGGCGATTGCGGAGGTCACAAGAGACGCAGACGGCCTGCGGTGGCCGGCCAGCGTGGCTCCGATCCAGGTGGACGTTGTCGTGGCTGGGTCCTACACGGGCGACCTTGGAGCAGTGGAAAAATTCTGCTCGCAGCTGGACGGGCTGCGGTACCGCGTCGACGCGACAGAGGGCCATCTGGGCGAGAAACTGGCGCGCTCAAAGCTGCTGGGCACGCCCCTGCAGGTAATTGTCGGCAAGCAGTACCCGAAGATCGAGATCGAGCTGCGCGGGCTCCGTCGCGACCTCGGGAAGCTCGAAGGGGAGGTCCAGCGGCAGCACGGCGTCGACAAACTGGTTGTCGACGTGGAAAAAGGACCGCAGATTGTGCACAAACTACTGAGTGTCATGTAAATAGAAATATATTAGTATATTATTTTGATGCCTGCCAGCAGCACTAGGCAAACTTGCCGGTCAGCTTGGCCAGCACGTGCAGCAGGACGACCGAGAAGATGAACGCAACGGCCAGCACAAGCACGACGAGAGGATCGATCTTGAAGCCCTGCGACTCGTCGGTGTAGATTTTCAGCATGGTGGACGACGAGCCTCCGGCGCCAGCAGCCCGTGTGGACGTTGGCTGGCTCTGCAGTTGCTGCTTGAGCTTGTTTTCTTGCGTGGCCTTTCTCTTGGCCAATGTCTTTGCACCTCCTGGAACGCTGCTCATGATGATATAGGAAAAAGTGGTGGAAAAAGTTCGTCAAGCGTCGCGTCGACGAGCAAAACCGGCGGGGAGTTAAATAGGGGCTCTTGCGCGCCGGCTGGCCGTTGCAGCGGGCACTGGGATGCTCTGGGCGAGACGAGACGAGTTCCAAGCCCCAGAGCTGCCCGCCGCCGCAGTCATCTTGTAAAGGCCCGTTCTAGCCCCCCCTTTCTTACCCTACCGAGAAGTGGCACAGCGAATAAAAAAAAAGATATAGTCAGGAATTTGTCCTGTTCTGTTCCCCGTCGAATATGTCTCTCCAGTCTCAGTCGCCCTCCTACGAGCAGGTACCTTTGGATGTCTCGGCCCCAGAATACAACAACCGCCATACGTCTGTGTCGTCCATGTCGTCTGCGTCCGGCTGCACCTCGTCCACCTATGGAGGTAATGCGTCCACGCAAGCGATGAACGCAAACACGACAGGAAACTCGGTTCTTTCTGGCCGCGTGTCTCAGAGCCGGCATTTCGGGCAGTACGGCACGTTCAACCCAAACTGGCTGCCGCAGCAAACAAACACCATGATGAACGTCACGCCATGGATAGAACAGCAGGCTCAGGTGGCACCTAGCATCAACATGTCGAGTCTCAACATGTCGTCGATGCCGAGCGAGCAGTCGCAGACGACAAATCTGAGCGTGCTGACCAACAAAAACAGCAGCAACTCGACCGTCAACGACAAAGGCGAGGAACGACAGCAGAGCACTGGGGCTCCTGTGTCGCCAAAGACCTCCCACCAGCCCCAAGAGTTTGAGAAGGACGAAGAGGACGTTATTCCCACCGCAATTGTGATCAAAAACATCCCCTTTGCAATCAAGAAAGAACAGTTGCTAGACGTAATGTCCAAGCTGAGCTTGCCATTACCGTATGCCTTTAATTACCATTTCGATAACGGAGTTTTCCGCGGACTTGCGTTTGCCAATTTCAACTCGACCGAGGAAACGTCCATGGTGGTGAACGTTTTGAACGGTCGGGAGATCGGCGGTAGAAAACTCAGGGTTGAGTACAAAAAGATGTTGCCGATGGTCGAAAGAGAGCGGATCGAGCGCGAGAAAAGAGAAAAACGTGGTCAATTGGAGGAACAGCACCGCTCCACCAGCGCAACCTCGCTGGCGTCTCTGTACAGCATCAGCTCGATGCCGAACTCTTCCACGCCGGCGCAGACCAACGTGTCGCTTCTCAACAACGCCGGCACTGCACACAAACTCATGCCAGACCGACTCTACGTGACTCTGAGTGCCCAGCCCCCTTCCTTACCGAGCAACGTGGACTTTAATGACCCTGAAACGTTAGAAATCTATTCCAAACTGATTGTTTTTAGAGACGAATTCAAGAACCCAACGCTTCCTGCCAGTGTCTCCGAACTGGCGTTCCCCTTGGCATCAATGAACTCCAATCAACGCAAAGTTATATCTGTTCTGTGCCAGTTTCTGAATCTGGTCGAGTCTTTCGAATCTGGCTTTATCACTGTGAAGAGATCCGAGCTGGGCGTCCAGAATACCGGAGGCACCTCCGTCACAGGCGTTGCTGGTACCTCTGTGTCTTCCGCTGCGACCCCGGCAACAGGCACGCAGCCGGCCTTCCCGCCTTCTTTGATCCGGTCGCAGTCGCACAACCTTGTGAGCACGGCGTCTCCGCTGTCCATGAATGCTGGTAGATATAGACAGCAGTCTCCTCGGATCGTGACGCAGCAGCCCCAGCCAAACACATTTGCACAGCCGCAGCAGTTACAGAGCGCCATCTCTTCGCCGAACATTTTCCAATTGCAGCATCAGAACCCGTCCACTCTGCACCACTCGTCCTCTGCTGCGTCTCTGAACCTTCTGCGTGCCAACGGGCAGACTCCTCTAGGCCAGCAGCTTAGCGGTGGCACGTCTGGAGCTCGTGGGGGCGGACTTCCCTCGCTCGGTGGAAATGCAGCCTTTTTCGGACAGGCTCAATTCACGAACACTGGACTTACCAGCAAGATGGACGACATATTCATTGGCATGGAGAACCTGAGTTTTGAGAGATGATTTATGAGATTTTCACGGTACGCCCACTTATGTGTAACGAGTGTTTATTACGAAAAGTAAAAATGAATATTTTATACTAAATCTTTTTTCATGTTAAGACAGAGAAAGCAGCTACAGGACGAGACCGTCTCCAAGGAGCATGTCGAGGGGTCGGAGAACGCCCAAGCCAGCGCACAGACGACTAGCGTTTGGCCGGTCTTGGCGGCGCTGGAGGCCATCGTGGGGCCTATTTTGCTTACGGTGCTGGCGGCCTATCTTCGATTGTACGGCCTTGAAAAGAACCCCTACGTCGTCTGGGACGAGGCGCATTTTGGCAAGTTTGGCTCGCAGTATCTCAAGCACGAGTACTACCACGACGTGCATCCTCCTTTGGGCAAAATGCTCTGCGGACTAAGCGAGTATCTTGCCGGCTTTAATGGATCTATCGAAAATTTCAATTTTGAGAGCGGGAGCAGATACCCCGTTGCATTTCACTATGCGCTGGTCAGATGGTACGGCTCGTGGTTTGGCACTTTGGTGGTGCCCGTTTGCTACTTTACGTGCAAACAAATGGGCTATTCGCTGCTGACCACGTATCTTATCTCGTTGATGTGCTGTTTGGAACTGTCGTACATTTCGCTGAGCAAGTTCATCCTGCTGGACTCGTCGCTGCTGTTTTTCACGGCCACCACGCTGTACTGTCTTGCGAAGCTGCACAGTCTGCGGAACAGGGAATTTTCGACGCGGTGGATCGGCTGGCTCTGCACTACTGGAGTCTCCATAGGATGTGTGTGCTCCGTGAAATGGGTGGGTCTGTTTGTCACGACTCTAGTGGGGCTGTACACTATTCTGGAGCTGTGGCTGAAGTTCTGGAGCCCGAGCTTCAAATTGCACAGATACGCGAAAAGCTGGGTTTACAGAGTCGCTGGCCTTATCGTGCTCCCGTTTCTGGTGTACCTAATTTTTTTCAAGATCCACTTTGGACTTCTGTACAAGCCGGGCTCCGGAACCGGCTCACTGTCGTCGCTGTACCAAGCCAGCATGCAGGACACCGACGTGGGGAACTACCCGCGGAACTTGGCGATCGGCTCGAAGGTCACCATCCGTTCACAGGGCAAGTCGCCCAACCTGCTCCACTCGCACCCGTCCAGATATCCTGCCGGCTCGGAGCAGCACCAGGTGACGACGTACGGGTTCAAGGACGCGAACAACAACTTTGTCGTGCGGCCGGCTAGAACACAGCGGAACTACGGTCCGTTCATCCAGGACGGAGACGCCGTCAGGCTGCAGCACGAGCTCACCGGGGCCAACCTCCACTCGCACGCCATCCACGCACACGTCTCTGACAGGTACTGGGAGGTGAGCGGGTACGGCGACGAGACGGTCGGCGACGCCAAGGACGACTGGGTGGTGGAGATAGTCGAGCAACTGCACTCGGGAAATAAAAGCTACGCTGCTACCGAAAATGGGCCCGAGTTCTACAACACGGTGCATCCGCTCACGACGACCTTCAAGCTGCGCCACAAGGTGCTGGGCTGCTACCTCGCCACCACAGGCGAGTCGTACCCGACGTGGGGCTTCAAGCAGGGCGAGGTGGTGTGTCGTCCGGACACAAAGCTGCCGTTCGACAGATCGACGTTGTGGAACGTCGAGATGCACGAGAACGACGACCTCGCCGTCGAGAGCGACTACGTGTACCCGAGCCCGCGGTTTCTGGTGGACTTCTTCATGGTGCAGCACGGCATGCTTGCGTCGAACAACGCGCTGGTGCCCGACGTGCACAAGCACGACGAGATTGCGTCGTTCTGGTGGCAGTGGCCGTTTGCGCTCGTGGGGCTGCGCATGTGCTCGTGGGGGCCCCACGTGACCAAGTACTACCTGCTGAGCCACCCGTTCACGACGTGGTTCTCCACGGCGTGTCTGGGCGGGTTTGTGCTGCTGGCGGTGCGCCTGCTGCTGCTCTGGCAGCGGCAAGAACTGGCAGTTCCGGCCGACCAGCTCTGGAAACTCACGATCTGTGGCGCCGTGCCGTTTGCTGGCTGGCTGCTGCACTACTTTCCGTTCATCGTGATGGGCCGTGTCACCTACGTGCACCACTACATGCCTGCTCTGTATTTTGCCATGTACGTGGCTGGGTTTGTGGTGGAGTACGTAGCTGGCTCGTCGCGGGCCAGATACGCGGTCTACGGTGTTCTGTACGCTCTTGTCGGGTACCTGTTCTGGTACTTCAGCCCGTTGTGTCTCGGGATGGCCGGCCGGGCGTCGGAGTACGCTTACCTAAACTGGCTCCCGGGTTGGAATATCGCGAACTGATTTTTTATTTACGTTCGCGAACGCGTTCCAAAATTGCATGGAAAAAAAAAACATTAACACTAACACCCTCAACACGCTGAACATTTCTCATTGCTCTTCTTTGCATGTTTTACTCTGAACAACTGCTCTCTCGCGAAGGCCCGCTGGCGTACGTGTGGCTGGCCGCAAACCTCGAGAAGAAGCTCACGAAACACCAGCTGCTCAACACAGATATCGCCGAGAGCACGAGGGCGATTGTGTCCAGCAGCAGCGTGTCCACAGAACCGCTGGCGCTGCGGTTGACGGGCCAGCTGCTGTACGGAGTGGTGCGGATCTATTCGCGCAAGGCGAAGTATCTGCTGGACGACGTGACGGACGCGATTCTGAAGCTCAAGTCGTCGTTCAGGGCGTCGCAGTCGGTCATCCTGCCGGCCGAGTCGACCGTCCTGCCGTCGATGCGGGCCGTCACGCTGCAGGACACGGTCACTGAGACCGACCTGCTGTACCAGGAGCCGCTGAACTTCGACGACATATTCAGCACTCAGCGATCGACGCAGCCGACGCAGCTGCCCGAGGAGTCCACCACCTTCGACCGCTCGGTGGAAGTTCCGCGGCGCGCCGAGGTCGACGAGCTCGACGGCGTCCAGGACGATCTCGAGCTGAACCTCGATTTCGACCTCGGCGACGCCATGGACGTCGACCGTGACGCGTCGGTCGAGCTGGGCAGGGCCGGCGACGACGCCAACGCGTCGCAGCAGCTGAACGACGTGCCGGACTTCGAGCTGCCGGACTTCCGCGAGCCCGTGCTCGAGATTGACGAAAACGAGCCGGCCACGCCCGGCCACGGCGACCCGCTGGGGCCGGAAGTCCAGATCGAGACGATCCCCGACAAGCGCACGAGACGGCCGCCTGTGTTTGAGAACGTCGACGTGGTGCGCACGTCGCGCAAGCGCGTCGTCATGGACGAGCAAATCGAGATTCCGGGCGAGCTGATCCGCCAGTACCAGGCCAGCTACCCTGCGCCGCCGGTGGCCGATGAGCGGGCAGGAGACTTGGAAAAAGTGGCGGAGCTCGCGAGACCGCGGTGTCTGACGTTCGGCGCGCTCGAAATGCCTGTGGTGAAGAAGAGGCGCACGGAGCAGGGCGAGCAGGCCCCGCAAAACGACGCCAGTCTGCAGCTGCCATCGTTCGACGTTGGGGCGGAGGACGCCGCGGTCGAGGAGCTGGCCGAGCCCGCTGCGCCGCAGGACGTGCCCGAGCTCGACGAGGAGCTCGAGTCGTTCGAGACGAACAACCTCGGCGACTCGCAAACGGTGTCACGTGCCACCGCGAAGGTCGCCGAGCAGGTGCGCGCGCTGCTCGCAGACACGCCGGCCACCACGTTCAGCGAGCTGATGGCCCGCGACATGGACTCGGCCGAGCCGCTGTCGCGCAACCCGAAGAGAGAGGCCACGCGGACGTTTTTCGAGCTGCTGGTGCTTGCAACGGGCGACTCGGTCGAGCTGAGCCAGGACCGGCTGTTTGGCGAGATCGGCATCTCTGCGCGCGCAGGACTCGCTGTGTAACGAATACATTAGTGCTATCTACAGTATTTCGAGGTAGACGCGGCCGTCGGCCGCTCCGCACGCGACAGCACGCCCGTCGGGGCTCCACTCGACCCTGTTGAGCGGCACCCCCAGGTTCATGGACCCGAGACTCGCGTGTCTGTTTGCGGCCAGATTCCAGAACTCGACGGCCCCGTCGGGCCCCACGGTGACAAACGTCTGCGGCTCGCGGCCCAGGCTCACGTCGGCGACGAGGTTCGAGGTGTGGATCGTGTGGAGCTCGCCGTTCTCCAACACCTTCACTTTGTAGTCCAGGGCGCACGAGACAGCCGTTTGCGCGTCGTGGTCAATGCACACCACCGGCAGCGGGCACGCGGTCGCAGACAGCAGCTGCAGTGCGGCCGGGTCGTCCAGCGACCCGAGCTCGACCCGGTACACCCTGCCCGTGGAAAGACCCAGCAGCAGGTGGTTCTGTTTGATGGAGCACGCCGTGATGTGGAATTTCTCGCCGAGCGCAAGCCGGGAGCGCGAGATGGCCGTCATGAGGTTCTTGGAGTGAACAGAAACCGCGCCGTCGGACGAAACGCCCACCACCGAGTTCGAGGTCTCTAAAATGGCCACCACGGGATACTTGCCGGAGCTGGCCGTCGAGGCAACCGGATACTTGGTGGACGAGTCGAACTCGTACAGGTACAGTCTGCCGTCGACGCCGCCGGCGAGCAGCTGGTTCGAGCGCGACTTGACAAACTTCACGACGGCGACGTCTGTGTAGGTCTGGAGACTGAATTCGGGTGCGAGGGTGCGAGTGTTCCAGACGACGATACAACACGGTCTGTGTGTGCCGCTGTACGCGGCAGCGACGAGCTCCGGGTAGTGGGGCGACCAGTCGACCGACGAGACGGCCATCGACGCAACGGCGTCGCTGAAGAGCAGTTTTTGCGCCGTCACAAACGCGCTGCTCACGCCGGGCTCTTCTTTGGCAGCCGCGTAGACACTGTTCCTGTTTTCGTTCTGGGGCGGGATCGGAGACCCCAGGAGCGGCGTCAGGTCTGGCTTGTAGGCCTGGGCCTGCAGTTTGAGCTCGAACTCGCGCTGCAGCTGCTCGCGGATCTCCCGTTCGAGCTTTTGGCGTATCTCTTGTTCCAGCTGTCTGCGATCCTGTTCGTCGTCCGTGGATGTGGATTTCTCCAGCAGGACGGGCGGGTCGACGTGGCTCTGCGCAGGGACGAAGTCGTTTGAAGCGTCTGTGCGGGCCGGCTCCGACAGAACGGGCTTTGGGGCACGTTGGACTGGCTCGTTCTCCTTGTTGTTGTGTTCGTCTTGCTCCGTGCTGGATATTCTCTGAGGCCCCGGCTTCGATGTGTCCGCTATGTGGGCCTCTCGCGCCAGCCGCTTCCGTCGCAGCTCCTCCAGTTTGGCGCGTTTGGCCTCCAGGGCTGCTCTGCGGTCCATCAAACGAAAATAATAAAATAAAATAAATAAATCAAAATAATTCGGATAATACATGAATTTCGACGACATCCTCAAGGAGTTCGAGGCGTCGAAGCGACCGGGCTACAACGAGGACGAGCTGCGCGCCGAGGACGTGCGGCGGCTGCTGGACGCCTGGGTCAAAGAGCGCACCATACCGGAGCTGCTGCCGTACGAGCAGGAGCTAATCGATCGCATCCTGATCCGCATCCGCAAGCAGATCGAGCTGATCGAGATGAACTCGATCGAGCTGCAGACGCACGAGCGAGAAATTAAGCTGCGGCTCGTGGTGATCGAGTCCGAGCTCGACCGCGTCCAATTCATCATCAGATCGTACACCCGAACGCGACTCCAGAAAATCGACAAGTACTCGCTCTACATCCGCTCGAGCGACCAGGAAACCGCCAAACTCAGCAACAACGAATTCGCGTACATGGAGCGCCACCTCGAACTGCTGCTGGAGCTGTACAACTCGCAGTTCATGAAAAACCTGCCGGAGTCGTTGCAGGCCATCGACGAGACCGGGGGCGGCATGTCGATGGTCGACGAGCCGGACCTGGACCGTCCCGTGTTTGTGCAGGCGACGGCCGAGAACGTCGTCGAGGTGGACGACGAGGAGATCGAGCTCACGAAAAACGGCATCTACGTGGTGCGCTACCGCGCGGTGAAGGACCTGGTGCAGACAGGCGATGTACGGGTGTTGTAGCTAGCGTAAAATAATTCCTGTATTTATGTCCCACGAGTCGGAAAAGTCGCTCGACAGGCCCGCCGAGCGCGCGCAGGACCGGCCGTTGAGCAGCTCGCCGAGCGCCGTGTTTGTCATGGACCACCACCGGCGCCCCAGCGGGCAGTTTCCGCGCATGGCGTTCAACATCTACGGCCTGTCCGCCAACACAAGCCCCAGCCCGTCCTCGTCGGTGAGCCACGCGGTGCCGGCGTCGTCGCTCTCGATCCTGCCGTCGTCGGTGCCCGCATCGAAACACCACGCGGAGTCCAACAAAACGCGGCTCCACAGCGTCAACGAGATCCTCGCGTGCGCCAAGTCCAACGAGACACCCAACCTGTTTGTGATCGGCGGGCCGAAGGCGCTGCAGCTGGTGAAAGTCGCGTCGAGCGAGATCAGCGTCGAGTACGACCTCGTCGCGCCCAACGGGGGCTCCCGCAGCAACAAGTACGGCCTCGTTGCCGACGCCAAGTTCGGCTACCAGCAGTACGGCAGAAACATCGCCATTTCGACGCTCTCGGGCTCTATTCACATCTACAACCTCGACCGCGGCACGCGCGTGCGCACCACGTTCAGCGACCACCAGCGCGCGGTCAACTCCATCGACTTCAATCCGCTCAGCCCGCACACGCTGCTGTCCGGGTCGCAGGACGGCAAGATGAAGATCTGGGACCTGCGCACGAAAAACACCAGGGCGCAGCTCACGATCCACGGCAACTCCGACGCCGTGCGCTGTGTGCAGTTCAGCCCGCGCACCGCGCGCCATTTCTGCAGCATTGCCGACTCCGGCGTGATCCAGAAGTGGGACTTGCGCAAACCGTCCGCGTTCGAGCGGAAGCTCAACGCGCACACGGGGCCAGGGCTCACGCTCGACTGGCACCCGGAGCTCGACTACCTCATCAGCGGGGGCCGCGACAAGCAGCTGCAGGTGTGGAACATGGGGCCCGGCAGCGACCACCAGCGTGAGCCGGATCACGTGATCAACACGCCGGGCCCGGTCTCGAAGGTGAGCTGGTGCCGCGGGCGGGGCAACGGCTCGGTGCTGACGACGGACGTGGCGACCTGCTTCCTGAACGACGACCCGTGCATCCAGATCTGGAGCCTGGCGCGCAAGCACTTGCCGAAAAACGTGATCGAGCTGCACACGAACCAGGTGACCGGGCTGGTGTGGAAAACTCCCAGGTACCTGGTCAGCGCGTCCAAGGATAAGACGCTGGTGCAGCACGACGTGAGCACAGAGCCGCGCCTCGTCGACACGCTGCCGACGATGGCCGCTGCGTGGGACAGCCAGGCGGGTGCACGGCTGACGTTTGTGAGCCAGGACCGCAACCAGTTCGACGAGACCGAAGAGCCAGTACCCTGCGACCCGTACCACCCGACGTCGCCCAATCTCGTGGCCAAAGCGCGGCCGGCGCTGCCACGGCAGCTGTCGCAGCTCCAGCGGGCGGTGCGGTCCCCGTACGCACTGCAGGCGGACATTCCGATCCCCGACAACGACACCGACGTCTTCAGGTTTCTGAGTGCAAACTATCTCGTGCAAGTTCCAGACGGCATGGATCTGCTGCAAGTGTGCGACTACAACGCATCGGTAGCCGCTGCGGCAGGCCGGTACCGCGACTGCCAGGTGTGGAAGACGATCGAGGGCAGTATTCTGTGGGAAGAGAACGAGAAGGTGGTCCAGGGTCTGCAGGAGTTCCATCTGGAGGAGCGCGACGGGGCGGTGCGGACCGAGAGCCGGTCGAGCTTGAACAACAGCGACCATCTGAGCACGTCTGTGGAGTCGTACGACGGGGGAATGCGCCGGGACGAGCAGTTTGGGTTCGCGGCGCACGCAAACGAAAACGAGAACGCCATCGTGGACGACGACGACGAGAGCGCGGGTCACGTGACACATGCGATCGACATCAAGCGCGCGTCGGACTCGCTGGCGCGGCACACGTTCTCGTTCACCGGGACGAGCGTCGACCTCGACAACGAGAAGCTGCAACTCTCGGGCTCGCCGCACTCGAAGTACAGGTCCAAGAAGCTGTCGGTGACGCAGATGGCGTCGTTGAGCTCGTCACCGGGCAAGAGCCACCGGCTGCTACCAAAAGAGGTGCCAGTGTCGAAGGAGCCGGCGACGCCGTGGAACCCGGCGGACCTGGTGCGCCAGGCGGCTGTGTACAGCAGCACACAGGGCGACGCGACGATGTGCGCGACGTTGGCCTTGCTGTTTGGAAAACGGTACCCCAGGGCGCTGTCTGAAACAGAGTGCCAGGACTGGATCCTCACGTACCACGACCTGCTGCAGCGGCGGTGTCTTTTTGCCGAGAGCGCCAACGTGCTGAAGACGGCGGCGACGCAGTACGAGCTGTTCACCAAGATCGGCCAGTCGCAGACGTCGTTCCGGCTGTTCTGCCAGCACTGCAATACGCCGATTTTGAACGAGCACAGCAAAAACATGTGGCTGCAGGACCCGGAGATCGAGTTTGGCTTCTGGTACTGCGACCGGTGCGGCAAGACGCAGGGCGGATGCATCTACTGCAACGAGCCCGTCAAGGGTGCGTGCGTGGTTCTGGAGCCGTGCGGCCACAAGGGCCACTTCGGGTGTCTGCGCACCTGGTTTGTCGGCAACATGGAGGACTGCTGTCCCGGGTGCGGCACCGAGTGCGTCAAATAGACTCTTTTTCAACAGGATTGATGTTGCGCATAAACTCGTAGAAGTAGTCCCAGTACTTGGGTTGCATGATGGTGTCGTTGTGGTGTGCTCCGCCGAACACCTTCCAGGTCTTGTTCTTCGACTTGCTCAGCTCGTACAGCGCGCGCATGTGCTCGGGCGGCACGATCTCGTCCTCGAGCGCGCTCAGAAACAGAATTGGAATGGAGTCTGGAATGCGCACGATTTCGTCCTCGGACGCCCAGATCTCGTGGCACAGGGCCTTGAACGGCGACAGAATCGGAAAGATGTGCGGAATGACCTTGCGCACGCTCAGGAACGTGTTTTCCAGAATGATGCCAGAGACGAGAGTCGCGTAGTTCGCCGCGAGGTAGAGCGTGACCGCGCCGCCCAAAGACCGGCCGTACAACACAAGCGACGACTCTGCGAGCTGCGTGTGCGACGCCACGTACTCCATCACGGTGTCGGCGTCGATCTTGAGCCCCTTTTCGCTCGGCGTCCCTGTCGACTTGCCGTAGCCTCTGTACGAATAGATCAGAACGTTGTAGCGCAACTGCTCGTAGATGTATTTCACAACGGGCAGGAAGTGGCCGATGTTGCCCGCGTTGGGCGACAGAATCATCACCGTCTTGTTCGTGTAGTCGACGCTGTTCTTGTCGTGCAGAAGGAGATAGCCTCTGAGCGTCTCGCCGTCTTTCGTCCGCAGAGTAAGGTCCTCGTAAGTCAGACCGTACTCGGCAGGGGTGTCGACGTGGTCGCGCGCCCCGTTCAGGCCAGAGGGATAGATGATGCTGTTCTGGTAGCTGTAAATTCCAAGCAGCGCAGCCACTGCAACCGTTGACCCAATCACGAAACTAATTTTGATAAAGTAGAGGGGGAGCTGAAACATATTACTTTATTTCGTTTATTTATTAATTATTTACTCGTAACTCATTATCCGTATATGACATCCATTATCCAGCAAAAATAGCCGCCAAACGTCAAGATCTTCACCAGCTTCTGCAGAACGCGCGGCCGGATCTTGTTGTACAGATTTCCACAGCTGTTGTTTCCCTCGGACTCGAAGTACCCGTTACCGTACTTGATGTATCGCCGTATGTTGCAACCGTTCCAGAAATTCCACCACTTGGCCCGCTGGCACGGCGAGATCCGCAGCAGGTTCTTGCACAGGGGCCCGCACGGCCCGTCGATGTACTTCCACTCGAACGGAGACCACCGCTGGCGCGGGTCCGACGGAGGCAGCTTCTTGTCGCCCCAGTAGCCCAGGAAATAGAGCCAGTGGCCCAGCTGCTCTTCGCGCCCCGGATGCGACCCGTTCGCATACTGCACCGTCTCGCCGTCGTACGTATAGGCCAGGAAGTTGAGCGACGGGTTCCACAGCGGGCCTCTGTCGGTAAAGTCGGACAGTATCGAGTACGGCAGGTCATGTGCATGCTGTCCCGTGGACGCGTAGTTGGCGTGCGTTCCGCGCGCGGCGAAAATCACCGGGTGCTGGTCCAGTTTCTCCAGGTTCGTGTAGAAATACGCTCCGCCGCCGCCGTGTGCGCTCATCCACACAATCACCGGCTCGCCCTTGTAGAAGCGCACAAGCGAGTGCTCCCAGTCGCCGACGTGGTCTCCGAACGGCCCGGTGCCCATCACGTACGGGCCCTCGTTGAAAGAGTAGAAGTAGAACCAGTACGCGTCGACCCAGCCGTTGCCCTTGTCCACCACAATGAGCGTAGCAGGCACGTCCGGCAGCTCTCCCGTGTAGAAGTTCGGTCTGTTTTTGGCCCCCGTGATCCACCCAGGGTCCTTGTCAAAGTCCTCGTTCGCCGTCATGTACACGGGGTTCACTGGAGAATTATATCCCTGCAGGGCCTCCAAGGCGGAGAGGTTGAGAGACGGGCCGAATTGGTCGAGTATTGTGCCGTTGGCGAGCTCAGCGTGGAAATGCGTCACAAAGTCCGCAATGCTATATGGCATGTACCGCTCCTCGGAGTACAGATACACCAGGGGAGCGTAGTCTATCACGTACGCCGGCACCTGGCCCGGCTCTAAAGTGCGCTCGTGCGGGTCCGGCCAGGACTTGAGCGGCGGCAGGCTCTTGAGGCTGGAAAGCCGCATCTCGGGCACGAACATGCCGCGGCTGGCAACGAGCCATGTGCATAAAATAAATATGAGTAGCATGGGCGGAAAGGAAGGGAAAGTAAAGGAAAGTAAAGCTAATTTATCTATTTATACGATAAGACGAATACTTGGCTATCGACGCGACGATAAATTTTTTCATGATCCAAGCCCTGCTGCTGGCTGTCGTGGTGGTGTTTATTTCGTGGCAGAACAGCTTCGTGGGGCCGTTCTTTCGTGATGCAGGGCCGGAACCGGCCGCGCCAGCCAACTCTCCGCAAGATCTCCAGAACGCCACGCTGTACACGCTGTGTCGCAACAGCGATCTCTACGACATGCTCGAGACGATCCAGAACTACGAGGACCGATTCAACGGCCGGTTCCACTACGACTGGGTTTTTCTCAACGACAAGCCGTTTGACAGTACTTTCATGCAAGAAGTGTCGAACCTGGTCTCCGGAAAGGCCCGTTTCGGCCAGATCGACGCACACCACTGGCAGTTCCCTTCAGGCCTGAACCGCACGCTCATGGAGCACAACATCCAGAAGCTGCTCTCCGACGAGGACGGCGTGCTGCCGTACGCCGACTCCGTCTCGTACAGACACATGTGCCGGTTCGAAAGCGGGTTTTTCTACCGACATCCGCTGCTCCAGGAGTACAAGTACTTCTGGCGGGTCGAGCCGGGCGTCAAGCTCTTCTGCGACATAGACTATGACATCTTTGCACACATGGACGCCCACAAGTACGCATACGCATTTGCCATTAGCATTCTGGAGTACCCAAAGTCCATTCCCTCGCTGTTCCGTCACGTTAAGGACTATCTGCTGTTGGCCGGCAAGGAAGCGCTCCTGCACGACGAGTCCAACTATTCCAGGTTTGTGTACGACGGCCACACGGACTCGTACAATCTGTGCCATTTTTGGACGAATTTCGAGCTCGGGGACCTCGACGTGTTCCGCTCGCACGAATATAACGAGATGTTCGCGTATCTCGACCAGCAAAACGGGTTTTTCTACGAGCGCTGGGGAGATGCCCCCGTGCGCTCGCTCATCCTGTCGCTCATCCTGAAAAAAGGCCAGATCCACCGCTTTGCAGACATCGGCTACAAGCACGAGCCGTATCTCCAGTGTCCGACCGACGCGGCTCTGCGGCGCGCGAAAAAATGCTCGTGCAACCCGGACATGGACTTCACCCGCAACTGGTACAGCTGCTCGTGGTGGTTCGACAGTCTCGGCGGCTCATAGACTCAGGTATTTAGTGCTGTACTCCGCGACGATCCAGTCAAGTCCTGCTTTTATGTTTTCTCCCGTGTACGCGCTGCCAAAGACGATCTGCCACGCGTGGTTCTCTAGCCGTTCGAGCCCGAGAATCCGCACAATTTCTGTCCGCAGCGCATCTCTGTCTCCTGTAAACAGGTCTATCTTGTTGACCATGATGAGCACGCCGCAGCCCGCAAGACGGTCCTCGCCCAGCACCCTGCTGAACTCCTTGAAGCTCTCCTGGAGCCTGTGGAGACTGGAACTGTCTATGACCCACATGAGAAAGTCGGTCTTTTCGAAGTAATTGAACCAGAACGCCCGCAGCGAGGTCTGGCCTCCGATGTCCCAGACGTTTATGTTGAAGCCGGCGTACGGCACGGTGCAGATGTCGAAGCCCATCGTGGGGCTCGTTTCCTTGACGTTCTGTCCCAGCAGGCTCTTCACGATCGTTGACTTCCCAGAGTTGTCGAGGCCCAGGAGCAGTAGCCGCACTTCTTTTTCCTTGAGCTTTTGTTTACGGATGATGGACAAGAGGCCCATAAGAAAAATAAAAATTGCACTTAAAAAAATAAAAAAATAAAAAACAGATCGATTACCCAATCTGCTAAATTATTCATTATTCATGGCAAAACGCAAGGTGGTAGACAAACAGGTCTCGATCCTCAAGTTTTGCCGAACAGGCAGCGGCCACGAAGAGACGCTCAAGAAGGAGGTCACGGTTATAGATCTCGTGAGCGATAACGAGGAGGAGCCGCTGTTTGTGTGCGACTCAGAGGATGAACTGCCGTATCAGGAAGAGCAAAGCACGCAGTTTGCCTGTCCTGTTTGCGAGGTGGACATCGCGCACTTGTCGCTGGACGAACGCACAGTTCATGTGGAGTCATGTCTTGTCAACCCGAACACGAAAAAGGTGTTGTATAGACGGATCAAGACGACGGGGGTGGCGGAGAAGAAGACAAGGAAATGTGAGAGACGACCACGACCGCCGATCCCAGACGAGAAGATCCTTGCCTTCGAAAACCACACCATCGCCGTGGACGCTTTCTGCTACGCGCCGCACCCGGCCATCTCGGTGTATATCTTGACTCATTTTCATTCCGACCACTATGGAGGCCTCACCAAGAACTGGGACCACGGCTCGGTTATCATTGTGACCCCCATAACCCGCAATTTGCTGGTTTACAAATTGGGGGTGAACCCAGACCTCCTGCTCAGCGTGGACTATAACCAGACCATCGACGTGCCCCACACCGATCTCAGAATAACCTGTCTCGACGCGAACCACTGTCCCGGAAGCGGCATCTTTGTGATCGAATCCCCCCAGCTGCGGTACCTGCACTGCGGAGACTGCCGCATCAACAGGCCGATGCTGGAGTCGCTGATGCAGATCGGCCGGTTCCACAGGATATATCTCGACACCACCTACCTCAACCCGTTGTACAATTTTCCCAAGCAGGAGATAGTTATAGACGAGCTATGCAAGCTGCTGCAAAGCAAGATGCAAACCATGCAGTTTGCGCAGCAGCGAGTTATCGACTTCTTTGTCGACCGCAAACCGCAAAAGTTCCTCATCGTCATCGGCACCTACCTCATTGGCAAGGAGCGGCTCGCGATCAAGCTCTCCGAGGTGCTCCAGACCAAGATCTACTGCAGCGAAGAGAAAAAAAGCGTTCTCAGCCAGTTTGGGTGGCCAAACTTGGATAACTTGCTAGACACACATAACCCAGAAAGCTGCCAGATCCACCTTGTGGCACTGCCAAAGCTGAACAAGGACTACCTCGCAGAGCAGCTCAAGATCTACTCGCGCCATTTCAAGGCCGCCATCGGGATCCGCCCCACAGGGTGGTCTGTGCGGTTCGGCAGGCCGGTGCCGTCCCTGGACGCGATGGTTGCTGCTGAGTCGCCGGAGATGGTGTATGCGGCCATCTCGAAGCATTTCGACCGGTTCCGCGAGGACAACAAGGCGCGCGTGCTGCAGATCCCCTACTCGGAACACAGCTCGTACCGGGAGTTATTCTACTTTGCGAACTTGCTCGAGTACGACGAGCTGGTCGCCACAGTCGCCCCGCATAACCAAGAAGAGCAGCTGGCGATGCTGCGCGAGTTCAAAAATTACGACAGGCTGTGTATAGAAAATTTCTGAAATAACTGGGTTATCCAGGCCGGGTAAGCGTCGCTCACCCCCGGTTGCGGGTGGGCCTCCCATCCAAAACAAATTCACAAAGTTTGCAAACAAATAAATATTTTAGTCAAGCCATGGATGTTAGCAATCTGCTGGAGAACGCCATTTTGAGCTCCGACCCGGGCGAGCGCGGCCGCGCAGAGGCCGAACTCCTGCGGCTCTCGGAGCAGAGCTGGGGCGCGTATCTTCTGAGCATGGCGGAGGTGCTGAGTAATGAAACCAAGAGGACGGAAATGCGGATCTTGGCCGGGCTGTCGCTGAAAAACCAGCTTGTGTCGAAGGATCCGGTCAAGAAGCAGCAGCTGGCCGAGCGGTGGGTGCAGCAGGACAGCGATCTAAAGCAGAAGATCAAAGACACGGCGCTGCAGACCCTGCTGACGCGTGACGAGCGTGTGGCGAACGCTGCGGCCCAGCTGGTGGCTGCTGTGGCCGATATCGAGCTTCCGTTGGGGACGTGGAACGAGCTGATGCACATAATAGTGGACAACACGAAGGCAGACAAGCCGGTGAACGTGAAGCGGGCGTCGCTTCTGGCGATAGGGTACGTTTGCGAGACTGCCGACGCCACGAACCCGGCCGTGGTGGCGCAGGCGAACGGGATCCTGATTGCGATTGTGCAGGGCGCGCAGTCGTCGGAGCCCAGCACGGTTGTGCGGAAAACGGCCATCAACGCCCTGGTCAATTCGCTGGAGTTCATTGCAGGCAATTTCGAGCGCGAGGGAGAGCGGAACTACATCATGCAGGTGGTTTGCGAGGCCACGACGGCCTCGGACCCAGAGCTGCAGGCGCTGGCGTTCGGAGCGCTGGCCAAGATCATGAGTCTGTACTACCAGTACATGGGGATCTACATGGAGAAGGCCCTGTACGGGCTGACGGTTTCCGGCATGCAGAGCTCTGACGACAGGGTGGCCTGCATGGCGGTGGAGTTCTGGAGTACCGTTTGCGAGGAGGAGCTCGAGATCGCGATCCAGCTGGAGGAGTACAAGGACCAGCCACCGGCGGACCTTGTTTCGTACAATTTTGCGCTCGTGGCCATCACAGACGTGCTTCCGACGCTCCTGAGCCTGCTGCTGCGTCAGAACGAAGACCCCGAGGATGACGACTGGTCGGTGGCCATGGCTGCGGGCGCCTGTCTGCAGCTTTTTGCGCAGAACACCACGAACTACGTGGTGCAACCCGTGCTGCAGTTTGTGGAGGCCAATCTGAACCAGCCCAACTGGAGAAACAAAGAGGCCGCTGTGATGGCGTTCGGCTCGATTCTGGACGGTCCCGACCGCTCGGAGCTGACCGTTCTGATCGGCCAGGCGCTCAGACCGATCCTGGCCCTCATGAAGGACGAGTCGCTGCAAGTCAAGGAAACCGTCGCCTGGTGTGTGGGCAGAATAACAGACATGGTCGTCGAGGCGATCGACGTCAACACGATGCTTCCCGAGGTGGTGCAGGCGTTGGCTGCCGGTTTGCAGGACCATCCGAAAGTCAGCACCAACTGCTGCTGGACGCTCATTAATCTTGTGGAACAGCTATGTGTGGACGCCAAGAACTCTCCTTCGAGCGTCATGTCGCAATATTACCCAATGCTGGTGCCGATTTTGATCCAGAACACAAATCTACCCGATAACGAGCACTCGGCCAGAACGTCGGCCTACGAGGCGCTGTCGACGCTTGTACTGTACAGCAGCGCTAACGACATGCCGATTGTGAACCAGATTGCATCGGAGTCGCTTGCCAAGCTCGACCAGACCATTTCCCTGCTGATGCAGGGCACAGTTGTTTCTGGCGAGGAGAAGGCCGTGTTGCAAGAGCTGCAGGCCAATATTCTGTCCCTGCTGACGAACGTGGTGCGGCGAATTGGCAGCGACATTGCCGCGGTTTCTGATCAGCTGATGGAGAAGTTTTTGCGGCTGCTGCAGATGCAGGATCCAAACTCGATCATCGAAGAGGACATTTTCATTGCCATCTCGTCCATCGCGTCGGCCATCGGCGTCCAGTTCGAAAAGTACATGCCGTCGTTCCTGACTTTCCTCACGAAGGCGCTCGAGAACACCGACTCGCCCGTCTGCGAGGCTGCCATCGGCCTCGTCGTGGACATCTCTCATTCCCTGGGGAACGCATTTATTCCGTACTGCCAAGGGTTCATGGCCATCTTGGGAAACACGCTTTCGAGCCAGAACGTGCGTCGCGAGCTACGGCCGTTGATTCTCTCGTGCTTCGGCGACATCGCGTCCTCCATCGGACCCGAGTTCATCCAGTATTTGCAGGTCGTGATGAACATCTGCAGTTCTGCGCAGCAGCTGGAGCCTGAGGACGCGTCTCTGGAGACCGAGGACTACATTTTGAGCGTGAAGGAGACCGTCCTGGACACCTACGTGGGCATAGTGACGGGTCTCCACGACTACCCGGACGCCTTGCAGCCGTACACGCTCCAGATCGCCACGTTTCTGATGCAAGTGTACCACAACCAGGCCATGTGCTCCAGCGAGAGCGTTTGTCGGTCTGCCGTGGGGCTGCTCGGAGATCTGGCCCAGATCTTCAGCGACGGCAGATTGAGAGAGCTGTACCAACAGGATTGGGTGGGCGAGTTTATTAAAAAGACCAGAGCCAACCAGCGGTTCTCTCAGAGCACCAGAGACACAGCAAGATGGGCAAGAGAGCAGCAGAAGCTGCAACTACAGTAAGGTGCCCGTTCTCTTCATCATTTTTTTCTAGTAGCATATCCTCCTGACTATAAATAATAACTCAGAAATATTTCTCCACATTTTATATAGAATGTCCGCATTTTCAGATAAGCAGTTCGATACGAAGCAGTACGGCGAATTCCGGCCGGCGTACCCCAGCTCTCTGTTTGACACCATTCTCAAGTACCACGGCTCTGTGCCAGGCAACAAGTTTGGCACGTTGCTGGACATTGGGTGTGGCACGGGACAGGCGTTCAAGCCATTGAGCCCCCACTTCCAAAAAGTGGTGGCCACAGACCTGTCGACGGTAATGGTGGAGCGGTCCAAAGAGGTGGCACGCACATTGAGCACGCCTGTGGAGCTTTATGTGTGTCCTGCAGAAAAAGTCCCCGTCGAAGATGCATCGGTCGATGTCGTGGTGGCTGGAGAGTGCGTGCACTGGTTCGATGCAGACAAATGGTTCAATGAGCTCAGCAGACTACTCCGCGGCAATGGCACCGTGGCTTACTTTGCCTACGTGGATCCCGTCTTTGTGGGCGTGCCCGAGGCCAACCAGATCTACAATGAGACGGTGTACGAGGACGGGACGCTTTTGGGCCCATACTGGGAGCAGCCCGGACGCGGCATCTTAAGACGGCTGTACAAGGACGTGAACGAGAAACTGGCCGCCGATTCCCGGTTCTCCAACGTCGAGGTGGTGTACCATGACCCGGAAACAGAGCCCGCAGAGCACGCAAAATTCAGCATCTCCAAAAAAATGACCCTGGCCGAGTACCTAAACTACGCCAAAACGTGGAGCTCGTACCACCAGTGGCAGATGGCGAACCAGCAAAAGCCCGACGCCCGAGACCCGCTGCAGGAAATGTACAGGCGGCTCAACACCAGGTTCGGCTGGAACCTACAAACGAGTATCCAGATCTCGTGGAAAACTGTGTACGTTCTTGCCCGCAAAGCCGGACACATTTAACAATATCGGTTTTTATTAGTATATGACACTTCTACTCGGCCTTTCCACCCTTTCTCTCAATCAAAGCCTTTCTGTCCTTGTCCAAGTGCAATTTGGTAATGACGACCTTGGATGGGTGGATGTTGACTGGCACGCTGGCACCGTTGGATTTCTCTTTGGTCAATTTTTCGAGCTGGATGGCGTATTTCAGTCTGTACACGGAGGAGATGGTTCCCTCCTGGCCCTTCTTGGAACCTCTGACAACGAGAACCTGGTCGTTCTTTCTCACTGGGAGAGCTCTGATCTTGTATTGTTCTCTGAGCTCCTTGGACAGAGGAGCGGACATCAGGACTCTTCTCACAGAGGATGGAGCGTTGAAGTAGGCCTTTCTGGCCTTGGATCTGGAAGAGGAGACGTCTTGGGAAATCTTAGCCATGGTTGGTGGGATGAAGTTTTTTTTGTCGAAATTTTTCAAAAGCCAGAGACGTGCTTAGGTAAGGCAGCGAGGGGCCCAGGGCACGACAGCCCTAGCAACCAGTCACGTGACACAACAATGTCCGCCGCGCACCAGCGTGATTAGTCAGCCGCGCAGCTGGCTTTCGTTCCGCTATTTCCTCGCTGGCTTACCCGCCCACCACGCGTCTGACGCGTCGCGCGGCACGCGTATATAAATCCTCTGTTCCACCCAAAACAAATTCACACCCACAATGTACGTTTTGAAAAGAGACGGGCGCAAAGAGCCAGTCAGATTCGACAAGATCACCGCCAGAGTGTCTCGGCTGTGCTACGGCCTTGACCCAGAGCACGTCGAGCCCGTTGCCATCACCCAGAGAGTCATCTCCGGTGTCTATCATGGCGTCACCACCATCGAGCTGGACAACCTCGCAGCCGAGACCGCCGCTTACATGACCACGATCCATCCCGACTACGCCACCTTGGCCGCCCGAATTGCCATTTCGAACCTGCACAAGCAAACCACGAAGCAGTTTTCGCAGGTGGTCGACCAGCTGTACCACTACATCAACCCCAAGAACGGCAAGCCTTCGCCGATGATCTCGGACGAAACGTACCGCATTGTCCAGGAGCACGCCGACGAGCTCAACTCTGCCATCGTGTACGACAGAGACTTCTCGTACAACTATTTTGGCTTCAAGACGCTGGAGCGGTCGTATCTCCTGAAAATCGACGGCAAGGTTGCCGAGAGGCCCCAGCACATGGTCATGCGTGTGGCCATCGGTATCCACGGGGACGACATCCCGAGCGTCATTGAGACGTACAACCTGATGTCGCAGAAATTCTTCACCCACGCGTCGCCAACCCTGTTCAATGCCGGTACTCCTCATCCGCAGATGTCCTCCTGTTTCCTGGTCGCCATGAAGGACGACTCCATCGACGGCATCTACGACACCCTCAAGACCTGCGCTCTGATCTCCAAGGCTGCCGGAGGCATTGGTCTGCACATCCACAACATCAGATCCACCGGGTCCTACATCGCTGGAACCAACGGCACGTCCAACGGGATCATCCCGATGGTGAGAGTCTTCAACAACACCGCCAGATACGTCGACCAGGGGGGCAACAAGCGGCCTGGCGCGTTTGCGCTGTACGTTGAGCCATGGCACTCGGATATCTTCGACTTTATCGACATCCGGAAGAACCACGGCAAGGAGGAGATCAGAGCAAGAGACCTGTTCCCTGCGCTGTGGATTCCGGACCTGTTCATGGAGCGGGTCGAGCAGAACGCCGAGTGGACGCTGTTCTCGCCGTCCGAGGCTCCAGGACTTGCCGAGGTGTACGGCGACGAGTTCAAGGAGCTGTACACCAGGTACGAGCAGGAAGGCCGCGGACGCCAGACCGTCAAGGCGCAGAAGCTGTGGTACGCCATCCTGGAGGCCCAAACGGAGACAGGCACGCCGTTCATGCTGTACAAGGACGCGTGCAACTCCAAGACCAACCAGAAGAACCTGGGTATCATCAAGTCGTCCAACTTGTGCTGCGAAATTGTCGAGTACTCGTCTCCAGAGGAGGTGGCCGTGTGCAATTTGGCCTCGATCGCTCTGCCGGCCTTCGTCGAGTCCGACGACAACACCAGCTGGTACAACTTCGAGAAGCTGCACCAGATCACCAAGGTTGTCACCAAGAACCTCAACAAGATCATCGACAGAAACTACTATCCTGTTCCGGAGGCAAGAACATCCAACATGCGCAACAGGCCGATTGCCGTGGGTGTCCAGGGCCTGGCCGACGTGTTCATGCAGCTGAGACTGCCGTTCGACTCTCCGGAGGCCAGGGAGCTGAACATCCAGATTTTCGAGACCATCTACCACGGAGCTTTGGAGGCCTCTGCGGAGCTCGCCGTCAGAGACGGCAAGTACGAGACCTTTGAAGGGTCGCCGGCTTCGCAGGGTATTTTGCAGTTCGACCTTTGGGGCAAGAAGCCGACCGACCTGTGGGACTGGGACTCGCTCAAGGCCCGTATCCAGAAAGACGGACTCAGAAACTCGCTCCTGGTGGCTCCTATGCCTACCGCGTCGACGTCGCAGATCTTGGGATACAACGAGTGTTTCGAGCCGTACACCTCCAACATCTACTCCAGAAGAGTGCTAGCTGGTGAGTTCCAGATCGTCAACCCGTACCTGCTGAGAGACCTTGTGAACCTCGGGCTGTGGAACGACTCGATGAAGAACTTCATTATCAAGGACAACGGCTCTGTCCAGAACCTGCCAAACGTGCCGCAGGAGTTGAAGGACCTGTACCGTACCGTCTGGGAGATTCCGCAGAAGAGCATCATCGACATGGCGGCCGACAGAGGCGCGTACATCGACCAGTCGCAGTCGATGAACATCCACCTGAAGAACCCAACCATGGGCAAGCTGACGTCGATGCACTTCTACGGCTGGAAGAAGGGGCTCAAGACCGGCATGTACTACCTGAGAACACAGGCTGCTGCTGCCGCCATCCAGTTCACCGTTGACCAGAAGTCTGCCGCCACTGCCTCGTCCACCGTTGCCTCGCTCGACAAGCTGAAGCTCAAGAAGTACGTGCCGAGAAAAACGTCTTCGAGCGACGACGTGTCGTTCTCGTCCGCCGACTCGACCGCCGTCGAGACGCCTTCGCCGCAGACCGCTCCCACCAGCATCGAGGGCTCGATGGCCGACCTGAGCATCAAGGAGGAACCGAAGGAGCCTCAGGAACCTCAGGAGCCTGAAAACAAGGGCTCCTCGGACGAGTTCGACATTTACAACGCCAAGGTCGTCGCGTGTGCCATCAACAACCCAGAGGCTTGCGAGATGTGTTCTGGCTGATTAACTAATTGCTAGGAAGCTGTATAATGAGTAAAATAAAGTTAAGGTTAAAAATAGATCCCTTTTTTCTCCCGGCCCAATTACTTGTGTCTGCCAAAATCACACGGGCGCACATCGATATACTAAATTTCTGGCAATCGCCTGTGGACAAACACAAATAAATAAATACGTGTTTATTATTAGAAAATGGTGAGTACCGCGGCAACTGTTTGTGCGACGGCTAACGAGGCAGAGCGAGAAGCTGACCCCAGAACAGATCGACGAGTTCAAAGAAGCGTTCAGCATTTTCGACAAGGACGGCGACGGCAAGATTTCTGCATCGGAGCTGGGCACAGTGATGAGGGCGCTGGGACAGAACCCAACGCAGCAGGAGCTGAACGACCTGGTGAACGAGATCGACACGAACGGCAACTCGCTGATCGAGTTTTCCGAGTTTCTCACCATGATGGCAAGACAGATCAAGGAGCAGGACGTGGAGGCCGAGATCCTGGAGGCGTTCAAGGTGTTTGACAGCGACGGCGACGGCAAGATTTCCCAGACAGAACTGGTCCGCGTGCTCACCACCATCGGCGAGAGGCTCACCGAGGAGGAGGCCAGACAGATGCTCCAGGCAGCCGACACAGACTCGGACGGCCAGATCGACATCGAGGAGTTCGCCAAGATCCTGCGTGGGAAATGAATGCTCATGAAATGTACTACTGATACATCTATATCTACCGTTAATTCTTTCAGCCTCTATTGGTGCCCAGCACCTGGCCCCCGTGCGAGGGCAGCACGTACCGGTCGCTGCTGACGTCCTGCTCGCGGATGTAGTGCACCTGCGGCGGCAGGCGGCTGATCACGCCGGCCAGCGCCGTCTCGACGCGTTCGACGATCCGGAACGGCAGATTCGTGAACCGTTTCAGGTATCCGTATCCGAGCGCATATCCGGCCAAAATGGCAAACAAATGGCCGATGAAGCTCGAGCTCGGCACCAGCACGCCCACCACCAGCAGCAGGATGAACGGGATCATCGTCGTGGGCACCGACACCGTGTAGATCCGGGTGTTTTCCGCCGTCTGGGCCTGCAGATAGTAGTAGTAGCTGAGCATCGAGAAGCCCCAGCCGGACGCGCCGAGGACGCTCGTGGTGGGGAAAAAAAGCATGCCACACAGGCAGTACGGCACGGCCACGCAGGTGGCCAGGAAGTTGAGCACGATGGCCGTGTGGACAGTGCCGTGTTGCACCTCGAACTGGCACAGGGGGCCGTAGAGCGACACCAGGTTGAACAGCAGGTGGACGAAGTTCGTGTGCACGAGCGGGTACGTCGTCAGCCGGCTCAGCTCGAGGTTGTAGAGCGTCCATGGCGTGAGCGACCACTTGTCGATGATGGCCGGGTTTGCGATCGAGTAGAGGTACACGAGCACAAGAAACACGCACAGCCCGGTCGACAGCGCGGGCGCACGCTCGGAGGCGGCAAACAGCTGCCGGCCCTGGTCGGAAATCTGCTGCAGTAGCTGTTGGAATGACATGGAAAATGATTAAAGATGAATAAATAGCCAAAAACGACAGAAATAAAAAAATAGCAGGAATTCTGCTCTTGCGCTGGTGTACAGAATTAGTGGCGCACAAACGAGACCACGCTCGCAAGGTTGTCGACGCCGTGTCTGGCCTCGGGCACGTCGCGCTTGAGGTCGGCCAGGTCGCTCAGAATGCTCTTGAAGTCGTCGCGCAGGTCGTCCATGTCCGGCACGGCTGCTGCGGCGTCCGACGCGGCAGCACGGTTCCGTGCCGATTCGGCGACAACCGCGTCGACAACAGCCTCGTTCTCGCGCACCAGCGCCTCGTACTCGTTCCGGACGCTCGCCGGCTGCGTCCGCCTCAGGTTCGACAGCGACTCCACCTTCTCCTCGACGCGCGTGTACAGGTCGCGCAACCTGTCGTTGAGCGCAAAGTCGTACGGCTCTATCTTCTCGTTGAGCAGCGCAGGGTTCCTCAGCATGCTGGAGACCCTGTTGGAGGCCAGCTGCGACGCGGCCACGTCGTCGATCTCGAGCGAGTGCTGTATGTCGTCGAAGATGCCGTCGACAAACTGGGCCACGAGCCGGCGCACAGACTTCGCCAGCGCAGGGTCGTCCTTGCCGCGGATCTGCGCCAGGTGCGTGTCCACCTTGGCCGCCACGGCCGTCTGCAGCGCGTCGTACAGATACCGCAGCTGGCGCAGCTGGAGATGGATCTTGGCCGGGGAGGACATGGGTCTGATAAATACGATTTTTGTTTATTTATTTCCGCCGGGTAACGTTGCCAGACAGCACAAATAATTTACTGCAACTCGCAAAACTTACCGTCAAAATGTAAGTATCTCCCGCCCGCTGCTAACGCCAGGTCGACACTACCCGAGTCCGAGTACTCGCCCGCCTTTGCGCCGTTCTTTGGGTTCGCCGGCTGCTGCGCCGCGATGGTTCTGAGCTGCGCCGGCGCAGCAATCGGCACCGCCAAGTCTGGCATAGGAATCTCTGGAATAGGCACGTTCAAGCCGGAACTGATCATGAGATCGCTCATCCCCGTCGTCATGAGCGGTATTCTGTCCGTGTACGGGCTTGTCGTGGCCGTGCTGATCGCCGGAGGCCTCAGTCCGACCACCGACTACACGCTGTTCAACGGGTTCATGCATCTCAGCTGCGGGCTGTCCGTGGGCTTTGCCTGCCTGGCCTCTGGCTACGCGATCGGCATAGTGGGCGACGAGGGCGTCAGACAGTTTATGCACCAGCCCCGGCTCTTTGTGGGAATCGTGCTGATTTTGATTTTCGCCGAGGTGCTGGGCCTGTACGGCATGATCATCGGCCTGATCCTCAACACCAAGGGAAGCGGCTGACTACAGGAATATGTACAAATACAAGAGCTCGTTTTCGTGTGCTGTAGATGTCTATGTCTAGGCGCCCACGTCCATGGCGTCGTCGTTCTTCGACAGCTGCACGCGGCCCTCGTCGTCGACGTACTGGTTGCTGTTCTCCTCGACAAACTGCACGCTGCGCGCGCTGTCGATGAAGAGCGTGTAGCTCCTCTTGACGTCGTCGAGCGCAACGGTGTCGGTGCGCCTCTTCTTGGCGATCTGGTGGCTCACGGCAATCAGGTTCGCAGCGTACCGGAGCGACGTCTCCATGCCGATCTTGGTCAGCAGACTTAGGGCGTCCGCGTTCAGCTCGACCTCCTCCTCCTGCGCTCTGATCGACAAAATGCTCTTGATCTCGTCCTCCTTGTAGCCCTCGGTCCGGATGATGATCGACCGGTCCAGCAGGTCCAGCGGCAGGCCGTGCGGCGACTTGTAGTTGGTGCCTCTTGTCTTGGAAATGCCTCTGTTGGTGGCCATGATCACGATCGGCGAAAAGTCGTCCTCGAGAGCCCGGTTGATGTACGAGAAACACTCAATGTCCAACATGTGCACCTCGTCAATAAATAGCACGCCCGGGATGATATCTGCCTTGCCCTCCTCCTTCCACTCGGCAACCTTCATGTTGATCTGCTCGCGCACCTCGGACCGGATCTCGCCCGTGTCGCCGCTGAACAGAGCCAGAAAGCCTTGCTGCCGCGAGTTTATCACGTCGATCTCGTGCAACGACACCGTGTGCACCACCTCCTTCCTCGTCTGCAGCTCGCCCTCGGGGCAAGCCACAAACTTTGTATCTGGGCCCATGGCGTCGTAGTCCCGCGCACGGGTGTACGAGCGGCCCAACTTGGTGATCTTGCCGTTGGCTTTGTCGATCGAAATCACGTCGCCGGCAATCACCTTCTCCTTGGTCAGCTCGTCGATCATCTTGTTGCCCAGCTCGTAGATCGTCTCCATGTCAGTGGTCCTGATGGTGAGCTTTCCCTGCTTGTGGCCGCCCGTCAGCGACCGGTCTATCTGGATCTCCACAACCTCTCCCTCGATCACCTCGGTCTCCTCCTTGATCTGAATACCTATGCTTTTTCTGAACGCCTGGTTCAACGCCTCGGTCTTGGACAGCTCCTTAGAGTACACCTCGGAGCCTGCGATTGCCGTGAACGGCACGTCGCTGCCCAGACTCTGTGAAATACCCATTGCGATGGCCGTTTTTCCCGTTGAGGGAGGACCAGCCATCAGGATCGCACGGCCCGCAATCTTTCCCTGCTGGATCATCTTGAGAATCACCCCGGCAGCCTTTCTTGCCTTCAGCTGGCCCACCATGCCCTGGCTGTTCTCGCGCGGCTGCAGCTGGTCGTCCAGCCCAAGTCCCGTGATGTGCGAGTGCGCTGCAATCAAAGATAGGTTTCCCACGGGTTCTCCGTCGCTCTTCGTGGCAATTGACATGTCAGCGGTGATGAGTGCAAATAAACAAGTAACTTATTTTATTTTATTTTATTTTTTTCTTTCAAAGCAAATTTTACCTGTTCCTGTGCAGAGATGTAGACTAAAAAAAGCATTTAAATAAGTTTTATTTGTTATCATGGCCCTTCTGGACTGCGTGGGACTGTGCTTCCCGTGCGTCTTCAACACAACTCCCGTGCTGAAGATCAACCAGGCCACATTCAAGATCCTCAATCTGCTGGGCGAGGGCGGCTTCTCCTACGTGTACCTCGTGCAATCAAAAAACAACCACGGCCTGTATGCGCTCAAGAAAATACGGTGTCCATTCGGCAATTCGAACTTCAAGGCCGCCATGAAGGAGGTGGACAACTACCGCGAATTCCGATCGCCCTTCATCATTAAGTCAATTGACTCGTCTGTCGTCCAAGAGCAAGATGGCTCCAAAACCATATACATCCTGCTGCCCTACTTTGAAAACGGCTCGTTGCAGGACATAATCAACAACAACAGCGTCAACAATGCGCCCATGGACGAGGCTGAGGCGCTGAGGCTGTTTGTGGGTGTGTGTCGCGGGCTCCAGTCGATGCACCGCCACCAGGTCTCCAAGAACTACACGATTATGTCGACAATGGAGCCGAACGAGAGCGACGAAGCCGACGAAAATAATCCGTTCCTCAGCAACGTCGACGAGGGCATACGAGACGGTACTGAGCTGCAGGAAACGGTCAGCTTCGCACACAGAGACATAAAGCCGGCCAACGTCATGCTGGCCAAGGACGGGACGCCGGTGCTGTGCGATCTGGGCTCGTGCGAAAAGGCGCGGGTCAGCGTCAAGTCGCGGGCCCAGGCCATCACCGTCCAGGAGCTCAGCAACGAGCACTGCACGCTGCCGTACCGCGCGCCAGAGCTGCTCGACATCAAGGTTGGAGACAAGATCGACGAGAAAATCGACATCTGGTCGCTCGGGTGCACTCTGTACGCGCTGCTGTACGGCTACTCGCCGTTCGAACGGGAGGAGCTGGTCAACGGGGCCAACATCAGGCTCGCCATCAGCTCTGGCAGCTACACCTTCCCGCCGACGCCAGAGTACTCGCCCGCAGTGAAAGACCTCGTGCGCTACTGTCTCGTGGTGGATCCGGCCCAAAGACCTTCGATCGAGGAGGTACTGACCCGTGCGCTCCAGGTGCAACGTGAGGTGTCTGTGGAGCGGCGCGAGGTGTAGTTCAGAGGTGGAACGAGATCCGGAAAAATTAAATTCAAATTATTTACAGCTCATGACCTCGTACCAGAACGGCACGGCGCAGATCCCGGGCTGGAACGACTGTCCGGACACGATGCTGAACCGGAGCCAGACTAGTCTGGCGTCTGTGGCGAGCGTGGACGCGGGAGGCGGTGCTGATCTCGACGAGATCCGGGCGAAAGTGCGCGAGATCCTGGCCTTGCAAACGACGCTCTCCGAGCGCGAGCTGGCGTACCACCGGGGCAAGCTGGAAAAGGCAACAGAAAACGAGGAGAACCTGATTTTTGCCGGCGCCATGGTCGACCTGAGCCGGCAAGGCGACCGGAAACTGCTGGAACAGAGCATATTGGAGTACATGATGGCCAAGCCAAACAGCAGCTGGTGCGGCTCGCTCAAGAAGGTGCTGGTGCATGCCAAAATATGAGCAGGTCGTGGGCTTTTGATGAACTTTCCGGGATGCAAGCGATTCGACATGGTGAGGAGGTGGCTGACGAATTTAGCGGTCCTGGCTACTGGAGCTGTAGTCATGGGTTTGTATGAAGATGTACCAATTTTCGAGCACATGGCGTGTCTGTCGGCCGGCAGAAGAGAAGCACAGGTCCGTCTCTAGCTTGAGAACCCTGCTGACCTGGCTGTCCAGTCCGCCTGTTTAAGTAGTATTTATCATCAGTCATTTAAGTAATAAATTTAGGGCTATACGAAAAGAACCATATTACAGGAAGAGAACGGCCATGCCTCCCAGGACGGCAGCTCCAGCAGGAGCAATCACCCTGGCGTTGTTCTCAAACGTGCTGATTGCGGACGAGGAGCAGTTGCCCGGGCAGACAGTGTGGGTCTGGGTGGAAGCGGCGGTGACCATGGAGGTGACAGAGGTGACGGAGGCCGAGGCAGTTGAGAGAGGAAGCTTTTCCGCGCTGGAGATCGCCGATTGAGGCTTGGTGCTTGTCAAGGAAATCGCAGTGCAGCTGTCAGAAGGCACGTCTCCTTCGTTTGTGTAGTACATGAGCTCGTACCCGTTTTCGGAGTAGCCGTATGGGTCGTTGGTGTTCTTGCAGGCGTAGAAACCGTCGCTGGAGCCGTTCACTTGAAGAGTGCCGTCGCTGGCAAAAGTGAAGCTCTCGTAGCCAGTAGCGGCTCCCCAGGAAACGTATGGAGCTGTCTTCAGACTGACTGGTAAGTCATACTGGGCCAGCTTGGCAGTGAGTTGCTTTGTGTCGGCGTTGTAGTTCCAGGTGTAGCTGGAGTCGTTGGACAAGAAGAGGTAGTTAAGAGCAGCCCCCTCGTGCAGTGGCTGCAGTCCATTGCCGTCGAGTTCAGTGTCAGGGCTGTCAACGTAGAGACTGACGTCTTGAGCCAAGACGGAAGCAACGGTGGTAGCAAGGGCAAGTGTGGACGAGAATCTCATTGTGAGTGTCCGAGAATAGTCAGATTGGTGATGAGTGGTGAGACGGTTCGTGTTGGAGTTTTGAACCCTTATATAGCGTGAGGAGGACGGCTCAAGGCGTGTTTATGGAAGCTTGACGGAGAAGCACTGGCGAATATTTTTAGAAGGAATGCACAGAAGCTATATTCTGTGGTCACTATTTCCTATTCAGTGAGAAGTTAGCAACATAAAGTGGTGTGAAATACGTCATCGTTGCATGACTGCACTGCAAATAGCACCATCGGTCGACAAAAAGCGTAATTTCGTCGACTCCCGGTACCTTGCATGCGGCATGACCGGGTCCCCTAAAATTTTAATGCGCTCTATTTATAGAAAGCCTCACATGCAAACTTTCTCCGACAAAAACGATACCTGTTGGAGATTTTTACCCGTTTTGTGGTGCTCCTTCACGTGCCGCAGATACTTGAGCAGCCGGTGCTCGTCTGGGTTTGAGGCCTTGTACTTCTTGAGCGTGATGCATTCCGAGCAATAAGGACACTCCACCACCTCTACGGGCTCTGCCGTCTCTTTGGAAAAAAGCCAGCCCCGTTTTGGAGGGTCCTTGACCAGTCGGCCGTTCGAAAACACCCCGTGGAACTGGATCATGTGGTGGAGATAGTTGCTGTCGTTGCGCTTGAAAAACAGCTTCTGGAACTCGTTTCTGCTGTTTTCCTGTGTCATGGGACAGAACGGACACAGAGCAAAGTTGCCCGTATTGACGCTCTTTTTCCTCGAGGCCGTGCCCGTCTCGTCTGCCAGCAGCTGCGGGTTCAGCTTGCGGTTCACCGCTGGCTCGTACAAGTTCGTGCCATATTTCCTGTTCTCCTGATAGATGTACTTCGAGTCTGGCTTGTTGAAGGCCTCAAACGCGCGGATGCTGATGTTGTTCTGTATGCGGTAGAAGTCCAGCCCGCGGCAGGGCGTCTTATCCTGCCCCAGAGATAAAGGTTCACACGGCTGTTTAGGAGTGGTCTGCGGCGACTCCAGGGCATCCAGAACCCCCACCTCCAACACCTGCCTCCAGTTATAGTTGGACTCTGGCGACGTGTCTTGCTCTTCTTTGCGTGTGTCTGTGTGTGTCTTTTTTTCCAGCGCAGTTTGGTCGATAAGGTGCTCAAGTTGGGTATTAAGATCGACCGCGTCGTAAGCCATCGGCCCGTCCAGATAGTAGCGCGGAACTTGCCCGCTGTGGCTCGAATCGCTGAATATCTGCGCCAGCGACGAGTCTAGCGGAGGCGTCGGATACAGATTGTTCTCTGCAGAGGTTTCTCCCTCGGGCAGAGCACCGCCGTAGTCCTCGAAACTGAGCTCGTCCACAAGCTGCTGCATAAATACGTCTGTCTCCTTCATATTCTCACGCAATTTTGGGCCAGTAGAATAGGGATTTGGATCCTTTATACGAGGCCCCAAAGACAGATAATCGCTCAACAGACCACAGACATGGTGGCTCGCGATGTTCTGCTACCACTACCACACCTTACACCACACCACACACCGGACTGTTGGCTGGCGGTACGACGCCGGGGCCGCTTGGGCTCGTCAGCGCTAAGACAGCTACGTTGGCGCCGAGGTATAAATAGAGGCCAGCGCCTCCATTTTTCAACCATGGACAGCAGATTGCTCATTATTGGTACATCAGATGTGCCCCCTTCAGGAAGCTCTCTGTTCATCACGGACGATACTCTCAGGCTGGTTTGTCTGGGAGGACTCCG